ATCATACGAGGGATGGTGGAAAGTGAAAGGGGACGAGGCAGACCACGAAGAGCATGGATAGATGACGTGAAGGAATGAGGTGGATGTGACACCAAACACCTTTGTTGCATGGCTTGCAACAGGAATGAGCAACAGGAATGAGTGGAGGAGAAACATCAGTTCATGGGTGCACGGAAGGACACTACGGCTATGGAGTTGATGATGATGGACTGTACGCAGGGAATTGGAAGCAGGAATGTGGTCTTAAAAGGGGGGGGGGGCTCTACGAAAGTTCTAAGTTGTTCTTGTCATGCAATTATTGCAATTTGAACATGACAAGGTTTAAGGTGTTTTTCACATCGTTGGTTGAGCCGCCGATGGACCATTGTTATTAATTCAAAACTACCTGCAAGGGCGCTTTCAACGAAAAAAATTAATGCCAACTTTAGCGAATGGAAAGAAATTAAAAGATTGTTCCCCAAGGTTGTGTCATTGGTCCCTTTCTTTTCAACATTTTCATTAATGATATATTCAAAACCTAGATCAAAGCAAACTATGCAACTATGCTGATGATGGTATACCATATGGATTGGAGGTTCTGATAAGGAAGACATATCAGATAAACTAGAACATAAAATGAATAACATAAAACAATGGTTTACAGACAATGCTTTGCAGCTGAATTGAGACAAATGCAAACTTATATGATTTCAGCAAAGCGAAAAAATGTTGAAAATAATAATAGAAATATTTATACAGGTAAAACATTTTCAGTGCCAAAGGCACTGTTATCAATAAGGGCCCCGTTCTAAATAAAAGTATTTACATGGTTAAAAATGAAAAGTAATTACAAGCTAAAAATGAAAAGCTAAAAAATGAAAGGAATAAAGGGTAAAAATCGTTTTTAGTGAATATGAAGTAAATTAGTTGCTGAGGAAATGTTCTTTCAATCGATTCTTGAATTGAACAATCGATGTTAATTGGCGGATGTCAATTGGGATGTCGTTGAAGCACAAAGGGCCTTGGAAACGAAATGACTTTTTCGCAGCCTCCGACCTGACCTTTGGAAGGCGGAGGGTTGATGAACTTCCTCTCGTGTTATAATTGTGGTCCACTTTCTGGATATATGATGCAAGATTTGGGATGGCAGTTTCTTGCAGGCATTTAAAGATCTGTATCGCTGCCTTGAATTTCTTATGATCTTGAATGCTCATGAGCCCACATTCTTTGCTGTCCTTTGGCTGTTTGTGGATGATCTTAATTGCGCTCCTTTGCAATCGTTCATATTTGTTCGCCATCGTGTCAGACACTACGAGCACAAGAGTTGAACAATAAAATATTTTAGGGAGAACAATAGCTTTGTAGACTGATTCAGCTGCAAAAGTTGATAGCGAATGTCTCATTTTCTTCAAGAGCCTTAATCGAACAGCCATGTTCTTTAGAGTCTTCTGAAGATGGTCATTCATGTTAAGTGATGGATCCATTGTCACTCCCTAATACTTATATCTACTTACAAAATTAATGAGATGTTCTTTGTATGAGACTTTCAAATTGCTTTGTGAGTAAAGTCTTTTTGCGGTTCCAAACAGCATTGATTCAGTTTTCCCTTTTTTCAAGTTTATTATCAATCTGTTATTGTCTAGCCATTTAGCAATGTTGGTCATCTCAGCAGTTAAAATCTCTTCTATAACGTTAACATTTTTGTGAGAAAACGTTATCACTGTATCATCAGCATAAATTTGGATGTTACAATCTTTCACACTCATTGTCAAATCATTTATATGGATCAAAAATAACAAAGGTCCAAGAATTGAGCCTTGGGGTACTCCATAATTAACAACTCGAGATTCGGATTTCACAGTGCCGCACTGAACAAGCGTAGCATTTAAACGTAGCGTAGAAAATGTAGCATTTATGTAAAAAGGCAAATGGTAAAAGAGGAAAACAAAGTGAAATTGTTGGGCGTAACAATAGACAACCAATTAAAATTTGATGACCATATCAAAAGTATGTGTAGAGAAGCAGGCAAAAAGATAAATGCACTTGCAAGAATAGCGCCTTATTTAAACAAAGATAAAAGAAAACTTTTAATGAAAACATTCTGACGTTGTTTTGACATTCTTCAATTACTGTTTCTTGGTATACATGTATTGTCAGAGGCGCCTACTCTACAGGGGCTGCAAGGGCAGCTGCCCCTTCTACCCTCTTCCAGGAGGATCAGAGGGGGCAAGCAGTGCCCTTAATTATTCACTCCAAAGAATTCACTCCTTAAATATTCACTCCTAGGCCACTCTCTTTATTTCAATTTCCATTAGAAATTAAAAAAAATAAGAAAAAAATTCTTTTTCAGTCGGCCTTTAACAAAGGAAGAATCTTTTCCAGAAGACAACAACAAATTTCAAAAACAAACGGCGTCTTATAAAATATTTGCCAATCATCAGAACGAGGATGTTACGCTTACTTTTTGCCTTAATATAAAAAACACTTTGAAGTAAACAATTATTTGATTCTTGTGATTATTAATTTCCTTTTTACACTCTCAATGATTCTGCAACCATGGAGTATTGAGACTAATCTGACAATCAAAGTCTTACGATGATTTATGATGATCAGCCAGCCCATGTATGATTTTCGTAAAACCAAAAAATTCAAATAATGACAAAGCCGTTTGATACCCACCACCAGGGAGAATTTTGTCAACATTTTGTCTATTTAAGAGCCTTTGATTGCAAAAATCCCAGCTGTATACTTGGAACAGAAACATGCCAATTTTGCATCCCTTACCCCATCTCGATTATGGTAGTGGGGAAAAATCCTACTAGTTGCCCTCAGCACCAACACTGCCCCTCCTGCCATAATCTTGTGGAGGCGTCTCTGTGCGTTGTAATAGTAGGAAAAATAATAAACTTATTAATAACATCTATGAAAGAGCATTGCGAAAAGCCTATAACGATTTTTCATCTAGTTTTGAACAACTACTGCTCAAAGAAAACACGGTTACCATCGATACAAGGAATTTAAAGCAATTTGCAACAGAAATTTACAAAAATATTCACCACGAAAACCTAAATTTCATGGAAGATATTTTTAGCATAACTGAATCACCTGATAACCTCAGGGGGGCTGACTTTCACTAAAGCAAACACTATAGCATGCGAATTAGACACTGTATCCTATAGATGTCATAAAGTATGGAACTAAATTCCCACAGAAATGACCTCAAGCTCAAACATTAAAACCTTTAAAGCATTTCTTGCTCATGACGCATTTGAAAACCATTATAGGACAAGTGGGCTATATAAAATGACAGGGAACCTACTGTACATTCGTGTATTTTATTGGTTTTTCACCTATTACTGTTACGCTGTAAAATTTGGTTTCTGTTAATATGTTTAGTTGGTTTTAATGAGCTTTAATATAGCTAGTTGTGTACGTTTACCAATTTAAAAGAAAGTAAAGGGAAAAAAGCCAGGTGCATTGACTTTCTGAGCGACAGCTGTGATCAGAACATCGATACCAAGGGAAGGGAGGGGGACTTCATTGAAAGTGAGGGGGCAAAATGTTTACATTGCTCATGGGTTTAGCAAAAGCCGTCACCATGGTTGGGGGGTGAGAAGAATCTTGAGAAAATGCATCTCAAATATTTACTACATCGATAAAGTAGGTCCTAGGCAATATTCGTAAGTTTTCTTTTGAATAATTATGACCCATTGGCTAGATTTTGAAATGACACACTCTCTCTCGTGTTAACAAAACAGAGAAGATTTTATTAGATGAACCGTGCCAGTGGCGGATTTAAGGGGGGGCAACTAGGGCAGTTGCCCCTCCCTCGACGAGTTGAAGCAAGTATGGCACCCCATTTTCGGAAATTGTGCGCCCCTTTTGAAGAATGAGAATCAGGTGAAAAAGTTTCTGAGACAGATATGTTAATTTGCTTCCAAGATTACTTAAAAGTTATGTTGCTTATTCCGAAAATGGATCTTAAATTATTGTATACAGCGTTCTTTCGTCATCAATTTTTGAAAATTTTTCAGCGCCCCCACTACCAACTGCCCCTCCTTCAAGTTTGCTCTGGATCCGCCCTTGAACAGTGCTACTAAAAATGGACCTAGAAAATAGTAATGGTTTGCAGATAAAGACAAATCATCATTTTTTGATAAAGAATTATCATTTTGAAAAAAAGAAAAAATCTAACAACACCCGAACCTGAAATTACCCCAAAAATAAAGACATCAAACGTTGGGAAAAATGATCTTCTTCTTATAAAAAAGAGTGTAGTACATCAAACATTAAAGTAGGCAAAACAGAGTCAAATAATAGCAACCAGTTGTTGATTCTCGCAATCAATTTTAAATGTAACAATGAAAAATCAACTGCACCCCCCACATTTTTCGAAACTTCAAATTCAAACTGTCCATCCCCTCTGGTTGGAAGCTACATGTTAGGTATATCTCTATCATTATGTGTTCTGTTTCTTTGTTTTGATACCTACAAATGGTTCACAAACTGCATCGATTGTTCATCCCTTCCCCAACAATCCAATGTTGTTCGTGTGATTTTCATAAGATGTGGATTATGAGAAGAGAGGCATTTCAATTAATTTTGTCTAGTGAGGGCTGGGTCGTTACAATTTATTTCATTTTATAAAGGGTTTTCAAAAGAAAACTTTTGAAAATTTCATTAATAATATATATTTTCCTATCAATATATTTTCCAAAGAATTGTAGAGTGCATAAAACACAAAGGAGAGGCCTCTGGTTGTGGAGATGAATTTTTGCATAATTGTTCAAAATATAGTGAAATCGTAACAAAGCATTTCAAATAAATTCTTAAATATGTGAAAAGACTTAGTATGTACCTTATCTACGAAAATGTACATACATGTTTTAATCATTTTTCAATTCCTTAGAAAAATGTCCCATTTCATAAAAAAATTTTCTCATTCTGTTCAAGGAAAACGTCATATCCGCCCTTTGACTTCCGGTGATGCGTAGGAAGTTGCGCACAAATATCACTGTGAATGCATTAGAAGGGTTTCCATCGATGAAATACATGCACCAGCCAGGGAAGGAGTAAGTCAGGAGCCGCGAAATTTACTAAACTGGACTCTTTTTTGGGGGAAAAACCGAAGAAATTGATAGAAAGGGGACAAAAGTGTAAAAAGTTGAGGTTCGTATCCATTCTCTATCATGTTTTTGATGTTAAGTATGATGCCGCGCACTCCTATTCATTCCATCTTCTCGCCTTGCGGCACAGAGAACTGTGTAATCAAAATAAGGTAGCTCGAATATATCTTCTGTTCTTCCATTTTAAACTTGGATTTGCTTTAGAGAAGGAGTAGCAATCTTTGGAATGAAGCTAACAGGCTATATTCGTTGGGACTCAGTATCTAAGTAGTCTTTGGCCTAATCGCATGTAAATCGTGAGTTGACTAGGCCTAGTAGCGGACAAAAGGCTGCCGGTATTCCTTGGAACCAAATAGGTCGTCTATTTTGATATCTAGAACAGTAAATCAAGGAAAATGTAAGCAGTTGTTAAGTCTAGTTTTCCAATGGTTTGTTGGTAAGTTTGACCATGGTATCAGTTGACTGTAGACCAACAGTTTTATGGGACTTGGTCGAAGCCTTTCTTTCTAGGCCTAAATATGTAAGGACCTCCAGTTGTGAGCTTCTCGGTCTTTGAAGAAAGTTCTGCTATAAAAGAACCATTTAACTCGAAATTCAAGGATGTTATTTAAGATTTATTTCAGGTGAACATTTTATTCTTTGTATTGTATTGTGATCTTATGTTTTATGTTCTTGGTTGTTTTCTTTTTTTCAAATTAATTTTGTACATTTCAATACTTGGCCTAGAAGTTTTTTTCAAAACTATTAAAGGGGTGCTAAAAATGAATTTACTAAAAATGACGTGTAGATGACTTGATAAAAAGTATATAGCAATTGTAAATTTGTAGTCCTCAATTGGCTTGATATCATTGTAAGTGTTTATATAATTCTTCTTTCTATAAAGCTTTTGATGTTAAAAGTAAGTATATAAATTTAATGTTTAAATTAGGTATATTCCAAATCAGTACCTACACATGTAAAAGGTGAATAATTTAAAGACAAAATTCCTAAGGAAAATTTCACTTTTGAATAATTTGAGCACTGCAAACAATCAAAAATTAAAATCGATACACTTATTTGCATTCAAAACTCATATCAATTGAGCAAGGGGATAAGAAAAGCCCTATAGAAAGGTGCAAGTGAAGACTGCATTACATCACACAATATGAATGCTACTTCTTGATCAACATTGTGCTTTTACGCATATACATCTATATATAGTCCTATTTAACCTCTTTCTTGCCTTCTTTTTTGTTCCTGGCCTCGTATTTAGCTACAATTTCAAATAAAATCCAGAATTTCAATGTTTTTCTTGCATCTGTGCTATTTTCATGGTAGTTGAAATAAAGGAACTCTTGAGGAACTTTTTGTGATTCAATTTGATAAATAGAGGTCCAATAACTTACCAAACTAGGCCTTAAACTAGATTCTTTTTTAAGCAAGTGTATACCTTGAATGAGCCTATTTGCATGTGATGGTTTCTCCAGATATCAAAGTATTTTTTCTCTAGGCTAAAGGAAGATAGGTAACACTTTCTGGGTAAATACACTGGAGTCACAAAAGTATGGAAATGTTGCTAAAAATGGTGGCTCACTCACAGGAGCAAAGGGCATAGACTGACAGGTTTTTAAAACAGGAAACAAAAAAGTTCAGCGCTAAGGTGTCTTGTAATAAATGCTTTTGTCACAAAATTTTTTGTGTTTTTCCAATGGCTTTTGAATGAAGTAAATTTGAAATATTACCTTAGTGTTTTGTGGGTGAAAAGTCAGGGAAAAATTGGACCGATGCTTCAGAAAATTTCTCGAAAATATTTTCGAAGGATTGATAAAAAAGTGCCTCAAAGTACAGACAATACTTGATAAGTATAAGGTAATTTAATTAAACTTGAAACTAAATACGTGTACCTTTGTTCTGACTTTAAATATTACCAAGAAGATAATTTTGGCTGGGATATCAGGCTTAAGGTTATTAAAAGTGATGTCAGGCGAACATTGATGATGTGATCAAAATAGTTTGTATGCTAAAAAACATAGAAAAATTGGGTGTAGATGATTTGTTTCATTAATTTCAAAAGCATAATAAAGGTTGACGGTTTTGGTTTCATTTTTTGATTGTCATGTGTAAAGATACTGTGAACATCAGAATTTGAGATAAACAAGTCATTAACATCAAATGTAGAGCCACTCACCTTGTGTCAATATTGAAACATTAAAGTTAAAGTGCACTGCTAACATAACTTTTTCAGTTATAATTTTTCATGCAAAAGAAGCCTTAAGCAGTTTGCTTCAAATTTTAACATTTTTTGTTCACGTTTCTTAAATAAAATGACACTTTGTGGTAATCTTTCATGAATACTCAGAGAAACTTTTACAGAATTGCTTTGAAGGGATGCTTCAAAGTTAAGCTGATTTTTTTCCTTAAAAACAGCGAACCAATCATCAAATTTTCTTCAAACCAAAGGTCGGAAGAATGGCGAATGCATTTTCCGGCCATAAACTATCGTTTCCAAGCCCCTTCACCTCAAAATTCTGATTTTGAAATTGGTCAGCTTAGACCTGTGGTCACTGTGAGCCGCCATCTTGACCTACTGTTTCCATACTTTTTGCAACCCCAGTGTACTTCAAGGGAACTTGAGAGGAAGCAAAACTGACAAAAGTAAAAATAATTGAACAAAAGCTAAGAAAATGCTTGGTTTGAAGATGAAAGCCAAAGCATTTATGAGATAGTGTTTAAAAGCCTTTATAATTTTTTAGTACACATGTTGCTGAGGCCATTAATAGTTTATGATTTTCATTAGTTCTTAAGTTTTCATGCTATATTTTTCAGCATCTATTTATAATTTCTTTCAGCTTTTTCAAGTATATTTTGCAGGCTTTAGTGCAGTCCTGGTAATATTAGACATGCAGTCGCATGCACATGCCTCCACTACGCCTAGAACTAATGAGACCCACTTTCTACTGTACGCTCAGTTCTACCTTTTAACTTGCTGTTCTTTTTCTCTTTTGTTTCTTCAAGTTACTTTTGTGTGTGTTATCTTTGTGGCATTTCCAGGGGCATTATAACTCTTTAAGGCCTGGTTTCAATTTCTCTGTTTTTCTTATGCCTCCGTTTTGGTTTTCGTATTTCTTGAACTGTTCCCATCACTCCAGGCCACTCTGCATTGGTCAAAACAATAACATGTTTGTTTCCATTACTCAGTTCTTATCTTTTCTCATACTTTTTGTTTTAGCTCTTTTTCAAACTGAGATTGACCCTGTTTTTGAATACCACTGTTTTCAGTGTTCCCAATAAAACGGAACACATTCAAGTTATTCTGTTTTTGACTCTAAACTTTGAACAATATTTTTGAATGACTCCAGTTTGGTATCAAATGATTCAGTTTTTGAGCGTGAATAGAATGGAGCTAAAAATTGTAAATGGTTTCCTACAAATTCGTTCTCTTACAGAAATGGAAATGGAGTAATATGCGGGATAATTTAGTAGTGGTTTACTTTCCATTTAAAAACTATTAAAACTCAAATAATTCTATTGTCCTGCTGTTCGGTACTGCTCACCCAGAGTCATGAAGCCAAAAAGTAATTAAGCATTGACTTTGTCAAAGCAGTCTCATCTGTGTGTTTTTATGTCCACATATTTACTGTTTGTGAAAAATGGATTTTTAAAACTGTTAGTGGAACCTAACCTTGTTGCCTTGTTGATCTTTCAAAAAATTCTTCCAAGATTAGAGTAGAAGAAAAATAGCAGATATAGCAGTGTATGAGTGCAAGTCTTTAAAGATTTGATTTATTATGTATGCAGCATGTCAATTTTTAAAAGCCTTGTGTGAATATCTAATTTATCCTTGGCAGATGGGAATCCTCTCCTTGCTTTTTCTTGAAAATTTAGTATATGTAGCCAAGTGAAGTAAACTATTCAGTTACATATTTTTTTAGAAACTGTTTGTTATTAGTCATCAGAAAATGACGTTTTGGGAAAATGAACAAAATGTTACACAAAGACAGTGTGTAAGACAAAGAAAGACACGGTTTTCATTGCTTTTGTTAGTTGAATTTAAAGGGTCCTCAAAATTGGTAAAGCCTGACAAATTAGTTAGTAACAAATTAACTGATGAAAAACAGATGAGATACTACCTTTGTTATGTTTTGAAAACTCACTGACATATAATTTCTTCTTTTGTTTTGGTAAACTAATTAACAGTGTGATATGTTGCCTTTAAGTTTATCCCAAATATAGTTACAAATTAGCTATTATAAAGAAAGAAGGGTTGAACATGTGCAAACAGATTTTTTACCTTTTGCTATGTAGGGAGAAAAGACTACTTCCATGATAAAACTTTTCTACACTCACTTATTTTTTCCTAAGATTAATTTTGAAGTTCTTTTAATTTGACTATTAGCTGAACACCCAGTATTTTGAATAAATTTAATTTCTGTTGATTAATGATACACTTCTAACACATTCATTTTTCTAATAATAGAATTGATGTAATGTTTTCCCAAACATTATATTTTAAAAAATGCACAGAAATTGGTAGTTTATCAATTTATAACATATAGTTATATGTGAATGAACCTTTTCATTTGGTTACATTATATCTACTTGTTTTTTGCTGTAGCAGGTAAGCTGGAAATGACTTCACATAGCTTACAACAGTCATATCCAAGGGATACATTGCCAGCATTCACTCCACCTTTTGGGGTTGAAAGAAAGGTAAAATATGTTTTTTTGCATTTGTATTTTCATAATTTTACAAAATTTTACAATAGCACAATAGCACAATTTTGGTATAAATGGGCAGTTTGATATGCTAAAAAAGATTATTGTAAAACCATGCTGAAAAGTGTCCACTAGTACATGGTTGTTTGTTTTAGAGGAGCAATAGCTTGCGCTCCCTTCCATGCTCCCTTTCACAAGCTGATGAGTGCTGTTGTGAATCAATCTCCTTAACTGAACATGGAGGAAATAATCCTTTCCTTGATGTTCCATTCATTTGAAGGTTCTGTTTAGAAGTATCTTGAAAACAGGTCAAACAAAATTGTCAACATCAGAGATTGAAGGGAACTTCAACAACAACTAGTCTGAATAATACTTCATTAATTTTTTTATTTTGACCTATTTCTAGGCCATTTTCTGTATATACAATACATCTTTTCTGGATATATCTAGTCTTAAGAAATGAAGTTAGCAATTTACAACTCACCTGCAAAAATACAAGTGACTAGGTCTGTTTGTGCTATTTTACGACTGTGATACCAGGTTCAAGGCTCTCTTGCAAATTATTGTCACAGCTTTTTCTTATAATGTGAAATTAGGACAGGGGCAGGCAACCTTTTCAACCTGGGGCCAAATTTATAACATTTCATACTATGGAAAAGTGGGATGGGCCAGGAAGGACTAAGCAGATATTGAAAACTATCAAAGAATATCAATGCAGAACTGCACCTTTCATGGTTCAGCAGATAATCTTGCTGGATACAATGTTTCCTTTCTATCTCTCAATTTGAACAAAATTGAACATTTCATGCAGTTCTTGCAGTTCTTTGTATAATGCACATAAAAGAATTAAGAAAATTAATTTTGACAAAATTGATAACAGATTAAAAGATGAAAAGAGAACCATTATAGTTAGTCAGAACCTAGAGCTGTGTGTGTGTGTGTGTGTGATAAAAATTTTGCCTGAGGGAGTCTTAGGCATGTGTAGAGGCATGTCCTAATATTAAGAGGACTGTTTGTACACCTAATATTTGGAGGGCAGTTTATGTCAAGGTCACTACTTTTACACTTTTCAAATATGGTTATTCTTTTAGATATTAAGATTGCAAATTATGATAATTCCTTTACCATAAATCCTTAAATTAGCCCTTATTTACTTATTTAGGCTTATTTAGGGGGCTTATTTACTTTTTGGATATATTTTTGGATGGGGTCATATTCGAGGGGAGGCTTATACGAGGGGGGCAGGCTTATAGAATTATTGTAGACATTGAAAAGACATTATTAAAATACCTTTTTTAAGTAGGAATTTCTTTATGAACATTTAATTAATTACTACCAAAAAGTTTGAATTTGTTGTGGTAATTCAATAAAACCCCATAGGCAACCTCAGATGGCAAAAATCGTCAAATGGAGGGGTCCAATTCGATAATTTATGGTAGCAGTAGGGGCTTATTTGAGGGGAACCAATTTGAGGATTTACAGTATGTATTAGGATGGAGGCTTATTCAAAAGGGGGCTTATTCAAAGGCGAGCTTTTTGAAGGGGGCAATTTGAGGATTTACGGTATGTATTTTGTCATTTAAAAATTTTCTGGTTTTGCAGAGTCCATGTCCTCAATGCTGTCAAAGTCGGGAAAATAGAGGACATCCACAACAAGCTGCCCACCCTAACTGCAACCTTTCTCAGCATTCAGGGTTTGATTGTAGCTACAATTCCTGTCCAAGACAACAAGCTTGCTGTCCCGCACTTAGGTAAGCACTTTCTTAAGAATTGATGTATGCTTACTACTGTTTGCCTACTGTTAGAAAAAATTGAGTGTTTGATAAAAGGTGCCCTTGAAATAAATAGACTGAAGGAATTAGGGGCAGTTTCAATATGAGTAGGAGTAATTATGAACTATTTAATCTCACTAGTGCATGTGCAAGGATTTGTGCATAAATAAAAGTGTGCTATTTCAACAAGCAAAAACTCACCATATATTCACCAAGCCTATCATCAAATTATAGTGCAGTATAACAATCAAAGTGTGACCCATCCAGTGAAAAACAAAGAAGATAATCCAATTAAGCATCAATTTGCACTTTGTATAACTAACAAAAGATAAGATAACCCCTCAACAAATAATATAATCTTCAACAGCTAATTATCTTTAGATCTATAGGAACGATTGTTGATGTTAATTGGTTCCTATATTTTGGTTTTGTTGTTGCCAATGCTGTCGATTTTAGGTCTAGTTTAACATGCAGAAAGCATGGAGCCAGCAAGAGACTATGTCACGTGATTGTTGCATCTTGATAAATTAGTTGACTGACTATATAAATGCAAAACTGGGCGTATACACATATAACGAGGGAAAGCTACAAAGTGTTTTTGATTACATAACTGTGAATACAGAGACAACAGATGGTTTAATGATTATGATCTAATCGATGAATTGATTACGCTCGACATTGGTCACTACAGATCTCCCATCTTATTTTTGCACAAATTCTGTGAAAGTTACAGGCCTTTCTGCTTAATATTCTGGTGTAATAAATGCTTGGGAAGCAGACATCTTGTTTATTGTCTGTAAAAAGAGTCCCATGTGAAATATCTTGCTCATCTTGAATAACCCAGTAAGACCAAGATATCAATTCTAAAAATGTAGCAGTACAGGAAATATCAGTCAGGTTGATTTGGGAAGACCACGCAACTCTACCTAAGACAATAGCTACTTCTTCCTGCTGTTTTAGAATGTATTTTCATTTTGCAAAGCTTTTAGTATTTTCTTCTTCGTGATATGTTTTTATCATGGCACACATCAGCCAATCATGAACAAATTTCCAAACAAAATGCTGCATGTTTTTTCAAGCTTTACAATAGTAACATGACAAATTTTGGTGTTTTTTAATTAATTGAATGTACACTACCATCAATTTGATGCAATGTAGACTTTACAGCTTTAATTTTGAGCTATGTTTGTCATTTCAGTGAAATTTCAGCCCCAATTCTTCAACCATGTAGCTGCCAAGCTCCTCTTGATGGGTGCAGAAATGCAAACTGTTCCTGTCATCAACAGCATCAGCCCCAACAAAATGTGTTCACACCTACACCTGCTTACCCACAAAGTCCTTACCCTTTGCTACCAGTTCATCACATCCCATCTGGTGCTGTTTCCTTTAGTCCTATACCAGTTGCAGGCTCACTTGCCATTCCACCATTGATCCCAACCCTTCATGGCCAGCCAGATATGATACCTAACAGATTGGAAGAAACTTATTTCCAAAGGCATCCGGTATGACCGCTTTGCTGTTAAAAATATATATTGTTCAATTTGTGGTATATTTTACTTTAAAAATATGATTTTTTAAGAAATCTGATTGTCAAAATCTATACTTAACATATTTAACCCAAGATGTATTTCGTTAAAATGTCATTTTGACAAAGCAAGGCTTTTCAACTTTCATATTGATACTCTGATTCTGAATTAGATAGAACCGAGGTGATTATGAAAATGAAAACTAATCGACGTCTCTTCGCTTTTAATAAAAACTGATCCCAAAATCTTCTTACAAAAAGAAGCAGATTTTTCAATAGTCTAATCAATATAAAATTCACAAAGCTATTTATCGTTTTTAAAATGCAAAGCCTCAAGTTAGCTGGCACGCTTGAGTCAACTCGTCTACAGCCCCCTTCCTCTTCAATTTTCTCGGGCATCCCTGGACTTAGGACATTTGAGCGACTAAGTTTGCGACTCATAATTTGTAAGGTTTATTTTCTATAATTAATACTAATTTTTCTTGAGTGTGAACTTGCTCTCTACATTGAATAAATAATCTGTACTTCAAACGGCATTTTTACATAGTAATGATGCGTGTGCTGTTTTCATGCTTTATCGCACGGGTTTTTTAATCAGAATCATCTGGATGCTGAAAAAATGACAAAAGCAGACTGAAATATCGTTCTGGGTCAGGAATGTGATTACTTGAAAATGGATGCATTTAAGAAAGCAAAGTTTTTTTACCATATCCTGTAGCACATAGCTTGGAAATATTCACAATTTCCCTTGAGCATCCATTTTTGCAAGGCCTCTCTTTGATGTTCAAAAATAGTTTTTCAATAGCCTCTTCTTCTTTCTATAGATGAATGCAGCTACAACAGCCGAGGATTCCTCACATTACCATACGCATATTCACCATCACATCCATAGATATCAGCACTACCCGTTTTCGTGTGTGTCCATTGGTCATCATCATATGCCTGCAATGACAGTGGTGGGTAAAGCGCTTCTTTCTGACTTCGTTACGAAAGATCATTTTTACTGGGCAGGTTGGGTTTTGGGGGTGCTGCGGAGATATTGTGGAAAAATTGCAGATAATGAATTTTGTGAGCGAAAATCTTAAAGAGCACAATAATAATAATAATGATAATAATTAATTCATTTATTTACATTTGTTGTTTACAGTAGTAGCTAAAAGATAAGCTAATTAAAGCCTACTATTTATAGAAATAAAATTGATAATATTATACAGTGATATAAAAGCTATTTAAAGAAATAAATCAAGATACCTAGGATTTAATTAGAGAGAGATGATTGGATAGCAAGTAGAGAGATGAGATTTTATTCAGAGACAAAATTGGAGACAAACAACGAATTCTGCTAACACCTTAGGAAGAACCCTCAAAGAAATGATGAAATAAAATTTTTGGAAATCTGAAACGAAAGATAATACAAACTGGTTTAAGTGAGTTTTTGGTTACGTATTATGGTTCAAGGAAATGTCAATCAAAGTCTCACACGTTTTGTCAATCTGAATATTATGAAGCTTGAGGCTGGGTGAGAGGCTGTTTGATTTTCTGCTGAAGGGCAACCTAGATGACAAACAAGTACTCGTGGATATTTATTGTTTTTTTTATATGTTTAAAGAAGCTTTGCATCGTAGGTTTTGTTTCTTTTCCTCTTTGGTATGTATTCTATAAGTAAATTTTTTTATTGGTTATTATCAAGTTTTCTTTCGTGGCATGACTCCATATTCAAAGGTGTGTTCTAAGCTTTTTAAATTGCGTTGAATGGAGATGCCAAAAATGATACTAATAGTTTTGTATGCTATCTGTTCCTTGTAACTGTTTGTTTTAACACCCAGAATCTCGATGCCAATAACGTACCTCAACATCTGAATTAGCGTCAATCTCTATTTTGTTTCAGCCATCCCATACTAGTCAGTCAAGGCATCATTGGCGACACATTTCATCACGCGCAACTAGTGCGCCCTATCCGTACCTGCACGTTCCATTCCACTATCATCCGTATCGTGTCTTACCTACGTCTTCGATCCAGAGAACTGCAGCTGGCTCTGTGTTTTATACAGGCAATATCGAAATCGATCATGACGAAACGAATTATGAATGGAACAATGTAGACAATTCGAATTCAGAACCACGAGGCCTAAGCAAGTTGGATATTGAACAGCTTCCATCTTATATTTATGAAGACGATTCAAAATTTTCTTCTGAGCATATGTAAGTTGTTTTGCATCTTGTTTTCTACCAGTAATGTTCTAGGAGGTTTGTCAAATAGTTTTTAAACAGGGCTGTTTGACACCAAGGTTTTAAGTTTGGTGCCTTGACCCAGGTGCTGCTAATCTGTTTTTCAAGGAAAGTTTTTAGAGACTACAAGAAGGGCCTTTGGTTACGTTGCCAAAAAATGTTCATTTTTTAACCTAACTTATTATTGACAATTACTGTCTAATGCCATCCAGTGTTCGATGCTGCATGGTACTGTTTATTTGATGATCGCGTTAGCATGATTCTCGGAGCAGCAACCTAGAACCATCCTGTTCTTTACGCAAAAAGGATAACTGATTATTGAAAAAAAAATTAAATCTGTGGTCTTACCTACACACTGAAAAAGAATAACCGTCATATGTTGTGATTTGTGACGACAGTAAAATGAAAGCATGATGCTGTGTACAAATGTAAAGGGAAATTCTCTCATGATTAAAAATAATAATCATAATTTTAACTGATTAAGTTTCATTTTGATTTAGCACATAACTTAGTTGATGTTCCAAATTTATTTTGTAAGCAGACCATTTTGACGTGCTTTCTTCATTTCTTTCATCAGGAGATGTGTCGTTTGTCTTTGTGATTTTGAAAAAAGTGAAAATTTAAGGATACTTCCATGCGCCCATGAGTTTCATAGCAAATGTGTTGACAAATGGCTTAAGGTAAGTTCACTAATTTTTAACTTTATTTAAAAACAGTTATATAGATATTTTCCTTTATTATAAGTACTATAAATATAAATATTGAAGTTTCTGCTCTATCCTGCGTATACAAAACGCTTCTGATAGCATTAATAAATCATGGAGCCCCAACAAAGCCCGCTACGCGGACACCTCATAACTTCTATAAACTTAGTGAGACTAACTAGCCTCGACAATAAAGACAAGAATTCCCCTAGCCTGGGTGTCAAAATAGCCAGCTACGCCCCCGCTTTATGCTTAAAATACAATTGGAAACCACAAATATCATCATCATCATCATCGGGGTTGCAAGATGATTAAAGTGATAACGGATTTCAAAAAACTGGAAAATTTTACCAATGCTTTCACTGAATGCCTAAATTGCGGGATTTCAAAATTTTTGATCTTGTTAAACGTGAGCCGTGAGTCGCTTTTGTATTGCCAGACCTAGAAAGTAAATCGTATTGGGTATTTGTCAATGCTATGTTGTCAGGAAACCTAGGGGATGCCAGCTTGGGTTCCCAGATTGAACTAGTTGCACAATAGGTATAAGTTGTTTCCCCCAGCTACCCACTCCATCTCTACACCCTTGGTAGCAAATGATCAATGATGATTTGAAATGCTGTTCACATGCTGAATACTTTTGTAGATTCACTTCATAAATCTGAGATCATTTTTCGAAATTCGCTGTGGCATTAATATCAGGGCTTTGATATTAAAATTGTATTATAACTATTTTTGTGAGATGTGCAATGTGATGTTGTTAACTAAAAGGACTAAAGAAAAATTAAAAGCTTTTTTCGTTTTAAGGCTCTTAAAGTTTGCTTCGAGGATATTAGGAAGATTAGCAAGGTCTTGTGACGTTAAACAACGAAACTAACGAAACCAAAACTTTATAACCCTACTCCTCAAGTCGTTTTTTTGCATTGTTTACCTCTGACATGTAAATATTACAGGTGTAGTCAACATCAATTTTAAAACGTTGCTCTTTCGACCAGTGGTAGTGAGCCGTTATCCTTCAGCTCCAACAACCGTTAAATTACTTAGCCTGCTACTGTCAGTGAGAGTTGGGCCTAAGTCGTCAACCATTGACGTAATGTTCTCAATTCATTTGCTTTACGACAGTTTTTGTTTCATTTTTAGTCGAATCCAACTTGTCCCATTTGCCGTGCAGTTGTTCATGTTCCATCATAATATCAACAAACCTGTTGCCGTTGGCACGTTAGCTCATTGTTTTTTACGGTAAAGACTTTGTTTACTAACTTGACATTGTTTTTCTGATCTTGTAATACTGTGTATATTCCATACTCAATGCATCCATTTTGACACTAACAAACCATTGTGAATGAGGGGTTGTATTATAAGACGTCAAGTTTGACAGGAGCATTTAATCACTACATTGATAAATCGTCATCGACGGCGCTCTATGTTTACAGCAATCGTCAAAAGATAGCTTGTTGCGAAGTAACAGCTGTAGTTGCAAAAAGATAGTGAATTCGTAAAATATTAAATAGCTTCGTGGCATCTTGGTAATTTTCGTAGGGTGAAAAGTATAATGTGGTGATGTAATTATAGTGGTTCAAGTTTAATTTATTAGAAATGGATTTTCCTTAACGCAACTCATTTTACTCATACAAATGTAACAGAATTTAGATTCTTCACGACTTTTGTGGAGATTTCACATACTCCTTTTATAGGCTACCTATGTACAGTCGAAATCTGGTGGCTTTCATTTCTAGTTTAGCTTTTGTTCCCTTTAGCACAACATCATCTTTAAGGCAACAGCCTTCACTTTTTAAACTTTGCAGCATGTCGCATTGAATCAAGTACATCGTAATTTAGTATAATCGAACCAAACCAAAATTTCTTTGTTAATGGAGTTACCTTAGCCTAAATCATTGCAGTTGAACATTGAAAGCAAAAAAATAAAATGGCAGACACTTTAAAGGCGCGGGAAGCAGTTCCTCTTATTAAAAACCATCTACGCCTTTGTTGAAGAAATATAAAAATGCGATCGTTCGAGAAGCTTTGCTATATCTCCCCTTTTGTAACTTTCCTAGAGTTACCTAATGTCGTTGTGAGTTATTGGCAAAAATGAATGTTTTATTACTCTTTTTCGCAGATAAAATACCATTAACAGAACCTTAAATTTATCTTTCTAAAAACAAGTGAAATGTTTGCTATACCCTTCTACATGATAGCTTAGACCCCCTCCCCCCTTTATAAGTTCATCCGCCTGTTAGGGTTGTTTTAACTAAAAGGCGGGCAAGGCGCTGTTGGAACATTCCCATTCCCTAGCAAAAAAATAGAATTACTGTTTTTTGGTAAATTAAATTATGACATGCGTTCTCGATAGACATTCCCAGGCTCTAGAAATCCCCAAAAGCAATAACAACCCATTGATATTAATGCCATTTATATAGGAACAAATTGTTTCAATGTTACACTTTTTGTACATTATTCCACATTAAGCGAAATTTTAGCTAGTCTTGTAATCATCAGTTCTTTGATAGTAAACAGGCATTATTATTTGTAGATATAAAATGATAAAAGATTTTCCAAAGGTCTTTACATCGTAGAACAGATTAAGGTGTCGTCGTCAAATTAAGGTGTCAAATTAAATTTGGTGTCAGATATAGTGAAAATTTGTTATTGTAATCCCACCTTCGGTTCTAGTTTACAATTATTTCCGGTATTAAGAAAAAGGAGTGACCACCCCTTTAGTACAAAATTACTCTAAACATTTTTACAACCAGGCAGAACGTGATGTTTCTTCCAATTCATTGACATGATTGTTTAACTAGTCTTTTCATGGTAATATAGTCACGTAAAGACCGTTTGGTTAAATCTGGCATAATTATAAAAAAATTGTTTAATTTCAGTTTAATTCAAAAGTACTGATACGCATTATGTATACCTCAAAGTTATGTATATTGTTGCATCCAGTCTCATTTAATAATCAAAGCGATGTTGTTTATTTTTCTTTGCCCGTACTGAGGTCCGTTTAATAAGTGTCTGCCTTTAATAATTTTTGACGCAAATTCTCTACATACATGTTTCTTTGCAAAATTCAGTGGCGGAAATTGAGCATTTTTTCGGGGAGGGGGGGGGGGCAAAGACACTTCATAAACCGATAAAAACTTTGTCCACATTTTTAGCAGGGATGTAGTCGTAAAGTTTTAACGGGGGGAGTGGGACTCTTCGTAAAATTTTAACGAAGTTGCTCTTTTCATGTAATAATTGCAATTTGAACATAACGAGGGTCGATGTTTTTTCCGATCATGAGTTGAGCAGCTAGGTACATTGATTGTTTGAGCGGGCAGCTGAGATCAGAACATTGATATCATGCGGGCAGCTGAGATCAGAACATTGATATCATGCGGGCAGCTGAGATCAGAACATTGATATCATGGAAAGAGCCAGAGGAAACCTCATTGCAAGTGAGGGGGGGGGGGATACTACATCCCTGATTTCTTCTTTTACATAATAACTTTTTTAAACATTCACAAGGTCCCCCTCTCAGCCTATTTATTTTGTTGATAAATCTTTTATTCTGGATATGAGTTTATTCTGGGTATGAGTTATTCTGGATATGCTAGCTTTCGGGACATCCTAAATTCACAGTTGCGCGACTGGATTCGAGTTTTGTGATTGACATACTTGTCTCCTTGCCGATAAGGGAAACGTGATTGTGAAATCAAAAGCGTTAGCCTGCGTTCCAGACCCCTAACTTTGGGTTTGCCCGCGGGACTGCCAAGGTTTGCCGTCGAAAATTTTAGCCATGAGCAAACGAAGATTGTTTCAACCAAAACCAGATTTAAGTTTACCGACAAAGTCTCAGATTTTGCCGATCGCCCCCTCCCCACACCCCCACAAATTCCGCCACTGGCAAAGTTGATTTCATTCTAGGTAGATCGGCAGCCTAATCGTACGAGACTGATTACCAAAAAAAGAGTATGATATAAGGCTATAAAATTCAAATTTATAGAGTAATGAACAGAGACCAAATCACAGAGACAATAATGTCGTCAACACTATAACAGCTTGCAAAAGAAAATTTTCTTTACAATTTTGTGCATTCTTCAGTAAAGCAGAAAAAATAGCTGTCGTTTTTTAGTTGTCTCGATATATAAACCCGTTTTGGTTGTCTGAAGCCCTAGAGTCTTACGTATGACGACGTGCACTTACTGCTCTGCGAGATCTCTTTGCAACCTAGGTGCAGCCAAATTACTTGCAACACCTAACACTTTGCGCTGTGCTTTTCTATTTTTCATTTGTTTTCTTGAATACTACCACTTCCCCCCCCCTTTCCCCCAAAAACAATGCTGAAAGTATAGAAAAATATCAAACAATCCACAAGAAAAAGCGTACTTCATAATCCCTTTCTCTTTTCTATAGTAAATCAACATTGTTCCTAGGGGGAGACGGGGTTGGCTGAATTTGCCTTTGAAAATTTACGTTAGTGTTCCAAGACTTCTGGCAGTGATTGTAGGTGCAGTTATGGGTGAGGGAATTAGGAGGACTACTACTGTAGTACTACACCCACAATTGGGAAAGGTGGTCCTTCAGATTCATGGAAATTTGGATCCCTATAACCACAGAAAGTTGGCCCTTGAGAATCATGTAAATCTGGTCAATGGAAGATCGGCCATTGTTTTGGCTTTTTTTAATGATGCTCTTACGATTTAAATTTAAAAACTTTCTTAAATTAGAATTAGAAGTACATGTGTTACTTGGACCTAATATGAATTAAAAAGCTTTGACTGTTCACTGTCACATCTAGATCCTGATCGATATGACAGATACGAATAAACGGTTTCATGCTGATCTTCTTCTCGCACACCTATGTTAGACCGCGTGCGCCAGCCCTTTTAAAATATAATACAGAGAAGAAAGGAAAGGAAACATTTCCATGAACGCAAATTGACCTTTGATTCCTTCCATGTTCCAGTTAATTCTGTTTTCTTTTAAGGTATGTGTGGTTGCACAATGTTTAATACCTTTCGTTTTACATTTAAACAATAAAAGTCAACGTGGTTATTTTGTGCCAAATCACTTCCCCCCCCCCCGCAAAGTTTATGTCTCCCTCCCATTCAAATAATGAATATGTCCAACATCAGTAAAAAGCTCCGGGTGGTTATTGCCTGTCCCCACTTGGAAGAGCCCCACTGCAAAGTCCAAATCAGTAAATCTGCTAAGGGGTGAAATTTCAATGGATTGCTAACGAAAATCTTTACCAACATCGTCGCCTAGGATGTGGAAAACCAAGGTAATTTACCCGTTAATACGGAACCGATCAATTTCTTAGAAATAAAGAAATAGAAGACAATCAACTTCCTGGTTGAGTTATAGATGACAGGATGCACGCTGTCTAATTAATGTCTATATGTCTAGATAACTTTGTAAATACATTCTCACTGTTCATCAGTTTCAACATAGGCCTCTTTGGTTGCACAAATTTTTGCAAGTGGATGTGACCGTGCCGTGACATTTCTTGCTTTTTGATGTGTTGTGATCTTACTGCACGTGACAGTAGGTAGAAGCAACGTTGCAGCTTCACCAGCTGCATGTATGTTACCTTGTCAGGGAAAGTTTCTGTTGACAATTCAAACATTCACAAGCACATCGCTAAAGGTGGACATCTCTTGTGTATAATGTAAGCACGAATATATTCTTAATTTTATCTATGTTAATAATTATTTCCTTTTTTATACTACATGTAATAATGCGCGCAGCCTAGCCTAAAAGAGTTGATGTTGTTTACATCTTTTTTTAAGAACAAATTTATAAGAACAAGAGCCTCGAAATTAGTCAAAAGGTAAGAACGATTTATGAACAGGCTTAGGCTGAACTACTACAGAATGCAATTTTGAACAAGGATTCATCTCATAATGAGGAGTTTTTTACCATCTAGTGGCAATTTTCGGTAAATTTTCAAAACACATACTGATTTAATTCCAAAAACGTTGATTAGATTGTATGAATGCAGCAAGTCAGCCTTGTTTTGTAATAGGTTTTGTATATAATTGTCAAAGAAACATTGATATTATCTCAGCCTATGTACTTATATTATATACAAAATTGCATTGCTCACACCCTAATAATTTAAGAAAAAATTAAGCCCCAGTCTCAGAATTTTTATATAATTAAGAACAGCAAGCCTGAACTTCAATTTACTGGTTCTTATAAAAAAGAGTGTATTATGAGCTTAGAAGACACTCTTTGCAACATACGATTATTTGTAGCAAGCCATTTCAAACAACGTTCGTTTAAGAGAGGGATAAGGACAAATCTAGACTTGATTTCCTTGCACAAGTGGCAAGTCATTAACAATCCCCTTCAAGCATTAAAGCCCCATTTAAGCCAGTTTCCATTTTCATGTGTGGCAGTGTGACAGTACCTATCGTAAGTTTTTATTATTTCTATTTTTATTATGAAACATTTTTGTGATTTTCCATTGAAAAAGGTTATGAAATGGCTAACCTTTTTAGAAGACGGAATAGATTACGCGTTGAAAAGTCAAAAATAGCAATAAATTTGTCTATGGGGAAACTGAATACACTCACTGAATTTTTATTGTCCATAGATGTGATATCTATCTACAAAATTTGTTATTTTGGGTCACGAATGTTACGTCGTTTTACGAATAATATTAATAATCTAGTATGCTGTGTGTAAAAAGACCATAATAAAGGAGATCATATTTTAACATTGTTACTACGGTTGATTTTATCTCTAGCAGGCCCAACGCTAGAAAATACTCCCGTGCTGAGGGCTATTCTTCTGTGTCGTAGCCAGGCCAGGTAGCAGTGGCCTTGCCCTCTTCAAATTTTGAATAAAGAAAAATTTCCAGGCCTTGCCATCCCCCAGCCCCCTTGTGCAGGCTGTTGCCTCCACTGATTCTTCTCCCGGCTTGGTCATATCACATATCGACATACTGTACATGACTTACCTGGCTTTTTTGAACCCCCAATGCAGCAGACGAAAAACCGCACGAGCAACAATGGTTAAAGGTTATGTACCTCAGATAGGTGGCCCGGTTATGGCTATTGCCGGTGAAATGAGCGTAAGCGAAAAAATTGCTCACAGTCTGCAGTGTCCTGACTTTCCTCTTAGATAAATGCAGACTGGTTGCATGGATAAAGTCAGTAGTTACTTTAAAGACTGTTGGAAGCCACTTTTCAAAGGGAAATCACACAACCGGCCTAGCCATGGTGATTCGCCTGCACCAAATGAACAACCACAAACCGAGCGTGAAGAGCCCACAGAATGCGTAGAAGAAGAATCAGGCCTATTGGATTTAACTGATGTGTTTGATGCATTCAAGAACGAAGTGGAAGAGTCTTGGCAGAATTATTCCATCTCTCCGATTTGGAGTGGAAGGTCATTTGGTGATGATTTTTCAGATCTTGGTTCAGAAGAAGATTCAAGGACAGTTGTCATTGCAAAACATTTATTGAGGTAAAATGACAAAATATTACAATATCATTCATCTTCGTTCTATTTGATTTGAGTTTCTCAAATTGTGGTTGCCCCCGGACTGCTTTTAAGAGTAAGGGGGCCATTTTGGTTTTTTCGTTTCCGTAATCAAAGCTTGTTCCAAAAAAGTTGCTGGTTTTATATAAACATAAACAAAACTTATATAAATATAATCAATTTGTTTATATGAATATTTATATTAAAAAAACTCTCCTGGATGCTTCACCTTCACCTATAATTTTACTCTCCCTGGATGTTTCGCCCAGCATCATTTTTGGAATAGACGTCCACGGGGTTGTTATGAAGATTCATCCCCCCCTCCCTGTGGTATCGTTATTTTACTGTAGTTAGCAATACTGTACTGTGATTATTTATGAGGATAATAAAAAGGGGGTGGCTGTGCATAGAAACCTCATGAAAAAAACTACACTATAAGGGCAAGAAAAAAGTCTTCATACACATAGAGATAATATTTTAGACAGGAGATAGAGAAGTTATTGACAAAAATTTCTGGTAAATTGAAGATTGCTACTCACTGATTTGTTGCCGAGTGTTTGATGCCAACAACAGGTCTGCACAGCACATGCATAAATTTACAGGGCAGAGGACTAGGAGATGAAGTTAGAAAAAAATTAATTCTCAAAGAAAATTGAATTTTTCTGTTGCTGCAAATTCTTTCTTTTATGTGCCTTATTTCTTTTATCACTTTTCACAAAAAGGAACCACTCAAACAAGGGTTCTGATCAAAATGTTGTATTAAGAGTCTAATGTAATCTCATTATGTAGAGTCTTAAGAGTTTATTTAACCTTTAGTGAGTAAAACTTTTGAAGAATGAAGAAGGGAATGAGATTTAAGCAGCCTTTTAATATATTTTTACTTCTATCTTTTATTATCTATCTTCTTTCTTTACATATATGTATATATATTTATTTATTGATGCAGATTATATTTATATACATTTTTCATGGATGTACTTTAAAAGCTTGCAAATACCTAATACCTAGACATAGTGTAGAAATGCTGATCGCATGTTACGTTAATGCCCCCTTTCTCTTTGCAGCATCTAGGAGAAATACTTTTGCTCTACTATTGAATATCTTTCATTTTGTGTTTCAGGCATGCATTGTCAGTTTCAGAAATCTACAACCACTTCCTGCTACTAGAGTAAATATGTTTTGCTTTCAGTTTTATGTTACTGATTGTGACTGAAGAAAAATGTTTTGGTTTACTATAATTTGAAAAGTCCAGCTGGGGTGTTGTTTTAAATATAGCTTTGAAACACTTAATGTGGTTAGATGCCCAAAGCAACACATAGGCTTTACAGTTGCAAGGTACCCAAAGCAGAAGGGTATTATCAGATCAGAAAATTAAGTCCAAAAATGGTTGGGTGAATTTGTATAAAGAAATATTAGATAATAAAAATAAGCTTTCATTAGAAATAGGAAGCTCAGAAAACTTCAGACCTGTGTGCAGGGTATAGCTATTTTTGACAAGATCTTGGGTGCACCAACAGCCTGACAATGCTAGGTGCACTGACGCTATCAAATTTTTTTATATCTACATTTGATGTGTCTTGTTCTTAGAAGCGCCCTCTGGTCTACCATTTCTACATCTTTGATGTACATCATTGATGCACCATTGGCATGCTCTGCATGTTGGACTTCAGTACTAACAATTTATTGACAAACAATCAATTTTTAGAAATTAAAGAGCTTTGAACTTGTTTTATTTTCCACCAATGTGACTGGCTAGTTTGCATAAATTTGAGACAATAGTTCTTCAAAAGTATCACAAATTCTTCAAGACCAACCTCTTGTCTTATCTTTTGTAAAGGTCTCCCATTAAATGAAATCTTTATCTCAGCATGAACAATGACATACATGACCCTTAATTCTTTGGCAAAAATTAAAAGTAATATATTGCTGTTACCTAGAAACTGGAGTATTCAATGTTGAACCATGTTTCTTTTCAAAAATTGGAGTGTTCCAGTTTAATAAGCTATTCTGAAGCAGTTGTAGCACCCAAGCAAAAAAAACAAATTTGCCAGTGTCAAAACTTTTCCAATAAGTTAACCTGTTAATAACTTGTCTTGCTCTTTTGAAAGGCTCATTGTTGTTTTTCTGATGATTGTTAACTTTCTGTTGTTGATAGAATGTGCCCTAACTGACAGATATTCAGGGGAGGCACTTATATCTCTTAATTTAGGAACAATTCCTCTGGAGAGCTTGAACTGTTCCAAATTTGATAGTTTCATCATCTGTTTTGATACAACCACTGTATTATCACTTATTGTTCAAGGGGATAACCAAGAAAGGGGGGGGAGTACATCCCAAAAATTTGAAAGCTTCACTCAAATTTTAGAGGGAACTATCAATGGTTTAAAGTATAGCACATTGTGTATAAGGATGTGTATGTAAAAATCTGATGAGAACTATTTTGCAAATAAATCATCCCTCCCCTTCCAGATTGTTCGACTTTTTTTGCCAATACACAAGCAAACATTGCTCTGTGGTAAAAAACCTAACCGATTAGAATGTGTACAGTACCACACAATTTGAAGCAAATTTATCAAATGATATTGATTTACAGCTTAGCATCACAATGATTAGTCAAATAACTGTCAAGCAAGGTACACAGGAGGGTAGAAACATGCAGAGGGTCAACTGTTTGAAAAATTTAGCTAAATAATGATTAAGGATTACATAAACACGTATAAATTCAAATAACATGAAAAGGAGTTTCTTTTCATTTTATTTGGTTTCCTATTAATTCGTACTATTAATTTTGTCACAAGTCTATATATGAAATTGCAAAAAAGCTCCCACTCTGAAATTAACTATTTTTCATCATTTAATTCCAGCCCTAAAAGATGTTGCCTTCCATCAAATACAGAAGTCATCTCTAGTATTCAAAGCACTGGAACACTGAGAACAGTCCAGGTACTTTGTGTTGATTTACATAGATAAGATAGACCAAATTTATCTATTAAGTCACTTATGCTTGCCTGTCCATGAAAACAGCACTAATTACATCTTGAGAGATGTGGATTTTCCAGAGTCAGGAAAAGTTTGCAAACTTTATTGAGCCGGAATGTGTATAAATTTGTTGCAATATTTTTTGCAATTATTGTAACTTTGTGATGAGAGATGCATATTTTCCTTGGCAATCATAGTGAGTTGTATGTTCTAATGTAGTGCATCTAAGGTAGGTTGTAGAAACAAAGAGAAATGAGGAAGGTGCCCAGAAATTCGGAGACTTGTGGAAGTTGGAAAAATTGTATTGCCTTTGGTTTCCAAGTTACAACCATCAAAAATGAAAAAATATCAAAATGAAATTCAAATCTTCTATTTTCTAAAATGAATATGTTTGCAGAACTGCTATACAATGTAATATTTAAACATTAACTTTTGTATTTGTATAATCGACCTAAGCATTCTACTTTGCATCTGTCCTTAAAAATATCTATAATTGAAAACAAGTACAAGTTTCTAAAAAGTTTTGAATAACAGTCTTGCAAGGAGAAGAAATCAAGACTCCTGGCTATGCCATTCTAAACAGAATTTCTGACTATGCCATTTTAAACCCCTTTAAAATTAAGAAGGTTTTATAGTAAGATTTTTTTGGCCGGCGGAAGGTTGACAACTTCCCTAGACTCTGCTAATCAGGGGCGGACAATTGGTCAAATATTGGGTGGGGGTTGTATTAATAAGATGACGTCACATTTTCCGATTGTTCTAGAACAAAATACCATTGTCCTCCAAATTATTGGGGGCGACCCCGCCTCGCCCCAAGGTGTCCGCCACTGCTGCTAATAGGCCTGGATGATAGCTAGATTTTACCGAATATATATTCTTACCATGATGTTGGGACTTTTAATGACCCTCACGCCCACGATCGTGATCCTCAAGTCCCCTAAATACCCAGCCATATCCGCTGCTAATACCCGCTGGAAGCCTACCCAAACTACAATCGTCCCATGTTGGCCCATTTTATCTATAATTGTTACATTTCAATAGAAACTAGCACAATTGTTTTGGCCAACAAACGTTCCGAGTGCAGAGCATGACATCCAGGAGATTTTTTACGTCAGCAGTATATTTACTGAAGTATTACCTTTTGAAATTTTTTGTCTCGAGGGTTAACGTCACCAGAGCCGATCTGTCTTGTCCTTGTAATCCCCTTTTCGACACGTTGGAGAAAATGTCAAAGTTGTCGGTTTGCTAAAGCTCTAGCCGCGGAGTAATTCTGGCATTCCCCTTTTTAAGTATACACATAACCCTAAACCGTTAAAAGAGAAAATATTTTGTTCTATTATACAGAGAAAAAAATCTATTCTGTTGCTGATAATTAATTCAAAGTTTACAAGCATCCTTGAGTATAACATTTTCTTTTAGAAAGATGGAGTGGAAACTCGAAGGCGTGGTATGTTGTTTCCAAATCTTTGTCGGTTTTTGATTATTAGATACCATAAATCGTCGAGTTGGCCCCCTCTCGAAAAAGCCCCCCCCCCCTTGAATAAGCCCCTATCCTAGAACTACAAATTGCCAATAAGCCCCCCCTCGAATAAGCCTCCACTGCTACAGTAAATCCTCGAATTGGCCCCCCTCGATTTGTTGATTGTTGCCATCTGAGGTTGCCTTTGGTGTTTTATTGAATTACCACAACAAATTCATACTTTTGGTAGTAATTAATTAAATGTTAATAAAGAAATTCCTACTAAAATATACGAGGTCTTTTAAAAATGTCTTCTTAATGTTACAATAATTTAATAAGCCCCCCTCGTATAAGCCCCCCCCCTCGAATAACCTACCATCCTTATATATAAAAAATAAATAAGCCCCCAGGGGGCTAATTCGAGGATTTACAGTATATCTCAGTTTGCCTTGTTTTTTTCTTGTTTTGGCTCACGAACGGCTTGTTCAGGAGCGGACACTTGGTTTTACAATTAGGGGGGGGGGGGAGCCTATTGTTTTGATAAGATGACGTCAAATTTTCCCATTTTTTAGAACAGAAGACAGTTTTCCTCCAAAATATTGAAAGGTGACCGCCCCCTCGGCCCCTTGGGTCCACTACTGGACTTCTTAGCATAATATTTGCCTGCTGGTTGTGTAAACAGTCAGGAACATGGTAGCCATTATGAAGTGGAAAGTGAGCGTTATCCACGCCCATTTTATGAGACAGAAGGATTAAGCGACGCCCGTTTGTGACAAAGACCCTGTGGATAAATCGAGTCCTTGCCTACGTTATTTCCAAAGCAAAATGAGTAGATATTTGCCTTTAAAGGTGGTTTTGTATAAAATCAAAGAGCCCGTGTCAACCGTCTCTATGGATTTCTTCGTCACTATGTCCAAGTAGCAGAAGCAGTTGAATGTTACCTTCTGATGAAAATTTCATTGCAGCTGTTCCTAGAGTCCAGGCTCCTGTTATACCAGCTGATGTCTTCCTCGATAGTCCAGTGAGTTTGATTCAATTTGCATATATCAAACATATAACCACAGCTTTACTGCAAAGGCGATTTATTTCAACCATAACATTAGAGATCACATTTTTTGCTATGAGTGTGCTTTATAAACCTGTGAAACCAAATGTACGTTAATATTTCGTCCTATCATTTTTAAGATATTTTAAAAAAGTTTCGGTGTATCTAGATGTTAGCCCTGGAAAACTCAGCTTTATTTTTCAAGATTTCTCTACAGTTGCCTTTTGAAAATAGACAGCTTTCCTCCATCTAATCAGCAAAGTTTCACTGACAATATACCTTGTGAGACTCACTGTGTTGATAAAGGACGAAATAAATTCAAGCAATGATTGTCTCTCTACCCTTTTTTATTCATTTTTTCTAGGAAAAGAATCTGTATAAAAGGGTTCTGCTTTGTGCAAAGTATCCAGTGCTTTCTTCGCCAATCTCCGAGCCCTCTGATACCCCCATGGCTACTAGTGCAACCTCAAAAGCGTAAGTTTGATTGTTGATTTCCATATCCAGTAATACCCACGTCATCATAGTTTAAAATGGATTTAGTAAATCCGTTTAATTTCGACTCCATCAAACGGCTCACGCGTTCTTGTCAATCTCCATGTCTGATTCTGTTTATAGAAACACTGAACCAAGGCAAGGGAGACTGCCATAATTATCTTCTATCATTGACTATGTGCAATTATCCCTTACTAAATTACAAACTTAAATCGTCATGAACAAAATCACTTAGAATAAGCTATTCAATTCCATGAAAATGCAAGTGAAAAAGAAAGGCTAAAAAGGTTAATCATTTTGTGGAAAGAAGAACGAAGGGAAAGAGGCATGAAAATGCAGATGCAAATTAATTTCATCCTAGGTTCTCATACATGAATCAAAGATACTTTCAAAGTTTTAAGATCAAGCAAAAATATTTTTCCGATTTTTTTATTCTACCCCAGGGAGCCAAATTTCACGACACCCCAGCGTAGCATTCTCAAATTGGTTTCTCGCCCATTGGCTTCCCTTGACCCATACCTTTAAGAAACACGAGCCAATCAGACATAAAAAACACCACATGTAATTTTCTTACAACATTTTCAAATAGCCAGGCCAGTTATTGCCCTTTAATTTTAACATTAATCAAAGGAATTTTCAACAATAAACCTATATAAGCCAAAGAATCGGAAATATGAACTCTAGTTATGTATACTAGTTGTGAACAATATTTGAATATAGCTTTGAAAAGCAAACGCTTTGAAACATACTAAAGCTATAAAACGTCAGAACATAGATGGAAAGCTCTACGCTAGGAAATATGATTGTGGCTGCTTGACTTCAGGAAACAAAATTTTTATGCAGGAATTCCTGTCTTTTCTTTATTTTGACATTTTTAGTTCTCTATTCAATTCCATTCAATATATTTTATTTAATTACTTCATTATTAAAATAATTTATGTAATTTAATTAATAATCCGAAAAATTTCGGATTATTTTTGGATAATAACACTTTTTTCATTCTATCATAAACGACCGTGTTCCGCAAGCCCACGCTATCCACTTTTTGGAGACCGCTTTTCATTAGACCAATCATTTCTATAAACACCGAAAACCTCATCTTTTTCAAAAGCATCTTCCTGTCGTCTCTCTTTCCAGAAAACAATATTTTTTTGTAGGAATTCCTGTCTTTTCCTTATTTTGACATTTTTAATTTTCTTTTCAATCCCATTCAATAATTTTTATTTAGTGTTCCATTATTAAAATACTTTATGTAATTTAATTAAAAATCGAACCTGCTCGACATCGTTCGATTTCTGGAATGAAAAATTCACGAAACCCCATTGTCTTCTGACTTTTTTGCATTGTAGTGCTTACACATTTTCTCCCAACAAAAACTATGTAGAAGATATTTCAAAAAACATAGTATCCATACTGTGAATATGCCTGTCTAGGGCCAGTCATGAAGTATATAAAATTAGAGGGGAATCTAACTGTTGGGTGGTGGGTCGAAAATTGTAGGCTTGCAAACAGGTCAAGATACAAAATATTTTCAGTATCATGCTAAACAAGAAAAAATTGAACGAAGCAATGGAGGAAATATTTCTTGAAGAGGTTTCTTGAAGCTCATTTTTAAGCCTTGGGGTCATCAATTTTTCGGCGTTTTGTTTCTACGTAAACAGTTTTGTTTCTTGCTTTTGGCTCCCCTTCCCTTCCAGCCCCCTCTTTTTCACAACTTATGACAGTTCCCTTACAATAAAGACAAAGATGATGCCTTGAAGTTCAATGTAGAAGGGCCACAAAGGCTGAACGTTTTTAAAGCTACTGAAAGTTTGGTAGCCACGGCCCACCATGGCCCACTCTGGCCCACCATGGCCCACTCTGGCCCACCATGGCCCACCCTGGCCCACTTTGGCCCACTCTGGCCCACCCTGGCCCACTCTGGCCCACCCTGGCCCACCCTGGCCCACTCTGGCCCACCCTGGCCCACTCTGGCCCACCCTGCCCATTCTGGCCCACCCTGCCCACTCTGGCCCACCCTGGCCCACTCTGGCCCACTCTGGCCCCAACCCTGGCCCACTGGCCAGCCCTGGCCCCACACTGCGCCCACCCTGGCCCACCCTGGCCCACCCTGGCCCACCCTGGCCCACCCTAGGCTGAATAAAATGAGAAAATCTTTCATAAAAAATAAATATTCTCGATTTTTCTTTCTAGTTCACCCAATCTGGATGATAGTGTCTTGAGTCCTACTGATAAAATCTCTATTGAGCCGGAGATGCTGATGACGTATATACGAGAATCGTTTGGTATAACAGAGAGAATTCACGAACAGTACTTAAACGAAGTGAGACAGTCAATTCCAAATGGAAGCCAAAGTAGGGTTGGTATTGACTCATGATATTGATTCTTTGATGTAACTGGACTTGAAATTACTTTTACAGGGATCTTACTCTAAATTGTTACTGCATGTCAAAATTTTTAACCAGTGAAGGCCATCTTAAAATCTCAATACACGTTCAATTTCCAAATTAGAGCCTAGATTCCAGAACTGTATAAAAATGATTGGATAGGCCTCCGAACTAAGATCGTGTATTGAATCTCTATACCCATTGTTTGAATTAAACTCTTCCGGACATTGAATCACTCTGCGATACATTATCTATTTCAAAGATTACAACACGTAACTTCATTTGAGGATTCTGGTTTTCAATTTCTTTACTGTTGTATCACACCTTGGTTTCATATGTAGTTATTGTGCGTTATGTTGTAGTTATGTAATGCGATGTTATGTAATCTTAAAAACAGAAGTCTCTCCTCTCTTGGAGATGAAAGGTCATCGCTTCAAACGTGAACGGACTTGAATCTTATTATACAAGCATGAAATTAGGCACGATCATTTAGTCTGACGTGCAGGCAGAGTTTCAAACATATCTTGTATTACTATCAGAGGAAAAAGCCCCCCAGTTTAAAGTCACTTATGGAGAAATTTTGGGAAGTAACAAAAAATGCACATTTGGACTGCACCGCGACTTCAGTGTTAACAACAAATTCGAAGCAATGTAGCATTATCACCAAAAGCCATCATATGAGTTTTAGAGAAAAAGACAAACAAGTTTTTGAGAAGAGAGTTTAGTTTTAGAGAGAAATTTTTAACTTTGAAATAATTCTAATATTCAGAAAAGCATCACTCGTTACTGAACATCTCTTATCTAATACTTTTCATTTTAGTTTTTTTTTCTTGTTTCGAACGGCTGCAGTGTTATTTCTCAACATGCCCCCCCCCCTCCTCATTCAACACACACAAAACCATGCAGCCTCTATACGTCTGATTAGAAAAACGAATTTGACCCGAACTGAACTGCATTTAGTCGCCTAGGGGCGTAACACTCTTTTCAAGCACCGCAGGAGATCTTTATAGAACAATAGGATTTTTAGAAATTTTTTGGAAATTTTTGTCAAAAATCTTTGTCAAAGGCGATTTCCGTCGAGTTATTTGCCCCTCGCTAATCATCAAGTTGAAGCTTGGCTGTGACCGTGATTTGACATACCCAAGCTTAGATCTTAACGAATCAATTTGTCTTTTCTTTTTCTGATCTCGTACTTTATTCTGATCACATCTCGTCTTCTTGTCGCAGCTTCTTCTTCGTGAGCTTCAAGAACGTCTTTATCAACTTGAGACGAACCAGCATTACTACTACAAAATCGGGTGCTTTCTAGACAGAGACGGATATCCAAGATGGCGCAGCAGGGAAATCGATTTTACAAAAAAGCTTATTCGTAAGTTTTGGAAAAGTGATATCCCGAGGAATATTGGTAGCCAAGTCCGTCACATAAACGGTCATGAGGAATACAAGCAGTTGCAGGACAAGTTGTTTAAGTAAGTTGTTTAGTTGACTAAAATTCCATGCTATGTTTGTTCACAAACGCGCGACTTTGTCACTAATCGAAAAATTGGATACATTGTGACACTTCCTCTAATTAATCAAAGCTGAAAGTGGTTTAAAGCCATCGAAAAAGCATGTATTGTTGTAAACAGTGGTGGCTCGAGACTTTCGATAGATGCGATAATCGATAGAAAGGTCGAGTTTGCAAATTTTTCACTGTATTCATGGTTCGATGTTGATCGTCATGGAGCGCAGAAGAAAAAGCATATATAGATGTGGTTGTTGTTTAGCGATGATGTCATTTTATGGGCAAAATTTTTCTTGCCCCGAATTCCTCCAAATAAGCCAATCACAGGCCGCGTTTCGCAATGCTCCAGGTCGAAAATTAGCTTGTGCGCATGCCGGCTAGGGGCAAAAAAAACTTTGCCCGTAAAATGACATCATCGCTCAAGGCACTAGCGGGCCAGAAGCGAGGCTAAGGACGAGATGGGATAGCAAGGAGCTTTTTCTAGAAGAGATACAAACTTATATAATTAACCACAGTGAGACAAACTTCAAAATTGAATATGAATATCATAGATTTCCTTTGAATCTTTTTGAGGGGGCATTGCCCCAGATGCCCATTAGCAAGAGCCGCCACTGGTTGTAAACCCTTCATTTTTGTTACAGGATCTCTTTCGCAACATTAGCTCAACTTTTTGTAGCAGTAACATGCCGTTCATTGTGTTGAATCTTGTAACGAAATTTGCTTGCACTTTTGCAGATATGAAATGAACAATCGACGCTCTACGAATGATGGAAGCCTTTATAAAGATGACGAAGTTGTATCCGTCTTTCCAGTGTCTTCAGCTGCAAGAAAGCTCTTAAAAGAGTTTGGCTTGCGTTACGGAGTTTGTAGCTTGTACCGGCAGATAACGTCTTTGGTTTGCCTTGCAGAGTATGTATTTGTTTTACCATTGTTAGTATTATCACAATGAATCGTCATCTTTAACATCATTATTATTATTATGAAGTCGGTACCAGGACACCTACCTCTATTGATCATTTAACCCTTTCCGCCTGTGCGTCCCACCAGTGGTCCCACACAGCAAATTTTGACTGAAAATTCAAAGTTTACGGAATCCCTCCAAAATTCATGTCAAGTATTATTTTTATACGTAAAATTCAAAAATTTTGTTCTTTTTTTCAAAATTTCCAATATTTGGGGGTTTAAATGGGGGTTAAATGTCGTCCTTCACACTAAATTTTTACTGAAAATTCAAAGTTTACGGAATCCCTCAAAAGTCGGTACCAGGACACCTACCTCTGTTAATCATTTAGGGTAAAGGCTTTCATCAGCATCTTTTTATTCTAGACTATAGACGTTTTATGCAAGAGGCATTATGATCATCAATCAATCACACAATCACTTCATTACAATCGCTCAATCAGTCATCATATTGATCAGTTGTCATCATCAGTCATCATCATAATGATACATTATCATTACCGTTAACGCAAATCTCTGTTTTTACTTGATAAAATGGTTATTATGAATCAATTTAATTATTTCAAGGAATTTTGAATATTGTGGCTGGTACTTTAAATGTGTTACTCAAGCGATTTTCGAAATGAAGAGATCGTTACAGAACTACTATGATATCTTGGTTCATGATGAGGTATGTATCTAGAAATTCCGTTGAGATGACGTAATAACCATAAGATGTTAGACTGATTTCCACGGGGTGAATTTCGCACCAAATTCGCCACGAATTCGTTTCAAAATTCTCTTTTGATTTGCGCAAGACTGCGAATTCGCTGCGAAGTTATATTGTGATTTTCCCCAAAACTAAACATTTTGGCACCGATTTTCAGAACAGCATGTTTGACGAATGTTTATAGAATGTTTTTATCATAAATCAAGCAATTTTACCATGCTTTGATTGGTTATTAGCTGCTGTGAAATATTTGGCCGCGAAAAAGTAGAACTCTTTTCTACTTTCTTGCGAATTCGCTGCGAAATCAAAAGTCAAAACTGCGCATGCCTCGATATTTTCACCAGCAATTTTTTTAAATTGAAATATGCGTTTTCACAAGGGTCATCTAATAAACCTTTCACTTGCAGCAAAATTGGAAAACTATACCGGTCTTGTGTTTGCGTTTTCCTGTTTGGCCTAATTCGATCCACAACTGGGTATATATTTTCCATCATGTTCTTTCGGACCTTTATTCTGACGTTTTATACTCTTAGGAATGTCAGACGAAAAAGCTTTTAGCCAATTATGTTATAATATGTTAAATAACGCTTGCTTTTTTCAAAGCCATTTTCAAGATAGGAACTCTAAATTGATAAGAGTTTCCTGTATAAAAAAGTATTGAATGGGCTCGTTTCTAGACGTCAGATCTTCCTAGACGTTAATACGCAGCCTGCGCGCAGACTCAACTGGCTTTCCAACCGACGAGTTTAGTTACATGAATCCTAAGACTGGGAGACAAATCCTAAAACTTTCCATTCAACTAAACCTAGATTCATTTCCATTCAACTAAACTTAGATTCATGTAACTAAACTCGTCGGTTGGAAAACCAGTTGAGTCTGCGCGTAGGCTATTAATACGCTTATCAGGGTTTCAACGGACGCCATTTTGTTGCTACCATTTTGACTTTCAAATATTTTAACGCCCCATTTGCTTTTGAAATAATGACTTTCTAAAGGTTTTTTTGTTCATTTCTAGTGCCGTATGTTGAAGAATGCACTGAACTTGATTCATGAGCATATCGGTCATACTTTGCGAAATGCACGTAAACTTTTTCCGTCAAAAATTCCCTTTGATGTTGTTTCTTGGATATTGGAAATGTTAAAGGCCATCATTAAAATGGAGAAAGACCTCGGCATGGAAAATTATGACGACTTGGAAACGGAAGAGCAACAAATTCGTAATTATTTTCAAGTAAGATTCAATCTATTAATCTTCTTTTAAGTAAGAATCTGCATTATCCTGGTAATTACTGAGAATTTTATCTTGAAGTATATCATTGCAATTATGTGTTTTGCGGAAATACCATGTCTGAAAATGTAAATAAGACAGGAATCTCATTAAGATTGATGGAAGTATACTAATTATTTCTGTTTGAATGAAAGCTGTTATTAAAACAGATTTAGCTAGATCTAATCAACAACTTGAGAGGGCAAGTACTGCAATGATTTTTAGCTTCACAAAAATGAAGATAGTCTTTCTACATTTTCAAATACTCGCAGAATTACATAAAACAATGATTTTCGAATGACATCCCTAGTGTTATAAATATTTCTTTAAGTCCATGGAACACTTTTTACATCATTGGTTTTGAAAATCAATGTAATTAAGTCCGCGTACATCATCTCCAGGAAAACCTCGTTTCAAATATTCCCCCTTCCAAGTAAAAGTTAAGACTTAGCAAAATATCTTCTTTGAACAGTTTCAGTAAGAAAACACAACCCATCGGCTACAATTTTCTTTACTATCGTTCATTTCATGATCACACCTTTTTTCATGTAACTTGTCGGCAATATTACTCAGTTTATACTGGATCACTTCAAAAAATTTGTCAATTTGTTGTCCTACTTCAGAATATATTTTAAGTAACAGTTTTCTATGAAATTGTTATCTTTTGCTGCGTGTCTTAGATGGATGAATCCCTGGGAAACTGACTTTTGTATAGGGGTATCTTTTTGACGATTCTTAGGTCTCACAAAAAGCCCCCCTTCTATGACTTGAGTTGGGTTTTCATATTAGCAAATAATCAACCGTCTTTTTCATTTGCAGGAAGCTGTGGAAATCGGATATAATAGGGTCAAAGAGCCAGAGATGGTTTTCACAAACAGTGTCATTACAACAAGAGTTCTACGAAAATTGTTATTAGATCTACGACAGGAGCTTGAATTCTACAAAGAATTTGAAAATCAATGCCCTGATGTTTCCAGGTAGGCCATTACTGCTTGCAAATATCTTTTAGTTATTTGATGTCGAAAAATTGGTTGTTGGTTGTCTTTAATTGGTTATAACAAAGTTTTCTTCCTTTGTATATTTTGATAATTGTTTATGTCACATAAAGGTATATATTTGATGGTTTGAAAAAGTGGGATACCAGTTCTTTCGTTCTTTAGAGGGTTTGTTCAGTATCGTAGCGAGGGGGGGCAAGAAGGGGCAAGGATGGGGGCGACCATTTTCACGTAATGTAAGACATAGCTTTTCTAGACACATTTACAAAATGTGGCGTTTTCCCAAATTCTAAAGGGTGTGGTCAGCAAAACTTTTTGCCGTCGGACTCCTCTTTGCCCCTCCAATCTTCCAGCCTAAATATAAGAGTGACTGTTTCTAGAAGATTTGCTAATCAAATATGCTGTTGCTGTTGATGATTGATTGGCTTTCCAGTTGTTCTATCCGACTAAACGCATCCTTTGCTAGCATTCTGTCAAACGAAGTTGTGTATGAATGGAAAATATATTTTTTCGTCTTTGCACCAGCAATGCAACTTCTTTTTCGCATTCATATTTTCTATATTATCTTGATCTTCGAAGAATTTATCTTCCCTTCCCTGTAGTGCAAATAGTTGCTCGAATTATATCGTTTAGCCAAATATTTTTTGTTTTGTCACTCCTAGGTACATGGATGTCACTAATTCGGTTTCTAAAAAGCTGTACACTCTTCTGATGAAGGACACAAAGAACTACTTCATTAGTAAAATTGAGAATCCAGAGAACCAGTTAGAAGTTGACTTTAAAGATCTCAGACTGGCCTACCTTTTTGCGAAATTGGACAAGGACTGGGAACTATATATAGCCCCAAGGTTTGTTTTAACCTTCCTTTTAATTCACCACTACCCTTCTGCATTGCGAAAGAACGTACTGAATTAATCTTTCCATTTTGAATCGTTAAGTTCCATCTGGTTGTTTACTAAGAGCAATTATTAGCGAGGGAATCATCTGCTTAGTTAATATTCAGGCTTCCAAAATTTTACCTGTTTTTTAAATTCATTTTGCTGATGTTTTTCAACAAATTCAGAAGAGGGATTCGTTCATTTAAAATTCACCAGTAGTTATGCTTGGTGAAATAGCTTCTGACAGGGTTAAAGACCTTTTGACTGGCATTATTCGTTTTGCTATAGAAAAGTACAAATATCAGGTCTGGAGGGCCTATCTGGCCAGGGGGTAGTTGTTGGGGATTTCTTTATCATAGCCCCGAATTTTTCATTTGGATGACAAAATTGTTATTTGCTCCGTAAAATCGCCTGGAAAATAGGATCGAAATTGTCATCATTCTCATGTCTTCGCCGTTAGGTTTTTATATTTTCTTTTTCTCTGCTTGCAACCTTCATAAAGAAGATTTCTATGTATCAGAATTTCTCTCATCGCTGGAAAAACAAGGCTTTCGGTATCATTTATTTTTGTGACGGTATCATTTATCTAATGTTTGAAGAGAAGATCCCTGTTTTGAGGTGAATATCCTTCGCTAGTGATCCTTACCAATGTAGGTTTCAGTTAGCAAGACATAATTTAAGGCTGTAATTATCTATCATCTACATCTATCATCTACACATGCTTGCTGCTGTGAATGCATTTAATTTTGTAAGTAGGTGTTAATTAATGGGCGAAATATTTTTTCACCAGCATACAAAAGTGGAGAATATACATCATGTTTGAAATCAAAAGAATTATGCGTGAAACTGTCGTTTCAGCCAGGAAGCTATTGCGTGTGTTTATTCGAAAAGACGAGCTAAAGACGATCGCCTTTAAGTTTCCAAACATAGATGAAGATACTATTACGTCACATTCGTCGAGAAGTACTTTAACAAACGCTGCTCCTGCCACACCTTTAAGTGTAAGTTCGGTTTTGCAGTCTCAAACATCGGCTTTCGAAAGGATAATGCCAAGATGCGACACCACAGATTCTAAATCGACCGTACAAACTCATAAAACCCAAAGATCTGTTAGTGATGCCTCAAATCAAAATGGCGCATCATCCTCTTCCAATCGATTACCTTGCGACCGTGACAAAGGCAAAGTTTCTTCTACAAATGATGGCAAAACTAAAGATAAAGACAATGTCACGTTTTTGCCAATAAATCGCAAGCCTTCAGTACAGAGTGCCATTGACAGTGAACAAACAAGCCCTTCGTTTCATAGTTGTAAAGATGACTTGCCCTTTACACCAGCCTCTCATACAGAAGCTGATGATATTTCTTTCGGGTCTTCACAATATGAAACTCCATCAGAAGGTGATGAGGCCTCGTTGATTTTTCCTAACTCCCAAGGGATATCGTATGCTTCCAATGAAGGTGATTTCGAAAGTTTTATAATCCAAGACTCATTAAAAGCGGACTGGAAAATTGAAAACCCTGAAGCTTTTGCTAGGGATTTTTTAGATGACCTCATTGCTAAAGTGGTGTTAATTAAAGAGGGGAAGACAGATATGCAAGATTCATTATCCGACAAGTTTGCCAATCTCAGCTCAAAGAGTTTCAAAAGACAAGGAAATCAGAAGACAGGGCATCTTTCTGTTGATACCGGTTATATTTCGCTGATTAGTAATTCAAGTAATCCGAGTCCATTATCAGGTCAGATTCCTCATCCGGATTTGCTAGCCCCTGTCGCAGTGCGGCCTACTTGTAAAGAAGACTCTAATTTTGATAAATTAAACCTTCAAAAATCGGAAAACTCGATCGAAGACTCTAAGTTGCTTAGAAATGGTTCAGTTCCAGCTATTGGTAGCCCGGCAGTAATTACTGAAGACAATTCATTGAATAAATGTTTCGATAACGTGCACGAGAATGGGCATGTTGAAACAAAATCAAAGAGAGGCGAATCCGATAGTACTGTGTATACTGATCATTCTACAGAAATAAGCGACCGTCAGACGTACTGCTCTCAATTGACACAAGACGTAACTTCTGAGTTGACACAAGACGGCACATCAGTGCTTCAGACATCAACGGAGTCATCAGAGCCGCGCTCAGAAGTAAGCTCTGATTGTGTACCAGAAGCAGGCCAAATTCTGATATCAAGTTCTTTAGCAGACACGTTAATAGCAGTATTTCGTTTATCTGGCTTTTACAGCAAACTCTGTGAACTTCTTGTCCCAGAAACCTGTCACGAACGTTTTATCAGTGATCTGCAAATGCTTAAGAGTGAACATGAAGCATTCAGAGACCACTTGTATAATGGCCTTATGCAGGTATGCTCAATTTTTTACCTACACTGTATGTATTTCTTTTCCAGCTGGCAATGATATTTGTGAAAGAAATTTTTTTTATGCATAAGAGCAGCCAATTAGCCATTTAGTTGTAAAATTTAACTGTAACAAATAAACTCAAAATTTACCCAAAATAATCACATTGTTGTCACATATCATTAGATTTAACTACAAAAAGTTCCAGGGGGGAGGGTGGTGGGGCTGTCGCAACGTCTTCGCATGCTACGTGAAAAAGGGATCTGTGAACAAGTGACAGATAAGATGCATCTGAAGCACATCATAAAGTTTCGAATCGAATTAGGAAAGAGAAGTATACGCTGATAAATGAGAAAATCAATCTGTCTTATGTTTTTCGTTGAGTTGGTCCGGGGTCGCGTGTTTCTTGTGATTATCTATCGAGATTTTCCCAAGTGTTTGTTTTTCCCAGATGAGGATACATGGGAACGCTATACTCCAAAAAATGGACTTCTCACAGGGTGGTCATCCTAAAATTTTGAGCGTGTTGGCAAGTATATATTTGAAGGAATGAACTTGCCTTTTGTATTAATCCATGGAGGTTTTTCATCGCTCTCGAAATCTTCTGCAGATGTTTTTCATGCAGATGCTGTTAAGATTGTATCATTAAATAAAACAATCTTAGTAAGATCTCCAGAGGCTCAGTTCTACAGAAATGACTATGTTTCATAGTAAAATGTTGATCATTCTAGACAATCAACAAGACCTTGGTTACCTACGCGGATGGCATTTTGGCCTTGGATATTTGTGGTTGGAATGAAGATGATTTGGAGAACATACTTGGTCATCAGGTTAGGCTTCTCATTCAATTTTTTCTATTTTCATGTTGCAAAGACCATGAGAAGCATGCACAAATACATTCTTGTCATTTAGATTCATTCTTCTAAATATCAAATGCATTTATAGCTGCCATTTCCAAAAACATAACTTCTTCATGTTTTTTAGACAGGCACCACGTCCCAACTGTTTCCTGTTTGATAATCGGTATTAAAGTAAGAGCCATTAAGCCTTTTTCCTGCATTGCAAAGCGGGTTGATTCAATGTGTGATATAATTTTCTGTTACGAAAACGATTAAATCTTAAGGTTAGGGAAGGATTCCACTGTATGATAGTATGAAGGGTCTTAGAATATTCAACAAATTCTACTACTTTATTCGATAAATGTTAGAACTGTAAACATTCTGTTTTTGTTCGTATTACCAGTTAGGTATACAGGGCCTAGTATCAGTGGCAATGTCAATAAGTGATAGGTCTGTTTCCAAAATGTTTGCTCTATCCAAATTTAGAGCGACTTGTAAGAGGTAGCAAAAATGTCAATTTAAGGAAAATTTCAATAAGTATACTGACTCTAGAAGGCTTGCAAATTATGCTTTTTTGAGCTGCAGAAATCCAACTGTATTTAGTGGGTCAATTTTTCTGCAAAGGGTTGCTAATATTAAGGCAATCATTTCAATTGGTGTCTTAGACCAAGTCTGGTAAAAAGGCTACTGTACCAAAAAGGGTTTATCTGGCATGTAAAAGGTGTTTGAAAGGCCTTTGGCATGTAACGTAACTGGGGACTTCGACATCACGGCTGGAAGTAACTAAGTATTTTGATGGCCTCCTCTCAGCATCGAGGCTCACTAATGGTAGCACAGCTCGTTTTCTCGTGTAAACAAGATCTGAGCAAAAATCTACCATTTCCGTTTTGCAATCTAATTATTCAAGTATCCTTTATTGTTTATTATGCCGTCCTCATAGATTCAAATTCACTCATTTGGTTTTCACCTTGATGTTTTAGAAGTTAGTTATTATTATCAATGTTATGATAAAATAAAATCATATCGAAATATCACAACCATTCCAACACTGTCACGTTGTGATGTGATGAAAATATGTTATTTGGATTCGCAAAAGAAGATTTACAATTATGATAGAAATTTGAGTAAAACTAGACTTAAGAAACATAAGATATTTTTAAGTGAGAATTTGCTTAGTTTAGAAGCTTATTAAGTGAAAATTAGTTAATAAGCTCAATTTCTATTAAAGCTAATAAGGAGACTGAGAGAGGAGCAAAAGAGTGGACTCATCAGTGGCTGCCGTCATGATCTGAGCAGAAGATTGTCTGATGAAGCTCGTCTTGAAGGTATATAGCTACATCAAATGTTTAAGCATATATAACATATAACGTATAAATACATATAGTTTAACATACTGAAGTGTGTTTTAACATATATAGAGCTTTAGCCAAGCGGGAAAATATCTTAGCGGAAACAAGAGTATAATCTGAAGAGTGTCAGACAAAAGTACTTTAGTATGCTTTGTTTCTGTTATTTCGTGGCATCTTCAAATATAGGGTTTAAACGCTTTGTTTACACGTGGGCCAAGTTCTCAAATTGGTTTGTATCGTAGAAAGATTACTATGAATGTAGCCCTCAAAGGAAGATCGTCTGTTAGATAGAGTTAGGGGGAAACTTTTATCACTTTTTTCATGGTTACCTTATACCGGGTATTTTATGATTCACTTTACAACACAGCATAATGTTCTGTATTTAGTTGGAACATATAACGTAAAAGATTACAATTTCAGACTTCACTGCAACATGGGAGAAGGATTAGCAAATTATCACCACAATAGTTTTAATGCTTCAGTCTTAATAATCGTTGGAAAAAAGAGTATCGATTTCCTCGTAGGTATCTGTGTCAATTATTGCCCTCAGGTTGCGAGGGTGATAAAGTATTGCATTGGAGAATGGGAGACTATTTCTGCGAAGGTGAGCTCCGGAAATTTCCGTACTTAACTTGCCCCTAATGGGAAGAAAAATATGTTTAAAAATGAAAGGATCTGTGTTTGTGTACCTTCATTCTAAATAAGAGATCAGCGTATCTGGATTTATCCTATAGAACACAAACTGATCACATTAAGAGAGGGAAAAGTGTGGACACTTTTTTATTTTGCTAGTAAAATCCATTGTCGAAAGGGAGTAAAAACCTGTTTGGAAATGCAAAGATGTATGTTCTTATACCCTACAGTCAAAATAGGGGATCATTTTCTTTTGATATATCCAATTGAATACAAGCTGGCAATCAAGCTAGGGAAAGGTGTGGGGAATTGTCAGGCATCCCAGCTTTCTTTGTCAGTCTGCAGTCAAGATTCTTCAGGCCTGTGTCTTGAAACTACATATCGTTAGAATTGGATAACTTTAAAAATCATAGGCCTATAAACAATCTTGGGGATACTTTTTTTGTGTCCTTAAGTTTAGAATGTAGTATGGTTTAAGAGTTTAAGCCTTCGGGTGTCTATTAATGGAGACGTAAAAATAGTCTTGAAAAAATGATGTACGTTGTTGTGTTTGTAGATCTGCACACGGCTAAACAACATCAAGTCGTTGATAGATGTGATGCCAATGATTGAGTTACAAGCAAAGCGGGCGTTTGGAACCGAGGATTCAGATTTGAAGGGTAGTGATCTTACGGAACCTGGTGAGTTTGGCAAGGAAACCATTGTATGCAACTGGCATCCTTTTTTCTTATGCATGGAAGCATCAGTATAATTGATTCTTGGATGAGTGTATGATTCCTTTGATAAAGGCTTAGAGATGTCAGAAGAAAAGAGAATGGAGAGAAGGGGGTGAAGTTTTCTTGCTCAGTTATCTTTTTGGATAAAGTTCGATATTATACAAGCCCCCAGTCCCACCCTATAGCGCTTCTGACTGCCTTGTATTGACCCCTGTTTTCATTTACAGGCCGTTGCCTAATAGGCTAAGATCAAAACATTGCACCAATAGTGACAAAATGTCTATAATGAGATCGCATTCGTTTATTTGCTGTAGACGGGACGAAAACTTTAAGTTTGATAAATTAGTTGTTCGAACGTGAACATTGTTTTTGTTGTAAACTTAAGATGTACTTTTAATTTTGACGCTTTGTTTTTTACCTCTTATTCGTCATATTACAATTTGATTTGTGTTGTAAGTTGGTTTTAGTTTTGATCATTTTGCTATGATGTAAAAAATCTTAAAGCTCCACTGGGTTAGTCTTTACTCATTTTCTCCCGCCCTTTTATCAAGTTGAACCATAATGTCCGATTGCGTATAATTTGCTATAAAATGCAATCTTTTAATTGAATCATTTATTTTCCAAGAGCTTGTTGATTGCCGGAAAGACCTGCAAGCTGTTTGGGAGTCACAGATCAGTATACTTGCTCAAAGGGTGAGTGGAAAGCGTTTTTTTGTATCATCTTTTTATTGTTCTAATTTGTATCATCTTTTCGTGGCCCAGTGTTTATTTATAAATCAAAGTTACGATGGGAATGTCTGCAAAATATTTTTTCTGATATATTTTCATAAAAAGGCCGCCCGCACCCCACGGGACTGTTGGTCCTAGATAATGTTATGGGTCACAGGAAAAAAATCGAAAATCAGAGATTATGCAGAAAAATGCGAAAACTCCAGAAAGAAAAAAACTTCGAAGTCAAAACGACAAATCGGTCAGCAATGATTGATCAATCATAATATCAAAAGAAATACCCTTAATTGATGTGAGATATAAGTTATTAGGCTTAACAAACTTCTGCGATGGTATAAAAAGTTGTTGCAAAATTGTTGTATAATTTTATTGAACCATCGGGAAACGCAATTAAAATTAAAAAAATTGGCTACATTAAACCATATTAACAAACTTGATATTAGCAGCAGCTTACTGCAGAATACGACAGGGTTATTGTCTACAATAGTTAAACGCTCAAGATGCCCATCTCATAAATGACAGTTTCCTGCTCTTCTTGTTTTTGGCACAAAATCTATTTTTTAGCTGAACGGCGGTCCCAGCAGCAAAAGTTCTTCTTCCATCCCTGGTGAAACAAGGGAAGAGGAAGATATTAATCTTTTTAAAAACTAAGAGGCTCTGGACTAGCCTTTATCGCGCCTATTGTTCACAACAAGCAGCCATTTTGACTTTGGCTTTTAGAAAAAACTTCCAACCATGACATGGTTTCTCTTTTGTAGATTGCCACAATGTTTGGTAAAATCGTTGATGTGCTGTGGACTTTGGATTTGGTACTGGCAAAAGATATACCTTATGGAGACCAACTGAAACCACTCTCCGTGTTCCTAGAATGTCAATTGGTGATTCTTAGGCAGAACTTGTATCCTGTTTCATTGCGGCGAGTTGTGGAAGACCTGTGGCAGAGGATTTTGGTTGTACGTGTATCTACTACAAATCATGTTTAATGTCTTTGAAACCTTTGTATCAGGAATTTAGAAACATTCGATTCCTGTATTCTCAAACTAATAATGGCTTTATTTACTTTCCTTGGGAGAAGGCAGATGACAAGAATCTCTTTAATTGCAGTAGTAAGAAAGGATACACATAAAGGACGCTTAAGCAGACAGAAAATTATTTTGTTATTTAAAATTTTTAAAAAACACTTAAATCTACTTCATTGTATAAGAACTGCCTCTACATTGCTCAAAGGCGATTCTCAGTGGCTCTCGATATTGCCTTTTTCAAAGGACTTAAGCAGGGCAGTCAATCCTATTCTTATTCGAAATGGCAATAGGTAGGCGATTGGCTTAAAATTATGAACTTCCACTAAGGCGAACGAGGCAATCGCCCCTGATCAATATGATATATAAAAGACCCTGGACCTGTAGGTGGAACACTCCCTTCTCTGGGTTACCGTTTAGCATACCTTAGAATTGGAGGCATCTGAATACTCCGCCTATCTGCCTCAACGAAAGTATTGTTGAGAATAACAAAAGACGTTCGTTTGCAATTGGCTTAAGATGAAAAGGCTATGAGCGGTTAAACACCCTCTTGTTACTGATAAAAATATTTGATATTCCTGGCGGCGCAAGAAATACCTTTGAGCCATGAATGTGTATTTGAGAATGGTAGCGTAAAGGATTATTGTATGTAAATTGGGTTATTAAGACTCCTTGTGGTTCTTACATCTCAGTTGAGCATCTCTAAATGTCAGGTCTTATTGTTGAATATTAAAAAATTGAATTGAATTGATGGTATGAATTGAATTGATGGTATGCTTGAATTGAAACAAAATGATGAGAGTGACGCAATTTCGCAAACCCATATGTTGGCCTGTAAGTAGACTAGCATAAAGGAAACTGTAAGCTAAACTGTTTCATATTTTAGCTGTTTCGTGGGTTTGCTGACAAGCTGAGAGAGACCAAAGTAGAACCTTTCAAAGAGGCCAAAAGATGCATTCAGCTTATGACTGTAAGTTCATTTTTGTTGAATTTTAAATTTAACTTATAATAAAACGATAGAACTTGTAGAATGTTAGCAAACTTTCTACATTTTGATGTCACCGAACTTTTTCAGCTGCACCCAGAAATGTTATAATGCAGAGCATATAAGCAGATTCAAAACAAGATCCTTAGTTCTAAGGACATTGGCTAATGTTTATTGCATTCATACATAACATTCATAACGATTTCTTACATCTTTGAAGTTCATTGTCCTTTAATTTTGCAGCCAGATATAAACAGTTGCATTCTAGTTTTTTCTGCGTCCCATTCGGGCCTATTTTGACATTGTATCCAGGCGTGTGTCATGTACTTGCACCTTTACATTGAAAATATACTTCGCAATTATTAATTATCAAGTTGTATATATTGCATTAATATTCCGCAGATTTATGCCTTTCTTAGCTCACAGATTTTCTTCTAGATATGTTTAAAGCATTTGGTGGTTGATGCACAAACGGATGCCAAGCTAATGACTAAATGTGTAAGTTGATGTTTGAGGGTTTTAACATTTGAAGAAGAAGTAACCTATCAACCATGTCCGCTAGATTTTACGCTTGCTTTGTTGTTGTGATTCCGGCACTCATACTGGCCAATCATTGAGGAGACAGACTGCCTTTAAGCCGTTGGTACTGCAAGATTTGAAAAAAAAAGAATAATATTGACAAATGTTGACATTTAGTATGCTTTGTTTTGTTGTTTTTCTGTGCTTTAATCAAATTCTTGAAGAATTTTTTTCATCTTTTCTTAGTCCCCAATTCTTTCCCGCTTCCGGCTACACTTTTTCAGTACTGAGAAACTGCAACGGGTGCTCGATGTGTTCAGAAAATTGGTATGTCAGTATGTTTCAACTAATGTTGAACCTTTTGAAGTTAGTTGCTTTCATAAATGCCAGATAAACATAGTTTTTGGTCAGTTGCAGCGTCTTATTTAAAGCGAGGCCTGTTCAAGTATTTTTTCATAATATTTTCTGATATAATGTAAAACAAGTATTTGTAGCGTTAAAAATGAGATTTAATTCTTGAGTGATTTGAATTTAAAAGGTTCTGTCTGTTGATGTCTATAAAGTTATTGATCGATGTTCTGAGTTTTACTACGTTAAACAAGTGTTCGAATGGGGATAATTGTGTCACCAAGTGTTTGATAAATCACCAGTCAAAAACCCTTGAACTCACCAGATGTAAATGCATTGCCAACCTTGAAGTCAATAACTATATGTTGCCTAAAAGAGTAGCAAGAAGAGATCCTTGCGGGACATTGTGCAAACCACATCAGATAAATTATGAGTGATTGCTGTTTATATGTACTAAGAAACAATCTTCTCTTCCAGGAATCTGATGGCCAGGCTTTTATGTTTAGTTTAACTCCAAAAGAAATTTTGCTTGACCTGCTGTCAGCTGGAGGGCTTAAAAGGGTCTTCTCGGGTGCGGATTTTGTAAACTCACTTCTTGATAGCAAAATTTGGTTGCCACAGTTCGACAATCGTCCAACTGACGAAGAAGCGGCTATATCAATTGGTGAGCAAGTTATTAATTTGCGAACAATTTTTCGATTATATTAGTTTTAAGAATCGCTTTTAAAGAGGGAAACATTGCTAGACGTATGTTTTTAGCTTACCTGAAATAATGAAGAAGTTTTTTAATTCAATAGCATTTAATTAAGATCAGAGGAATTAAAAACATGATGGTCGTGGTGAAATTTGTAATCAATAGAACAAGCTAGATCTCGTAAAATATAGCCTATCTGTATCAGTACCTGTTGTTTCCTCCATAATCCAGAGGTGGCGCCAGAAATCTTCCGACCGAGGGGTTTGAGCTTCCGACAGGGGGGCTAAAATGACAAAAATATGCAGTTTTCATACGTTATTTTGTCAAATTTGCTCCGACAATAACCTAAAGTTTCCTCTGATAGGGGGGCTAGATGTTTCCGGCAGAGGGGCTGTAGCCCCCCCCCTAGCCCTCCCCTGGCGCCACCACTGCCATAATCTTCTTTAAAGTCGTGTTTAGCTTGTATCAACCTTTGCTTGATGGATTGATACATCTAATATACTAGCAATTTTGGCCCAAGGATCACGATAGAATTTTCTTATTGGCTTCGCAAACCTCATTTTTTTTGTAACGCTTTAAGGTAACTACCTTTAAAGTGGCAAGTTTTGCAAGGATATAAGTTTTCATCGCTAGCCATCATTTCCTCGTCAAAACAAATGATATTCAGCAGAAAAAGATGCTCATCTGTAATAACCCAACATAAGGGCAAATTGGACATACACAAGGCTATAACATACCACATTCGAGCACACAACGTTTTCAACATTGTTTCAGTGTCATTTGAGACGAGTATTGTATCGTATTTATCTACAATGTTAGTGAATACAGTTTAATCCCGTTAAGACTGACCTTCAATGGATAGAAAGACATTGTTCGACTTTGCGAATGTCCAACTTATCCGGGGTATGATTTTACATTTGAATAAAGTTGAATATCATTGAATATCGGTCCATTAATATCATTGAATATCGGTAACTGAATATCATTGAATATCGGTCACTGAATATCATTGAATATCAGTCATCGAATATCATTGAATATCGGCCATTGAATATCATTGAATATAGGTCATCGAATATCATTGAATATCGGTCATCGAATATCATCGAATATCGGCCATTGAATATTATTGAATACCATTGAATATCGGTCCCAAATAGTGACAGTCCGAGTTAGACGACCCTAGTACGACCTAACGGGATTAAAATATAATGGCATTTTGTAGCCAGGTAATAAATACTTTGAGACTGATTACCCTATTCTTTCTTTCCAAGGCAACGAGTTGCTGAATGATGGAAAGATTACTTGTGTTACAATACCTTCGCATGAAGAATCAGGAATCCGTACTGCTAGAAGTCGGTCATGCATCGCTGGCATAATCGAAGCTGAAGGCGTACGATTCTGTCTTTTCGCAGGTAATCGGTTTTGATGCCTCACGTAAGGCTCATTTCCACTGAGAACCTCGTAAAACTGATTTTCTCGTAAGGCTGATTTTCTCGTAAAACTGATTTTCTCATAAAACTGATTTTCTCGTAAGGCTGATTTTCTCGTAAGGCTGATTTTCTCGTAAGGCTGATTTTCTCGTAAAACTGATTTTCTCGTAAAACTGATTTTCTCGTAAGGCTGATTTTCTCGTAAGGCTGATTTTCTCGTAAGGCTGATTTTCTCGTAAGGCTGATTTTCTCGTAAGGCTGATTTTCTTGTAAGGCTGATTTCCTCGTAAGACTGATTTTTACTATTCCGCGGAGAAATATTTCGCAGCAATTGATAATTCAGAGCTTGCTAAATTTGCTTGATTTCTGAGAAGTTAATCTATGAAAACTCGCTAAAACTTATCTGATACCAGCAGTGTTTTTCTCCGCTTGGCTCGAGAACATTAGTGGATGCTTGTTAACGCAAAAAAGTTTCTCCACCAACTATAATCGGCCTAGTTGTACCTATTACTTTGAGCAGTTGTACTTATCACTTTGAGTAGTAGAGGGAAGAGAAAGACAGAAATAGCGTGCGACTCGTAGCGAGAATATAAATTGACTAAAAGTTATTTACAAGTGAAAGCGAGGTTAGCATAATGTCACGTGATAATACAATCCTATTACTATATTGACGGCAGGCAATGATAAATGCGAACTCCTTTTGAGTAGCTTGTTTTAAATCGCAAGTTATTTTTTCTTTTTTTGTTTCCGGATTAAGGCTCTGAAGATGAGAATGACACGGACTCCCTAACTAGACAAGAAGGCTTCCAGAACTCACCAGATTTCATCTACAAAATCGAGGCTGCTGCTTGCAATGTCGGTGATCCAGAAATCATTATTTGCCGCGTTATAAGACAAGCAGGCCTATCATTTTCTCTCACGATCCAGCAGGATGTAATCAGTATACTGAAATACAGATGTCAACAGGAGAATGACCAGCGTGCTAAGAATATTTTAAACACCATCTCGTCATCTGCTATGCGCCCCAAGGCATCTTCGTGGCCTCGCTCTTGACTCGGGCCGCACATTTTATTGAATCATGCGTGCATTTCATGCAAATTGATGTGTGTGCCACATGTAGTTTTGATTTGTCAAATATTCGACTGTGAGTTTTTTAAATAAGTTTAGGCATCTTTTATGTAAACATTTAGTGTTGAAAATTATCGGCTTTTTTCAGCCGTTCATTCGTGTAGATTGTTGGATAATTGCGCTTCTCAAGATTTAGATTACTTATAGTTTCTTTGTCAATTCAGAGCAGATTTTGGAACGTGAAATGTCTGTCGAGAAAAATAAAAAAGTACTTACCGTTAAAGCTCTATTAAGTCGCCCCTTTCTTATAAGCCCCTCCCTATTTAGCCCCCGTTATGAAGCAAAATTTTGAATAAAGCCCCCCTCTTTAGCCCCTAATGTCAAACATGAATTGGATGTGATGTGATGATATAACATCATGTGCATTAAATACAGCTAATGTAAAGATTTACTTGTGTACCTTAGAAGTCAGTCGAAATTTGTTTAGAAGATGTTCCAAGATTGTCAATTGACCCTGGTGACTCTGATGAAGACTAGGGCATTTTAATTGATTAATTATAATAAGGTTTCGAAGCTACTAATAAAGTTTTTGGAGCTTTTGTATGACATTTTTATAACGAAAAGTAAATAAGGGCATTCATGAAACATTTTTTACTTTGAACTATTAATAAGCCCCTTCTCTAATATGTCCCCTCTGTTTAAAGCCCCCCCCTAGGATTAAAAAAAATGAATACCCCCCCCCGGGAGGGGGGGGCTTAATATAATTTTTACGGAAGTATAACTTTCAGCTTAGACATTTTATGAAAATAATTCATAGTAATAGATTGATCAGAGTTTTTTAGTGTTTAGAATTAATTTTATGGGCTACTCACAGGAATTGAGGCACATGACCTCCACATCCTATGTATATGCCTTCACAAGAAAATCATCGTATTTCATATTTGCCGCGTTGTTGTCGCAGCCTTGTATTCAATACGAGGTTTTAATCCGACACTCATTGCAAAATGGCAAAAAGCTTTTATCAAATCTAGAAATTTCAGGCTTAGTAATCTAGAAATTGTAAGTTTAAATTATCAAGAGTTTGCCTACCCAGGCTAACATTTTGAGGGTGATAAATTTGATTTTAGATGTATAATTTATATTCCTAAGACTGTGTGATTTATAATATTGCATGTCAATAGTAACAAGTACTTGCTTTGTAGAACAAGTCTAAAAGTTGCGTTTCCGGGTTTTCTTTGATTGATTGGTGCCCTGGCCACCCTGATATTCGTCAACCGCTTCGTGGACAGTGCCTGTACAATGGAATGATTATCCAGTTCTCTTTTCTTGGGATTGTGCTTGGGAATGCCCTCTATCAAAAATTGCACTTTGGTTTATTTGGTAGATAATTTTCAACATTAATAGGTTTATTGCACTTTCTAGAGTCAATATGTTTGTTATTATCAACTCTATTATCAGGCGAGTCTCCACCGAGGTACGAATATTCGATTGGCCTAGCATCTGACCTGCTCCGAATCCGTGTAGTCTGTAATGTATGATTTTGAAATAAAAACGAAATAAAAGTTTGTTAATATATGTTAATATGATTTCCTAAAGATATGCCGGCTGAGCCATCATTCTCTTTGATTTTATCGATGTCTTGCGAAAGTTTGAATTTTATGAGTTATAGGAAAGTCTAAAGGATAATCTGAACGAAGCTTATAAAGCCAAGAAAAGAAGAGGTTTTCGCAGACTAAGCTTCAGTGTAATTTGCTTAACTGTTACCAGCGCAAGAATAATCCAGTTATTGATTGAAATCAGCCAATAGCAGAAAAGGCGTCCTTCGCTTTGGTTGGACGAATCAATGTCCTTCAAGCATTCACGTGATTGAATAGCACTTATGAGAAAAGAGCTCTTATTTTGTGGACATTATTTTCCGTTGTCCGGAGGCTAATTTTGCAAAGTTCCGCCTGCAAGAATTACTTTCACAACAAGCACGATACGGCCAAGGGGTTAATTACTCTAAGAAAATATCGTACATCTTTGGTGGAAATTCTATTGTTTTATCTGAAAATCCCTGGAAATCTCTTTGTTTTCGTGAAAATCTCGTACATTATTTGCAATATTCAACGGTGCCTCGTACTCAATCGTGGGCAGAGGTTGCAGAAACCATAGTTATTTTTCAATTCGGGACAGAAGTTGCAAATAAATTTGCAGGGTGAAAATGCTCACTCAGAAGCACGCCATAGACATAAGGAAATTAATCTTGAGCAGAGGCGCCTACCCTGGAGGGGCAGCTACCCCTTCTGCCGTCTTCAAGGAGGGGCAGAGGGGGCAAGCAGTGCCATTTGATATTCACTCTTAAAGATTATAGAATCTTATAGATAATACATGACCAGTTTAGCCACTCTCGCGATGTTAATCTTTATTGGAAATACAAATAAATAAAAAAAATTCTTTTTTTGCTGTCGTTCAGCGATAACAGAAAATTTTTCTTCAGAAGACGATGATAAACTTCTAAAACCAACAGTTTCTTCTAAGATACTGACTATTTTGCCCACCATCAGAACAAGAAGTTACGCTTAGTTTATGCCTTTATATAAATAACACACTCAAGTAAACAATTAAATGATTTACATTTGATCCTTGTGATTATTATTTTCCATTTTACACTCTCGATGATTCTGCAACCATGGCGACAAAGCGTGAAATCAAAGTCTTACTGCCAGGCCATTTATAAATGCCACGATTTTTGGAAAGCCAAAATTTTGAATAACGACAAAGCCATTTAATACCCACTTGCATGAAGAATTTTGTCAACATTATGTTCATGTTTAGTGTCTATGATTGCAGAAATCCTAGCTATATGCGTGGAACAGATCCATGCTAAAATTTTATTTTGCACCCATCCCTCCAACCCCTCCAAATAATTGATTATCATAGTAGAAAAAATATTATTATTTGCCCTCAGCACCAACGCTGCCCCTCCTGCCTTAATATTGTATTGGCGCCCATGATCTTGAGGCTACGCCCCCCCCCCATCATCAAGAGTGGGTTTGGCCATTGATACATCGGCGTGAATGGGTCAACCTTCCATAAATCATACAGGAAAAGTTCATTAAGGAAAGTTATACAAAAGAATACAAATTATGTTAGGGAGGGAATGGACAAGAAAAGTAACTTTCTCCACTCTAGACCGATGGTTTTCTTTGGTCATTCAAGTATGATTTTCCCTGCCTAAATCCCAGATTGCCTAAATCCTAATTCACAGTACCGAAATAAGCAATCTCATTTCCAAGTTTCCCCCTTTAGGATCCTCCAAAAATTGTTGCGTCTATCCATGTCTCTAGAGATATAGTTCCATTGAAACTTACTTGAATCGAAACAATGAGAACAAACGTTATGCACTTCTCAAACAAGTCGAATATTCCTTTGCAGTCAACACTGTCACTTTTTGTTCTGCTTTCAAGTATGTCCCTGCAATGAAACCGGTGTGGAGTAGGAGATAAATGAGGTAAGTAAAAAGCAACCTGTATGGTTGTATGGTTGTATGGTTGCTCCTCGCTTAATCTGAACAATATGGCAACATTTATAGCTTGGCATTCGACATAGACGGCAGTGGCTCTATAGTCCATAACAGACAGGGCTGGGATTTCATGTTTAAGTTGTATAGTTTCAGACTGGACACAGGTTCCTGAGATCAGCTAGGAAGAAAGTTAGGGAATGACTTCTTTAAAACATTTCACATTTTCATACCGTACGTTCTCATATATTCCATCCCGTTAGAAAGGTCAGGATATGTGATCTATTGCTGCTTGTACACAGAGGCTCGTACCAGGCAAAGGCGACTCGCAGCGACAGCAATAAACTGACTTGCTGTACAGTAGGCCCCGGTCATAGTCACCCAAAATGTTGCTTGAAAACTTGTTACTGTATACGGAATGAGACTGTAAACGGAGCTAAATTGAAAAGTTTTGCATACTCAGGTCTAAATTATGTGTGTCTGTAGCCAGTGGTGTGACTTTAAGCGGAGCAACTATAAGGGCTGTATCATAACCCTGTTTGGTCCGCCGCCTAGTACCCCCTAGGCTTTGTCCGGTTTTCAAAATACCAACTCGGTTTTGAAAGAATTGGAAGCGGGTTGTAAATTCAACCTCAGAATTTCGACTAAGCCGTATTGATGAGATGGTTCTGATAAGTGGTCGGCGGCATTTGTTCGACCCATTCAGATGCACCAAGAAAGTGTCCATATTTTCACAACAAATCAGGAAACTTCCTCAGAGACTGCTTTATCTATTATAAGATATATTTCTATCGTTTTAGAAAATGTGCAAACTGTGATAATTAAAATAATGAGCTACAGTTCCTTTCTAAACATTGCAATAATTCTGTTTGCTTTTGCACAAAAACAAGTTTCAATCCAAAGATAATCTTTACAAATAAACGGAAGATGAATTCAAGCTTTGACCCAGACACCGATTTACGTCCAAAACGACATCTGATTCAGAACATTACTAACTGCTTTTGTTTAATGCCAAGCCAATGTGACAACTGTAGGAGACCTAAAAGACTAAACGACTTAAGACTTCTTAAAGAAAAGGATCATCAGTTTCTGAATATTCAAAAACTCGTATAAATTAATCAACTTATTCAAATAAATCAACCAAGAGTTATTTCGCCTGCTTATTCTAATCAGTTCTAATGCATGACAGTTTGTATCAATGCCTCATATGAAACTGAGCCACTTGCTCCTTCGTGCGGTGCAAGAATTGCGTATACCTGTTCCTCGGTCATCTTGTCACCAATGTGAAGCAGGATCTGGCGAAGTTCTGCCCTGGAAACCAATCCGGTTTGATCCCTGTCAAACGATCTCAGACCTTCCACCATGTCTTCATAGGTACCCAGCGCTGGCCTCCGACAAATGTGTTGAAAAATACCGTAAAATGTTGGGAAATCAATTCGGTGACCAACTAGATTGGAATCTTTGAGACATTTGTTCACGTCTTCTGTGAGGGGGTTAAGGCCCAATGATCGAAGGACATCTATTACTCTATGAGATTCTACTTTCATGTCCCCACGTTTGTCGAATAAAGAGAAGCAGCTTTGTATCTCTTCGAGACTATCCTCGTCTTCGTCTTCCATTGCTGGAACAATCATCTCGGTAAGGTTAGTTGAGAACTTCACTTCTGTCATTGTCACTAGCAAGTTAAATCCAGCGGAATGGATGTCATTCGAGTTTGAACTTGCAAGTGATCAAAAATCGTTATGATTACCACCGTCTTGGGATTTTAAATAGAATCGAAGTTAACACCCGACTGGTCATGGGCATTTTGGGTTCTTTTTATGATTGGATTTGCCTTCAAAATAATAAATGACGGATGTATTAACCCGAATATTTCAAGGGTCAATCGCCAGTGTATGTTATTTCCACCAATGTTGGTTTTCTACTGTCTGTTTGCATTGAGCTAAGATTATTTAAGATAGTGCAAATTCTTCGCGAATGCTTGATCCAATAATAGGCCTGAAACGGGGGTATCTTCATTAGCAAACTATAAAGAGACTAATAAATCACACACACCTGATGAAAATTAGCAAAAAGCTGACAATTTCTGCATTTCACGGGTTTAGAAACTATTTTGACACAAACAGACATTAGGAAACTATGCAGGATGGGTATTTGATTGCTCAATTCACCAGTGCTTTTTGGGTAATGTTTTTGGTCAGGAACTTATATTTTTCGAATCTGTTGCTCTCGAAAGCGCATGCGCATTTTTGTCGCAACGAGGACCCAATTTGTACTAATTTGAAGGCGCATCTGTGAAATATCAGGTTGAATTCCTTCAAATCTGAACCCAGAGCACTGAGAAAATTAATCTCTTCGATCCACACAAAGTTTCAGCATGCACTGTTCAAAATGTCTCTAAATGCTCTTTCGGAATTAGTCATTTACACCAAACCATTTGCTTTTCATATTCATCAGAACCTTCGTGTCGTATTCATCTTCTTTTTATAATTAGGCCTAATTCAAAAATGTAACTTGGTTTCAAAAGCACGGCTTTATAATTTTTCGTGAAAATCACTGGTGCCTGTTTTTTTCTAGTAATTAGAAATATCTTGATACAGATAAACTAAAATAAATTTCAAGCAGAAAGATTTAAAACCTAAGAATTAAAAGAGTAATAATAAACAGGTTTTTGAATTGTAATAAAAGTATCGTATCAGACGTTTCAAATTCTAGTTCCCAGGACCCATTCCCAAAAAACAGGGAGTAGAAAAAGTGGTTTTTAACTTTTGCGTTATCAGAGACCAGTTTGTTGGACATTACCACGATCACGCTGTTTTCTATGCATATAGGCGACCAATGGTCTTAAAAGCTTCCTCGCTTGTTCAATTTTTGATTATTGTGTAAAGAAAATGCAACCAGTTAGAATCAACATATTTTCGTATTCAAGAGACACATGCTCTCTCCTAATATGCATAAAAATCATCGATTCTTGTAACCCACTCTCATTTCAAATTTAGTTTTGAAGGAAACACGAATCAAACAAGCTCAATTAATACATAAAGTTTCACATTGCTAAAACTTGTCAAGAAATAATACACAAAGAAGCATTTCTAGTGTTCTTCATCCTGCCATGACACTTTTGATAAGTGTTTCGTATGGTATTTGGCCTTCAGCTGTTTCATGAGGAGACACAGAGCAATTAACTTCTTCTTCTGTCATTCTGTCAGCGACATGCCCCAAGATGTGACGTAGCTCTGCTGAATTGACCATTCCGCTCTGGTCTCTGTCCAGCGTCTTTAGCCCTTCAACCATATCTGCATAACTTCCAACAGTTGGCTTTGTAGAAATGTACTTGTAGATGCCGAAGAATGTTTCAAAGTCGACACGAGTTCCTTTCAGTTTTGAGTCATCTATGCACTTGTTGACGTCATCAGTAAGTGGATTTAGGCCCAGGGAACGAAGAACGTCGATCAATTTATCGCTCTCGACCTTCATATCCCCCTTCTTGTCAAAGATTGAATAGCAGTCTTTCATGTCTTCAAGCTGGTCTTCGTCAATTTCTGCCATCTCTGAAAACCATGTAAAATTCAAAGCATTCAAAATATAATGACTTTAAATACGTTGTTTTATTATGAATGTTGAAATGTTAATGTATTTTCCTTTCCTGCAAATGTGCACTAGGAGTTAAAATGCACTTTTACTTCTGGCACTTTTAGCTGCAAAACAGTTGTTAAATGCTGGAAACTCTGTTAAACCAATGAATCACCAGTACCGCCACTTTTTATTCGGTTTAGCCCCCCCCCCACTTTTTTAGACACCCACTTCTCTCACTTAATGTAGGGATTCTCTTATATTTATATGAACTGCTATGATATCATCTGAATGTTAACGTTCGCCCGACAACATATTCAGAAGAAGAGTCTACCTCGTTGTCCAAACTTGTGCTTCGAAAAGAAAGCAAATTAGCAGACGACTATACGTTGCTTGAAATCCAACAGAAATCTGCTGAATTCGTTAGATTTCAACCAGAATACTTGATAACGTGTGATAAACTTGAATTTCGTGAGACATGGCTTGCAACTTGCATCTATGAGACCCTAAAACTGCACCTACCCGGTCTCTATTTAGAAAAACTTGAGAAATAGGTCATACAATTATTGCCAGTTTTTCAAGATTTTTATCATAAAGAAAGTAACATTGTAAAATCTTTGTCTACGGTTCTTTGAAAACCCGAATTCTTGAAAACGAGGTTATCGTCGCCCAGCATCAATTTCTACAAAATGACAGGTTATTTTATTTCATTCTTTTTTCATGTCTCTAGGTTATGCTAAAGTTCCTACTTTCTACGGTAAACAGAAATTTCTACAAAGACAAGATTGCATTAACAGCAGTGGTGACTTATTGGTTAACTGTAAGTTCAAAGATTTGTTTATTTGCCCTTATGAATCTAAGAGAGAGAATTACGCCTTCCTTCACGGTCTGTTACGTCATCTGCATGTAACGTTTAAGCAAGGATAAATTGGTAATTCCATTGCCAGGTTATAATTCTATACTGTGAGTAAGATTAAAATGCTCTCGTAACAATGTACCGACTTTTGCTAACAAGTAACTTGCACATTGCTCAGAGCGTCTTAAACGTCTGCGAAGTTTATGTTTTTGCAACTTGTTTGCTTTAAAGCGACAATTAAGAAATAGCTAGATTGTTACAATCTTTTCTTTTAAATGAGGTCATAACGAATGTCCCCTTAGCTTGTAAACCACTCCACAGAAATTGATTGTTGGTCTTCTTGTGGAATAAGGGATTTTTGAAAAAAGGATTGAAAATGCAGGGCCTTCGCTAGCTATTGTACTTAAAGGCTGATTTCCACGAGGCGAATTTCGCATTGAATTAGCTGTGAATTCTCTTTGAAATTGTCTTTTGAATTCCGCGGGACTGCGAATTCACTGCGAAAGAATATATTGATTTCCCCCAAAACTCGACTTTAAGGCGCCCATTTTCAGAACTGCACGCATGGCGAATGTTCCAAGACTTTCTTCTTACAAATCAAGCAAATTTACCATGCTTCGACTCTTTATTAGGTGCTGCGAAATATTTCGCCGCGAAAAAGTAAAATTATTTTCTACTTTGTTGCGAATTCGCTGCGAAATCAAAAATCAAAACTGCGCATGCCTTTATCCCTTCTTCAGCGACTTCGCCGCGAATTCGCTGCGAAATTCGCCTCGTGGAAATCAGCCTTACGCGAGGTTTCCAGGTCCCATTTGCCGACAAAGTGGGTTAGATATTCTTTATTTGTTGACAGACAACCTCCCCCTTCAAACAACGGAATTTGTATTTGTATTTTAATTTGTTTCTACCTAGCATCCGAAAGTAGTTTTTAGGACAATAAGAAGCCTATGCTTATCGAGCAGTGTCCTGGACCTTCCTCTCGATGTGACCACACCTCGTGATTCCTACGCCTGGAATTAAAGAGAGTTGGCGATACTCCACAATCTGGGTGGAAGTTTGGTCGTGTCGGGGACTCGAACCATGGATCCTTGGATCTGTGGTCAGCGTCCCTAACCACTGAACCATTCTCGCACTTTTTTCAATCCTTTTTTCAAGGGGGTTTCTTTAATAAAATTCATCTTTCTACACGATATCCTAACAGAAATTCAAGTAAACACCCTTACGCCCCCAGAATGACGGCGCTGAAAACATCTACAATGACTGTTTCCATTGCTATTCTTTGTAATAGCAAATCTGGCACAACCATACCCTGTGGTCAAAGTGTCGAAAAGTTGAGTTGAATTGACCCCACAATTTCACTAAGGCTCTGGTAACCAAAATTGCTCAACAGTTACTTAATGTTATGATGCATATACTTCCACGCTCCCTGTGGCATTGTCTTGTTTGTATACTATTATGGAAACATAAAAATGACACAAGATTAAAAATACTGACATGACCGGCAAGGGTTTTGCCAAGGGGGGGGGATATTGCCCACGTTAGATTAAATTCTTCAAAATTAGCAACCAAACTCTTTCTTCTCTTGACCTTCCCTGTGCTGTGGCTACCCCCCAATCAGCATATAGAAGGGAAGAATTTGTTGTATTACAGCCACGAAACCTTGAAAACTGCTTTCTAAATCTAATTTTTTGTTTTGACTTTAATGGCTGATGATGCAGTTCCAACAATTAATGAATCGCAAATTTATTACTGTTAAAATCTAAAACTTACATGGTTTGGGGTGTATTGACAGTTTTCTTTCTGGAATAAATTGACTGGAATGTTTCTTAATCAGTATCCTTATGCACTTAAAAAGCCATTGTGCTCAAAATTCAAACTCCAATTTTTGCATGAAAACACTCAATACAGCTACTTCTCTTACCTGGTGTAGAATGACTGCCTCTTTGTGACTGGATATGTGTACAACTGACTCAGAAAACTTACGTTTCGAAATGCAAGTGAAATCGTATTACCACAACAAAACATTGCAGATTAATCTGCTTTTAATATGGATAATATCGTGTGGCTTTTAAATAGTTACTTTTGAATGCATCTTTTTACTGCATTTGTTAGCTAAAGATATACATTTGCATCCAGTCAGGCTTCGTTTTCTGAACGACTGACAAATATTGGGACAATTCATGTTGGACCTACATAAACACTGTTGAATCTTACAAAGCATCTTTTATCTTTAAAGAGCACAAATGTGTATCGAGGCTGGCAGTTACTAGGAATTAAAGCACTGTTGCCTGCTTAATCCTGTGCATATTATTTCACACAATGCAAAAGGATTTTCTCTGGATTTACCATGTAACGTCAAAGGCACTATAAAGTCGGTTTATTTAAGAGGATGTATTATCAATTGATGTTAGCCGAATAAAAATAATAGGTAATTGTATCCTAGGTAAAAAGGAGGATAAATCTTTGTAACACCTTTATGACTCAATGCGCTAAATTTTTCTGCTAACTCTTTGAGAAATTATATCTGGCTACTTGAAATTAACGTAGTTCAATCTAGCAGATGGATTTGTCAACGTGAAACAAAGAATTCGCTTCAAAACAAATTTTGGAGTGAAGATTTCTCTATTCCAAGAATTTGCATTTTAATGCTTCTTCAGCCAACCAAGCATTAGAGATGTCTCTCGACTAAAAAATTGGTCATTGGTCAGGTACTTCTAGTTGATATTTTTTAATCATCAACACCACGATGTATCTGAAATAACATGAACATAACGTCATTTAAAATAGCAAAGCTGTAGCTTGAATGATTGGTTCATAGAATCCAGATTCAGACAAATCTTATAGGTACACTTGTCTGTCATCTAAGTACACTTTAAAAAAATGGACTTAATTGTCAGTATGTAAACAGAACTGGCCATTATTAGCATTTCTAGTACAGCTAGAAGGAATATAGTAGAAGCATCATGATCAAATTTAGCTGCCACGAGGTGAAACAGTGCAGAGAAAAAAACATATCATATTGCCCTTAATTAAGGTCTCTTAATACACGCAGATACCGGTTGGGGAGACATTTGAGTGAAAAGTTTTCCAATGAATGTGCCAGCGCTTACTGTTGAGGTGCATGCGCAATAGTGATGAAGTTGCATGCGCATGCTCAGGTTGGATAATCAGGGCTGGATAATACTCACATTTGTTCGATTCTGCAGTTAATACAATATAGAATTCACCCACCCCCGGAAAGTAGGCACCCAAGAGTAAAGCTTGCTTTGTTAATAAACCCGCCTGTACAAAGAACTAAATATTCTTAAACTTACGCGATATAAGAATTAAACCTTCAATAATAGCTTCATGAAACCTGATTTTACTAAAAGTTTTTGTATTAGATGAAGGACATGCCATGTCTTGGTGTCAAAATTAGATGCAATTGAATACCTTTTGAAAAAGGGATAGCTTGTTTTTGCGGCACAATGTTTATGTTTTTTTGGCATATGCAACAGTTTGTCACATAGAGCAGTAACAGCTGTCGTGAATAATTGTTGTCAGATAAAAAAGATACTGATTTTTGTGCCAGTATACAGGGCCTCCAACGAAGGGGAGGTTTTTTCAAATTTACTTTTTTGCAAAACAACAGAGTTTTTTTCAAAATCTTTTGTTATGGGTGTTAAATTTTCCATTGGCCCCTCCACTTTTAAACCTTTGTCGGAGCCCATGATATAAAGCCAAATCTAGAACGTTACTTTTTGAAGCAGTTAAGAATAGGCGAAGAAAATGAGATCTCTTGTCCAATGTATCACATTCATTTAATACAATCCTTCTTGAATTAAAATTCATATTGAAATTTCATTAGCAAATGCAACATGCAGTTGGATTCGAAATTGAATTCTCAGTCTTCGATCAAGCAGCCATAACTGATTTAATCAGAGTCTCATACGCTACCAAGCCCTCTGCATTCTCAAAAGGGCCAACGGTATGATTCAATTGGTCCTCAGTCATCCTGTCTGCTACTTTTGACAAGATGTGTCGAATTTCTGCGGCATATATCAGGCCACTCGCGTCTCTGTCCAGGGTTTTCAGCCCCTCAACCATATCTTCGTAGCTACCAACAGTGGGCTTATTCAAAATGAATTTGTAGATGCCGAAGAATGTTTCGAAATCGACTCTTTGTCCTTTGAGTTTGGATTCTTCGAGGCATTTTTCCACGTCTTCTGTGAGAGGGTTCAGCCCAAGAGAACGAAGAACATCAACAAGGCGATCGCTTTCAACTTTCATATCACCTTTTTTGTCAAAAATTGAGTAGCAGTCTTTCATATCTTCCAACTGATCTTCATCAATTTCAGCTCCAGCCATAGTTGCGTTTGATCTGTAAAAATTATAGTTTGATGATTCTCTAGCGTAGTCACTGCACATATGCTTTGGGAAGTGAATTTCTATCACGGCCGACCGATGGTTTTCTGAATTGGTTGGGGGGGTGGGGGTTCTTAGAAGCAGAATGAGCAATAGGAGGGGCAAGTTACTTTTGAGAAGAACGTAACTGTTTAATTGAAGAAAAGTAAATTACTTCAGGAAAATATTGGGAAGGGGGTTGGAGGACGGGTAATGCTCTACCTTTCAAGTATTGTGATAAGAATGGACGGAGAATCCTGGATGATCTGCAGCTACATCTATATCAGTATCTTTAAGTAATATCTATTAATATAATTACGCATCTTACAGAGATAGCTTTCATCGATTTAATGTCAACTGTATATCTATTCTTGTATAAAGCAATAAGGCTATTTGAGCAATTGTGTACTGAGAAATAAAGTTCAAGGCATCAAATGTATAGGGATTTCATTGATTTTTGAAACTACAATACCCATACACAAATTACATTCCCCCGAATGAGCCCAGTAAGTGACTAGGAAAATATGAAATTTTGTGCGCTTTTCTCAATTTTTCAAGCAATTCTTCATGTTTTATTCTTGAAGATAAAATAGGCAGCTAGAACTAATAGATCTAACTGCCTGTGGGCCTCAGTGCATGATCACAAATGCACTGATACGAACAATAACATTTTTTTTAATGATACCTTTCTTGCAAAGAGGTAAAAGGGATACATAAGAATATGGAAGGTGCTCTAAGTCTTCGGATTTTTTTCTTCTAGCATCTTGAAATAAGATAATTTTGGTAATATAGGAAATAATAACTTAAGTGAAAAAGAACAATACAATTCAAGAATTCATATTTTAAAAGGAATTTTTATCGAAGGAGCTCTCAGATTGGAAACTAACGATGAAAAGAGAAACCACCCAACTTTGTTCAATTTTATAACAATAATGTGAAATATATAAAGGATTGAAGTAATTAAAGAGGATTTCGTTTACCTTTAAATTCATTTCGGTTGATATCATAATTGCTGGTGATATTTTGTAGAGACAGAAATTGTTAAAGAGCATAATCTTTTAATACCCACCACTTCGTTGTATTTCGTCCTTGTTACAGATGCTAATGTAGTGAATGCAGCTATTACTGTTGAAACGCTCTTATTTAATAAAGTCAGGGCACTTTGCATTAGGACTTACCTATTCTATCTTGGAATTAATTTTTGTGACAAAGAGCTAAATATTGGCACAATGCCTACCCAGTTTCATTGTCTAGGAGTATAGCACGCACTGATAAAGTCTGCCGAATCAATAAGAGGTATTTAAGCATTTTGTGTTCGAAATATTAAGCCTACTTAATACAGGTACCAAGCATCCTGTAGCTCAATTGGCGTCTTCTGCATTAATGCTTTTGCTATGATGTAAAGTGTTATTAGGTAATTATTAATGCTCAAGAACTATGTAAAATTTGTTGCATCTTCTCGCAGTTAGGCCAGGAGGTAATGTGGCCAGGCCAGCCCTATAAACGCAGATTGAAAAGCTCTCCAGCATCATTTTGAGCTGCGTTATGGCATCTTTTAGGCATAAAAACGTTGTCGTTGTCACCCTTAAATGTTGGTGATATTGTGCCTCTGATTGAAGAATGCGTTTGAAAGGTGGATTGGCACAATGCCCTCACTCATTTCCTACTAAGATTTTAAAATGGTGTGAAATGGCGTGAAATGGCGGAAATACAACACGTAGAACTGTAATTCCCTCAGAGTATAACGTCAAATAATGATCAAAAGAGTAAATAGAGTTCCTTTCAATTCAGGTGAAGGAAGCAGAATGAAAGTTACGCGAGAAGAAGGACGGTGCATCTGATTGGCTCCTTGTTTCGACCAATCAACAGCCTTTATCCCCTCACATAGCTGAAGCGCCCAAGAAATCAAATGAACTTTACCTCTCTTCATTTATCGGGGTCTTTTGTTTTGATGTAGCAGAAACGGGACCAGGAAATTCAAATTGAGGGAGGGGGGGGGTGTGGATCTCGAGTTGATAGCATTATTTTACTAAACAAACAGCTTTTGAAAAAAACGCACTAAAATGCTTCATGATATGTTTTGATTTTATGGGGCCCACTTTATGCTAGCGATAAATTTGAAGGACCGGCGAGTCTGCCTGAGGTCCTAGGAATGTTTTAAAGAAGAGGCTCTCTGCAACCACGCCCTTTAGATTAGCAAGCAGAAAAATTTGCGACCACCCCTTTACATTAGCTAAAAATGCATTTTAGGATTTTTCTTGCAGTCATTTTCTTGTAATCATTTAAATCATTTTACTATTTTCAAGGCATGCTTTTGTTACATTTGGTACTGTTTCAATTGAATTATTTTTAAGGCAGTCTTTCAATGGAATTCATTACTTTAAAAAGGCCAATAGACCTCGGCTTACTTCTTTGAAATAAAGCAATACAAGGATTTATTCTACTATTCTTTTCTTTTAATCCTTTTTCTTTATTATTTTCTAATGTTTTTAAAAACATTTTTTGCATAAAGGTTGGGGAGGCTGAAGCCTCTCAGCCCCCCTTTGGCGCCGCCCTTCTCCAGACAGATTCCAAAACGCCTAAAGGGACAGATAACTTTCCTTCCCCTGGTATTATGAAGTATTGGTCACAATATGTTTTGGCATACAAAGGGATTCGTAAGTATATATTGACCTAGTTCCAAGCAAGGAGTAGTTAAACGACACCAATTTTCATATCATCAGTGTTTTAAAATATATTTCTCTCCTAACTCTTAATGTTTGATAAAAAAATATCCCTATATGTAGGGCTAAAGAACGGAACTTGGAAAGAGTCATTAACACCCTTTATCAGAGCAAGACCGCACGTAGCGAATATCTTAAACCTTGTTGTAATCTCCAATTGATAGATATTAAGCAGTGCTTAAGAGTGATAACACTTCTCAACATAGAGAGTAACCATTAAAAACCGTTAATTTAACATAGTTACCACGTTATGTAGTTTAGTTGCAACAATCGACCGCGCTTTGGCATTTCCTTGAAAGTAACGGGTAAATTTCCCTGGTAGTTTGATACAAGGGTTTTTGAAACCACATTCAACAAGAAGAAAGTGCTTCATAAAATCTCGCAAAGATTACAAATTTTGAAAAGCTTTACTTGGAATAACAGTATCAGGCTTAAAACATTTCATCGATAATTTGAAAGGACCTACAAAAATACGCACTCACTGATTTTACAAGCGAAACTTTTGCCAACATTTGCCAACAGTTATCAGAAATTAGCAAAACTATTTGTGATTTTTATCCAGAAGGATACGACGAAAATCAGATAGAGATATTTTAACTTCAGATTGTCGTAGTAGTTCAGCTGAGTCTGGAATAGACAGTACTTCTTGGCAACAAAATTTTGATGGGCAAACAGTTTACAGAGAGTAGCTACAAACAAATTTTTACTTTAATAAATATGACCATGAAAAGAAATTATACAAAATTATACTGTCCGAGGTACAAGAAATGTTCAAGCATTCATGACATATTTAATCAAGTGTTCAAAGTTAACCAAACCATTTGAGTCTTCCTGGTGGTTGATTATATCGTCACATTGCTTCTCTGTCATTTTGTCACCAATGTTTGCAAGTATGTGTCTCAACTCAGCTGCTGATATGTGACCAGTTTGTTCCCTGTCGAATGTTTTCAAACCTTCCACCATATCTGCGTATGTACCAACACTGGGCTTGGTCGACAATTGCTTATAAATCCCATAAAAGGTCTCGAAATCTACTCGCTTTCCTTTAAGGTCAGAATCTGTAAGAATTTTGTTCACATCCAGACAGAGAGGATTTAGGCCAAGAGATCTTAAAACATCGATTATTGTTTCTGCCTCCACTTTCATGTCTCCCTTTTTGTCAAAAATTGAAAATGTGTCTTTCATGTCTTCAAGAAATTCTTCGTTTTCTTCAGCCATTTTGATTTTGTTGCTGTTTCGTTATAAGGTTAGACCTGAGCAATAGAGACGAAGAGAGCAGAGTGCCTTTGTTGCCTCAAAATCAGAACTATATCTACGCCCTAAAGAAAACCAACACCTAACTCTCTAAAAGCCTGTATGCTGCTGTGACTTCAAATGCAAAGATGGCAAGGACGGGGGTAGTCTTGAATACGTCTACATACGTCTACAGCATTGTTAAATTTTAATTAAAAGCATGGTAAAAGGCCGCACTTTTGCCAATTTGAATACAACAAACTAATCTTAAAATGTCAATACAGAGTAAACAAGAAGTTGCTTTCTAAATAAGTACAAAGCCAAGATAGAAAAGAAAAGCTTAGCTCTGTTCCTCAATACAAGATGAGATCGATTCTTAAGCCAATTAAACAAAAGATTCACATTTTGATATAGATTTTGAAATCTGAAGAGTGAAGACAATTTGCAGAAGACTAAAGTATATATTATGAATGATAATTTGTATAAAAGCTTATTTCCTTGAAAACAGGTACACCGTTTCGCCTGCATTGAGTCCTCAGTCAAACAGATTGAAAAAATCAGAATAAACAAACAAAATTTGCTATGTGCCATCGCATGTACCCTCAAATCCTTCCAATGTTGGTTTAGGATGTGCTGAAGACAGCTTTGGCATGATCAATGTCAAGATTTACTGTAAATAGCCTTACGTCGCCTGAAAATCAAAGATAATGACGATTAAAATTATAAAACTCATTGCTTCTTGGAGCTTTACCTGTTTAATGAAATATCGGTCTAAAAGTGATGGAAAATACTCTTATCATCAACAACGTAAAACCCGTTAACAAATGAATGTTTCTCACTGTCGTCTAAAAAATAAAACAAATTTCTACTTATATTGTTCAAAAAAACCTTTTGCAGTTTGAGCAGGGTTGTAAAACGTTAAAAACCAAACATTTAGTTTCCTTCTTAGATAGTGAAGGAATCATCTTGATTTTACGTTTTAGGTGTCGTTGAAGCCTCTACCTGGTTGCGTGCCTTAGAATTTACGATAAAAACTAAAATCCCCTTTCTACGACATAGCTGTAACATAGCTGTGACATAGCTGTAACTATCTTACTTCAAAGACAATATCAATTTATCGAGGTTGCAAATCTTCTACTTTTACTTCCACCAAATCGTGTGCTACCACGTTTCCTAACGGTCGAAAAATCTGTTTTGGAGTTAATTCCTTCATCACTAGACTAATACTTTTTAAGGACAGGAAATGAAGAAATTGTAGAGGTTTAAAAATAAAAATAAATGTTAACTTTATGAAATGCTGTTTAGCAGACATATTGCGCGGGAAGTGAGGTTTTGCAGAGCTCTCTCGCTGGCTATTTCTGCCTACTGCAGAGAAAAATCCTGTTCTTCCTCTTCTTTTCATCATTAGGACGAGCGTAATGAAAATCTCTTACAAAGCAGAAGGAAAGTGGTTAACAAAGCGACTAAGAGTCGAAATTCTGATTTAAGCTGCTGATAAGAAGGCGATAATCTGGCTTGTGAATCTATGCAGACAGACGAATCATCTTCTTCAATCTTAAAAGATCACTGCTAACTGTTTATCTCCCACAATGACGCCAATTCTGCCTGCACTATGCCAGGTTGGTGTTTTTTTCGACATCGTACATTGGTCTTCATTGCAACATTTGTCTATTTTAGGTGCCTGTTCTATTCTTTTGTTTGCCCCTCTAGCTGCCTTTCTAGTATTTTACTTCTAGAATTCTTTTGTGTTACATTTAGAACTTTCTTTCCATACAATACAACGTTGTCAATATAATGGGTAAGTATGATAATAGGGCTATAGGACATTGCAGAGATTTGGCAAAAATTATTTCTCCGTTGTTGATATTACAAGCATCCCTTTTCTAAAGAACTTTTTTCCCTTTTTTGCGACAGCAAGCTTCCTCTCTGCTCTATCTGTTTAAGCATAACGAATGGAAAAAAGCAAAACCTCCCCTTTAGCGATATTATATGATTTCAGCCGTTTTATAGCAACCCTTTTTCGTGTTTATAATTGTTAACAGATTTACTTTGAAGAAAGAATTCGTTATTGCTGCAAAGGGGCCTGGTTTTTTTGAACGAGTGACCAGTATTTGTGATGCCAGAGTCAGAAAAACATTACGGTCGCACGGTCACTGACCAGAGGAAGGCCCACGAAAAACAATAGAAGGTCCTATGACACACCCAAGCCACGCCACTTTCTATTGGTGAGGAAGGTTTGCCTTCTGGGTTGTTTTTGTCTGGAGGAAGGTTAACAGCTTTCCTGGACTCCATGTGTGCTTAGTATCATCAAGAAATGGAAGTAGAATCGAAATGCTATGTTCTAAGCGGTTATGCAGAAAGGCTTTTAGCATATGATGGTCCTAGAGAAAACTTTGAAAAACAAAGTTGTGAATACCAGTACCAATTTAAATTGGAATCAGCTACAATCATAAGAATGTCATACTTTAATAGCTAAAGCTGAAAGTAAAAATAAATTTCAGAAGATCTCATTTAAAAACATTTGTCCAAATAAATCCCTGCTCAAGAACGGATATGCCTAGACGAGTAAAGATTAATTTCTTTGGCTTCTAAACAGTTTTCAGCAGTCAATTGCCACGATGTTTCTGAGATTGTTTCTTAATAAAAAAAGAATTTTGCTTCCAATCAGCAATTTCGCCAAAATCAAACTTGACAGTCTTAATCATTTTTCGATTAATCTTCTTTTGTTGTCGGATTTATGTTGATTATTTTGTTAACGCCGTTAAAACAACCAATAGGAAACGCTTTCCAGCAGCTCTAGAGCTTGCGACGTCACCCCCGTCAGAATCCCATCAATCAAAGGGATAAAGATTCTCAGCTCGTAGATTTCTTATTATACTTAGTATATCCTCTTTCTTTGTGTTGTTGTGTGTCTTATTTTAAACAAAGGGCTCTTGGTCAAAAGCTTCGGTCTGTTTTTAATGGGATCAATCAGCCCTTTTTATACATATTGCCTTGCTATGTGATGAGTCGAACATTCCCCGATACATTTGTGCGATAGTTTGCGCAAATTATCAACTGCATCCTGCAAAAAAAACCTTAAAGCATTTTAGAATCTAAAGTTCGGTTGGTGGCATTTGTTTTTTTCCTTTAAAGAAGCTCAAATTGCGTGGAATTGGATACAGAAATCGAGTTACATGGCCGCCATGTTGAGAACTGCCTTTGATCTAGTGCTTATCTTTAAAGAATTGCTTTACCATATATGGTCACTTCAGCCTTAAGATAATTCCAAGCGAAAACAACAATCTACGCTGTACAGCACCGCGGCTCTGATTTAGGTTAGGCTTCTCAACCTGAGGAGTTTGACTTCATATTAGCTAATATCGACATTATGGCTTCAAGAATCTGGAACATAGCAACCAACGCCTGTACAAATGCCGAATAGCTTAAAATAGGAATTGCACGACACCCTTTTTTCTCATTAATAGTTGGGGCACATTTGTGTTTATAGGAGAAACATGCAAGTTAAGTAGGGGAGGAGGATGCAAATTTCCAACCCCATCTATAAAGCACGACAATCGGTCAAAGCGAAATGCATTTTATGTCAAAATTCATAACTGGTGAAATATAATCAAGATATGGCAAACGACTGAATGCATTTTTTTTCTCCGATGGAGATGTTCCGTGGATATTTCTGTCCACTTGCACCTAGCTGTTCCTAGTTGTTTCGATTGAATGCCAATACTATCTTCAGTGGCGGCTCTTGCTAATGGGCATCTGGGGCAATGCCCCTTCAAAAAGATTCAAAGGAAATCTATGATATTCATATTTAATTTTGAAGATAGTCTTACTGTGGTTAATTATATAAGTTTGTATCTCTTCTAGAAAAAGCTCCTTGCCATCCCGTCTCATCCTTAGCCTCGCTTCTGGCCCGCTAGTGCCTTGAGCGATGATGTCATTTTACGGGCAAAGTTTTTTTTGCCCCTAGCCGACATGCGTACAAGCTAATTTTCGACCTCGAGCATTGCGAAACGTGGCCTGTGATTGGCTTATTTGGAGGAATTCGGGGCAAGAAAAATTTTGCCCATAAAATGACATCATCGCTAAACAACAACCACATCTATATATGCTTTTTCTTCTGCGCTCCATGACGATCAACATCGAACCATGAGTACAGTGAAAAATTTGCAAACTCGACCTTTCTATCGATTATCGCAATATTGATGGTCTACCCTCCCAACTGTGAAAGTCACGAGCCGCCACTGACTATCTTTAGAGCTAGTTCCAGTGGTATACATCGCAAAAGGTTTAAACTGACAAGATAGTTGCTTGAGTCAAATTCCCTTTGATTGAACTTTCAGTGGATGGCGCGGGCATTTAGAGAAACCAGTCGAAACTAATGGTGTTGTAGCTTCCAAGAGGAACCTCCCAGAAGGGGAACTTCCCAAAAGTACCAGGGGAACTGGCCACTGGTGCGAAAGAATGGAACGAGTTGGGGCAATATGAAAAATGGTTTATGCTTTTTCGTTCAAGTCTCCTGAAGGCCTAGATTTCACGTCCAGATTCGGCTCAGCAATTGACTGTGAGCAAATAACTAGTTGCATGACATCTCGGGACTAGCGACGCATCTTTTTACAACCAAAAAACTTAGTCCAGTAAACATGAAGGTCACACAGTCGCTAACACCAAAAATCTGCCATCTTTACTGGACTCTCACATTATCCCTCACCTCTCTTTTTTATTTCTGTTCAGAAACTGTACGCAAGCAATGTTCCTCATGTTTGGTTGGCACCTGGACCAAAGGTATTTTCAGTCTGTGCCACATATATTTGCCATTATTAGCTGTATATATGAAATTGTATCAGAAACCAGCTTATCAAATGCCATGCCAATCAAGAAAATACTGAAGCATCTCTTGAGAAAAGCCCTGTACATAATGAAAAGTTTAAATTTTAGATCTACTGAAATATTTGAATGGAAGGACTGTGCTCCAGGGCCCATTAAAAATATTTTGTGCCTGCGAGCGGAAAGCTGAGTAAAAAATGTGCCTGCAAGTAAAATAGGGTGGAACATGTGGTCAGATATTGATAAATTGCGAATCTTCCATTCTACTGAGTACTGTTACACCAAATTAAATCAATGCCACCGAGTTTTTTCTTACCCAAATTTTCAAATGCTTGAAAATTCTCGTTTTTCACCAATGGAATTTTATAAAAGCAAGAAGCATTTCCTTGATACTATTTTAGTTTTTTACATCTAATACATATCAATTTCCAGTTTATGGTTTTCCTTCGTCATCAACAAATAAGATTTCCAGCTTATCCATACTATTTTCTCTTTCGCCCACTACATCCAAGAAATTTTAGATCCAGATGGGCTGAAATAACGCTTCTACTGGCTCTTTATAATTCCCACCAATTATTTCTTTCTAACGATCCAGCGATTCCAGTTGGACACCGCAATTTTCAACTCACGCTCGATCAAAATTTCTAATCCCCTTATTGTGATTGCCGATCAAAAATATTCATCCATGGGTTTTAAAAAACGAAATAAAAAAGACGTGTAAATGACACACGACTCTCATTTGCACGTCTTTTTATTTCATTTTTTATAACCCATGGATGAATATTTACTGAAAGCGTCTTATTCACAAGCAAAATCTCCCGAATAATACATCTAGATAAAAAATTTAGGTGCCATTTCACCTACCGACCAGCGATTTTACTAACGATTTTGTGGACCAACTGACCAACAACCATCTCATGATGTATTTGGGGTGTCACATGCTCTACGCCCCCGTAAGCTACGCCCCTAACTGCGTGTAAAACTTATCAAATAATATTTGCTGTGAGCGTACATAAGAATGAAATGATCAAGTTTTTATCTACGGGCGATTAGGGTTATTCAAGCAGTCTTACCGTAACTCCTCGAATAAGCCCCCGGGGGGCTTATTTGCAAAAATGATTTTTAGGTGAGGGCTTATTCGACTGTGGAGGCTTATTCAAGCGTGGGGGCTTATTCGACTTTACGGTGTTGGTATTATCGATTTGTTCAAATAAAGTCATATTCAGAAAAGAAAGCTTTCCAATACTTTAAACGCTTCACTTTAAATTAAGAAGGCTATGGGTTCTATTTACAACATATTCTTTCAAGGTGACTAGCTTTAGCTCTTTATTTTCATCTCGTTAACAAGAGTTGCAAAATCTCGACATTACACGGGATTTTTCTCATTTCAAAGTTGAAAATGTTTGCTGTGAAAGATTATATTCCAATCAGGTTCCTTTGAAAGTTTGTGTTGATGAAAATCGTATGAATTTTCTTTAGGGTGAATTCTTTAGAGGCGTACCTTGTAATTTTGCTCTACAAGCCAACTCTGCATTTTACTTTCTCCCCCTTACTCCCACAAACGCGTTAGTTGCTAGACGCAAGAGGAAATTGAAAGAAAGGGACAGATAGACAATGTGATATGCAAACTCATGCAATTAGAGTAATGATTTTGGGTTATCCTTTGAAATTCTATTTGACCTTCCAATTGATACCAAAAAAGATATTCATGAAAAGCATGGTTGTAAACTAAAAAAGTGAATAAATTCGATCCAGAAAAGTGCCTGCAGAAATTGAAATATGAACCACCCCTACCTAGCGCTTTTTAATCTGTTTTTAGAAGAAATATGTTGACCATGTTTTAAAAAAGCGGGGTGGGGTAATTACCCTCTATAACCCCCTTCGCACCGCCATTGATTTTATAAAAATCTTGGATCAGTACTAAGTACTAAAAGTTTTTTTAATTTGGTATCCAAATTTTGGCGCTTTTGTAGTAAAGGCTTCTTAGTTGGCTTCTTATTTTTGCGATCTAAAATTGCATTACTGTTTTGAAGTTAAGCATTTTTGGAAGAAAATAAACACAGCCTAATACAAGAGTTTCTTGAATTCTTGGGCATCTTAATACTAGTTTCTTATAAACCAGTTTCTTATCAACAAAATACGTTACCTTCATTTAGTACATTGGTACAAAATATTTTCGGTTCTTATACATTTTTCTACAACACAAATGTAGAAAAGCAGAAGAAGCATGGCTAGAAAACATGTGTTCAGAAATGAAACGAAACATTTTTTACAGAACCAACAATTATTTACAAATAGGTTAAAGACATAGCTAAAGAAAAAGTTCACTTATCTGCCGGTTGCATAAAATTCAAGGAAGGCTGCATCATTATGGAAAAAGACGCAATTTTTCACGCTGATCTGAATACATCAATGATCTGTTCAAAGACGAAAGGGGGCCAAAACCATGGATGGTCCCAATATGTAAAAAACATGGATGGTCCGAAAATATTAGAATCAGAAATAAGAGCCACAGTTATGAAGTGAAAAAGAACAAAGCCGCAGGCCCGGACGAGATGGTAGTAGAAATGGTAGAAGCGCTAGAAGATTGGCACCCAACGTTTAACAACCATCGCAAATATTGTATATGACATTAGCGAAATTCCGTAAACTCTCCTGAAATCTGTATTTATAGCATTATCCAAAAAAACCGGGAGCAACTGAATGTGAATTTCATCGCACAACCAGTTTGATGAGTCTAGACATGAAAATGATATTACGTGTTTTAATGGAAAGAGCAAGAAGATGTATAAACCCGGAATAAGAGCAGAACAATGCGGATTTGTGGAAGATGCTGGTACAATTAATCTTAAGAATGCTAAGTGAGTGTGCAATTATAATGCAGAGAAAGCTATACGTTTGCTTCATCGACTATACCAAAGCATTCGACAAAGTTAGACATGAAGACCTCATGGGGGCTTAAGAAGGTTGAGCCCCCCTTGTTAATGCCGAAAATTGGCAAATTTCTACTTTTGCTATTGTTTTGGCACCATTTTGTGCAAGAGCCCACCCTTGTTATTTTGATAGCAATACACCACTGGTTGAAACATCTAGATATTAATGGAAAAGATATAATTCAAAATCTTTACTGGGAATAGACGGTTGCTGTAAAAATAGATGGAAAGGGTTAGTAAGTTTACCAATATTTAAAGAGGAGTACGACAAGGATGTGTCTTTTCGCCAGTTTTGTTTAACCTCTATAGTGAAAAATCCTAAGAGAGATCCATAGTACCAAAGGAATAGTAATAGGAGGTTACAACTTACATCATTTACGATATGCAGACGAGACAGCACTGATAGCAGATTTAGAGAAACTTTAGGAATTACTAGTTAGGAAACTGCTAGGAAATAAAGTGAAAAGAGAGGACTAACAATAAATGTCAAGAAAACGGAATGCATGATAATTAGAAAAGAGAAGGAAGAACTGAAGTACCAACATGCGAAATTAAGATTGGCAAGGACAAAATAAAACTTATGGAAAAGTGCAGCTACATCCGTTTGAAGTGTCATAACATCAAACGGCAAATTCGACACAAAAAAAAGAAAAGAATTGCCATGGAAAAAGACTCCTTTCAAGAACTAAGAAGCATCTTCAAAGACAAGATAATAAGTATGAATTTAAAGAACAAACTTGTTGCATACATTCCATCCTCCTCTATGAAAGTGAGTGCTAGACTATCAGGTACCGCGGAGCGTTGAGAAAAGTGAGGGGGTCTGAAAAAAGTGGGGTGGAGGCTAAAACCGTATAAAAAGAGGCTTTTCTGGTAGTTTGATTCTTAATATTTGGCATTTTTTGCAAAAAGTGAGGCTAAAGCCCCCCCTCAGCCCCCCTGCTCCGCGGTGCCCGACTATTTCATCAACAATGTAAAACAGACTGAAGGCAGCAGAGATGTGGTTTTAACAGAAGAATGCTAAGAATATCATAGACAGAACAAGTGTCGAACGAAGAAGTTTTAAGAAGAGCAAATGCTGAAAAGAGGCCGATAAGAGACATCCGAAAAAGGTAACTGAGTTTTTTGGGGCATGTTATGCGAAAAGAGAAAATTGAAAATCTAGTGATAACAAGAAAGATAGAAGGTAAACGTAGCAGAGAAAATCCAAGATAAACGTACATCAGGAGCATGAGCATAAGTGCTGGTTTTGGTGATGTCGAGCTATTGCTGGCCACAAAGAACAGAACTGTGTGGAAAACCGTGGTTGCCAACGTCCGTATCGGATAGGGTACCCACAGAGTGATTGAACGTTTCTCTTACAATGATTCTTTGCTCCAAGATGTGTTTCAATCTTAAGGTAAAGGAATTTCGCCTTTTTCAAGACCCATTTTGAGTGGGCTGATGACACTGCAAGGCGCAAGAGAGCAACACTTTCGTGTATACACGTATTTTTTAAACTTCCGAGTTACAATTTGAACCCCCCACCAGAAGGTTTACACCAGAGGTTGAGCGAAAACGAGATTTTTCATGAAGGAAGCCTGGACAGGAAGACAGGACACAAGAATATTCTATCTGGCCTAAGTGACAAAGCGGTGTTTTGCTCAAGAATTGGGCTGAAATCTTATTAAGATTGTCAAAATATACAATAATATCATGTCTAGTGGCAGTTCTAAAAATCCTGAAGGGAAGGTAGACAATTATAGACGAACATGGGATAAAGAAGAGTTTGAAAAGAAGGCGAAAGAACGTCTGCAAGAGGAGACAGGTGAAGATGGCCTGTCCGCCGACGAAAGTGATCATCCAGTCAAAAGGGAATTGTTACAAGCAAGAAGCTATGCAGTTGATTTAGATTCAAAGCTCGGAAAGAATACAATCATAACAAAAACAACACCGCTTTCAGAAGTTGGTGGCTATTACTGCAATGTTTGTGACTGTGTTGTCAAAGACTCAATAAATTTCTTAGACCATATTAATGGCAGAAAGCATCAAAGAAACTTGGGAATGTCTATGAGGGTTGAGAGATCAAGTCTTGATCAGGTAAAGAAAAGATTTGAAAGTAATAAAAGAAAGAAAGAAGAAGAGAAGAAAAAACAAGATTATGATTTTGAATCCAGGGTTAAAGAACTCAGAGAAGAGGTTAAGTTCCTCCAAAATCCTTCATTTTGCAGTAAATTGTGTTTTTTTGACAGCTATAATTTTTTGGTAAACTTCTTTTGAAAGATATGAATTTATGTTGCTTAGAAGATTCAAGCTCACCTATCAGATTATGATGGACTTAGTAGCAGCATACTCATGAAAGAGAACCTTATTACACAATTTTTTGCTAGCTGGATAATAATTTGTAGTGAAAAATAACAGACATGTTATCCAAGAGGACAATATTTAAAAAATGATAAAATAAAATGCTAAATATTTTTTTGTTTGATGAAGAAAATGCTTTTCCTAGATGAATAATTTGTCCCACCAAAATTTTTAATAGCATATCTGAAAGTGTGAAAAACAAAAACTAATATACCCAACTTTTTTGTGCAAATATTGGATTCAAAGAACATTTTCAGCAATAGAAGCTCAACACATCCCTATTACCTATTATTACCAATTTTGTTAGAATAAGCCACTTAGATTTTTTACCACCTCAATTGACTGAGAATTGATTTACATTTAAGGATATTTAGTAAGTTTTTTGCCGACTATTGTAGTATTTCATCAACTAACTGCATTATAACTAAATTGATTACAGGAAGAGAGAGTAAAACAAAAAAGGAAAGATAACAGAAAAGAAAGGAAGAGGAAAGCAGAAGATACACAGGAGGAGTATTTGGACAATGATGTGGCAGCGTTGATGGGGTTTGGTGGTTTTGGGTCAAGTAAGAAATAGGACCTATTCAGAACATTTAGGAAGTTATTAAAGAACTAAAGGAACCCAAACTGATCCTGGTTTCCGTTTACTTGTAAAATGAAGCTTCATAATGTTACTAGGTTATGTTTTGAAGCTATAAAAAGTCACAGTTTTCTTTCCAGTTTCCAATAAAGTACTTAATATTTAGATTTTGATGATACTATCTTTTGATGAAAGCAATTAGTTTGTTGTTTGATTTTCTGTGCCCATTGGCTGTTTCAGTGGTCATGCTTTATTGGCTTGGCTGACTTTTTAGCACACACAGTAGCTTGAATATTTACAAGAATTATACTGTGCAACACATTAAAATTTTTTAGAATCAGAAAAACTTATTTGTAGGAATCTGAGTTTAAAAAAGATTAGTGTAAGAGTGAATTTATAGGAACGATTGTTGGTGATGAATGGTTCCTATATTAATTCCTTTGCAAGTTCTTTTATGGGCATGCTGTCATTTTATGATCTAGTTTAAGGTGCAGAAAACACAGAGCCTGCAAGAGACGATGTTGCGTGACCGTTGCGTCTTGATGAATTAACTGACTAATCAAATAAATACAAAACTGGTCATAAACACATAAAACAAGGGGATGCTACAAATGTGTTGTTTATTACGTTACGTGGATACAAAGACAATGGAAAGTGTTAATGTCAGTGACACAATGGAGGACATGATTATGTTTAAACAATGTCCACTACAAATTGTATTGCCGTAGAAATCTAAAATTGATGCTGATGAGGATTCTTGCTGCAATTAGCAGTACAATACTGAATTCCATTCTTGAGACTAAACTAAAAAGGGCTTCACGATTCAGTGGCTTTCTTGTACAACATTATAATTGTATTTCTTTTATACAATCACCTAAAGAAGACAAATCAATAACACACAACTACTGTGCCTATCATGGCTGGAATAGACTCCAGGTCATTGAAGTTCCCACCATAAAAGGCACATAGACTTCAAAAGTTTACAATATTCTATATAAAAAGAAACAACAAAGGAATGTCAAGTTTCTGTCTCACATTAGATGTCAGGCAACAATATTTATAATTGTATTGTCACAGTGATTCCACAGAATTCTACTTCAGAGTCTTAAAAGAAACTTAATCCCAGATGTAATCACAATCTTGCTTTCAAGAAACGATTCTAAAGCTTTGGGGGAATGCATGTTTTTATGATAGAACACCTAGGAACATCTGTGATTCCAGAGGGCTCTAGAATATTGGTGTTATAATAGCATATTTTTATTTGACAAGCTATCACAGTTTATAATATTAGTCAAACAAAAAACATGCAAGGAAAGCGGTTGGAAATCTATTGTCGTTGTACCTTTATTCATAACTAAATTTTCAAAAATTTTGCCTTCCCAGAATGGTACTTTTTTAAGCTGTGTCTTCATAACCCCATATTTATCACCTTTATATCTGTCACCTTTATATTGCAAACTTTTGCCATTTATTTCTCATGTTCTTTTCAATATGTATCTAGATACGAATTTCAATGCATACCTTTGGATATTATGTGTTTATACTATGTGGATAAAAAGTATGTATAGCATGTTTATAATATGTTTTCATTCTTGAATGCTACTTTCAAATTTGGTTGTACCAAAATCTTATTTAATTAACAACGTTATTATTTGCAAATGAAAATGAAGTATTATTTGTTGGAAGTGGAGGCAAAATCACATACAAGTATCATAATTCTGATATGAAATCTATCATGCTTTATCCCAGTGTGAAAGTCAATTTATTAAGTACCTTCGAAAAATTTAGACTTGTGTGCTTAAATCATAATAATCTAAATACATTATTGACAAATCATCCATATTCAGCAACAGCTTCTTATCATTTAATACCTTCATTAATGTTCATTCTTAGAATGGAATGTCAATAAACTGAAATGCATTAATAAGATCTCTAATGTCAAAGCTGGATAGTATAAAACTGTTTTAGCTGCCAAAGCAATCTTGCAAAGCTTCTTAGGTCTCAATATAGGTTGTTTATTTTTTAATAACTTGAAAGAGGAAGCAGAAGTAATACGTGGTTTTGTAATGTATAAAATAAATGTTATTATCATGACAATACTAAAATGCCTATGTACAACTTTTCAAGTTCAGGTTGTTTTATTTTCGGTAATGTTATTGGTAATGTTATTGCTTTCTACATCTCCTTCAGAACCATCTACAGTTTCATTTTTAAGTTCTTCATTAACAGTTTCTTTTTCAACAGTTGTAGCATATTTCTTTTCAAACAGAAAGTCCCATTCTCCAAAACGATGACCAGAGATTTGATATGCTGCTGGGCTCGCACCTTTCCATTGATGATGTTCAAAATTTCCAGGTGGTTTTGTTGAGTATAATTTCTTGCCATTAGGTGTTAAAGCAAAATTATAGTTGACTTCATTTTCTAAAGCATATGCAATCTTTTCATCAAGGTTTTCTTTGGTCACAAAGTCTTTACTTTCCTCCTGAACAACAAGAAGAATTGATGTAAGAGTTTATGCTCAATTTTGAATCCAGTTTCCACTTAAATTCAGAAAGTAAGGACTAGAATTATATCTGTTAAATAGAGTTATTTCTGTTAAATATAGGTGGGATTATGTGAATTGGTAGAAATGCCTTATTCACATGATATAAAACATGTGTTTCCAGACAAATAATCCAAAAACTGGTTACATCATTGTAAAAATGTTAGTCCTAACTTTTTTGTCTGCAAGTTTGACTAACCGGACTAATGTAATTGTAAGATCAGTATCAACTTTAGGCCAAAGACATTGGTGTTCCTATCAAACCCTACTGAAACAAATTCTTAATGTAATTTTTCCTTTTAAATGAACAATTAATGTAAAAGCGTATAACCTAAATGATATGAATATCTTCATTTCACTAAAAGACATGTTTATTAACTATGCATTCAAATATTTGAATAAATAATACTAGCACTTGAAGCCATTTGAAAGAGAATGTATAATAAAACCTTTCCATCACCATGAAAAGCATTCTAAAATGAGCTATACCAAATAAAAATTATCATTATCTTACAATTGCTTGGAGAACAAGAGCCCTTCTCTTTTCAAACATCAATTGATCTTGCTCCATCTGTTCTAAGGCTTGCATTTCTTCTTCCTTCTGCTTCCTTTCAGCTTGAATAAGGTTTCTTAGCTCTCTGTTAAGAAATTAACATAATATTTGAGGATTGATTTTTCCTGCTTTATTTTCTGCAGTTAAAGGCCTTTTATCCAGGCCTGGTCATAAGACTTTAGGTAAACAGCTCTCCAAGTAATCTCCAGGTGATATATTTCTAGATACATAAGAATACAAACAAAGAAAATATTGATTCCAAGTAGAGCAATTTGCTTTTCAGAGCAAATTTAGGAGCACAATCCGTAGCTCCCTTCCAGCATTCGAGGAGACCATAGAGGGGAGCAAGAGCTATTGTTCCCCTCAAATTGCCAGGCCTGTTTTATCCCAATGCAATTTTGCTGGCCATTTAAATTTCCCATTGGTTAGACTACATTGGATACATTGGATTGTTATGTATCCAATTTGCAACATAAGGCTAATTTGCAAAGTTTTCTCAATCATAAACACACTGCAAATTCTATTTTTAACTCTGAATAGTTGACTGACAGGACAAATAAATTTTTAACAAGCTATTCATTTTCAGTGCAGCAGCTCTAGTTCCATAGTCAAACCTAATGGTGGAAACTTTCCTCTTTTCAGGTAAACTGTGCATTAAAGAATCATCAGAATAACTTGTCCACCCTAGAATAAAGGTTTCATTATGAAAGTTCTAAGTACTTGCCCCTGGTTTGATGGCAATAAAAGAAGAAACTTGGAAAATCTGATCTGAATGTAAAGAATGCCAATGTAATCTCTCCAATCTACTCTACTTTAGAAATCTTCATTGATGTTGGATCACACATTGCTAGCACTTGCATAAATTGTAGAACATAAAATTTCGCAACAAATCAAGTAGAAATGCAAGTAGATATTAGTTTATTTGCTTAAAGAAGTATCGTTTATCAAACCTTTCCCGCTTGAGTTCTTCGTTATTTTTCAATATAAATGCAATGTTTTTGGCCTCCTCTTCTTTTTCTTCTGCTTCCCTTTTCATTTGCTCACCCTCTATGTCTTTCTTCCTCTCTTCCTCTACCCTATATTGTTGCCTGAAATATTCCGCAACGTCTTCTATTTTTGCTTTGTAGTCAGCCGTTGCTTTCCTTTTTGCAGCTCTCATATCGATGAAGGCTTGCAGTTCGTCTTCAGTAGCGCCATCTTCTTTCATCTTGATTAATTTTGGAGGTTTGATTACTTTTACCTTTCTTTTTCCTCTGGCAACTAAACTTGTTGTATGAAAGCACGATGATCTTAAATTTATCGCTACAAACCTGTCTGAAGCCCCTATAAAATTGATTTGTCTAATGGCACGACAAGACTTTAAACATACATTTAGGCCCGCCATCTTGAAACTTGCTATAGTAAATCAAAACGAGGTTGTTGATTGAAAATCGATTTCATGATGAAGGGACGGGGAAAAATGTTTAGATTTCAAGGGGGCCAACCCTTTAACCTGGGAGAGAGAGAGGTGGTCGACTAGAAACAAAATTGAAAAATTGGTTACTAATGACAAAATTTTATCTCACTGAAAGGAGCTTCGGATAACCTAAGGAGCCAATGGATAGCAAATATCTTGCAGCTTTTGGTGCTCAAAATTTTATGGTAGGATGCAACTGTTTCTCATAAGAAACAAAACTCATTGACTATTTCTTCATGTTGTCTTATTATTATCAGTGGCGGCAATTATGGGGGTATGGGGGAGCTGCCCCCCCCCCCCAATCAGCGATGTCGTACGAAAACTCGGGCTTTCCTCGGATAATTGACAACCGTTTAACGTGTCGAAATTACTCCAAGAAATTGTTCTGAAAAGGATTTTTTAGCTAATCTAAGGGGCGTAATTGCCAAATTTTCTGCTCGCTTCGCTCGCAGGTGATCTATATTTCCCCTTTTTACCCCAGGGGCCTCGATATTTTGCAAAATTTGAACATAGCATAGCTGATGAATATTAGCTAGCACTAAATAATCAAACAAACAATAAACAAAGAAAAAGACTGCTTGTGAATTGTATATTTAATTTCAATTCCGTAAAGATTGGCCAAATCCTCTACCGGATTCTTCCCAATAAAATTTATTTTCAAACGTATCTCCCACTAAAGAAAATGCAATAAAATGCATAAAATGAACTTCACAGTTGCAATCATGTTGATATCATGGGCGACTTGTCAAGAGTGTAATCTGTCGACCTTTTGTAACATCAATTGTCTTAGGTGAGATATCGATCTTGATATCAAAAATCAGAAATGGATTGTTCTTCTTGCTATCTGTGGTCAACAAAGATTTCTTAAAGGCCCTGCCAAAAAATCACCTATTTTTATCAAAAAGTGCAGTTCCCTTAAAATTAGACATGACACAAGATGTTATCTTGTCAGAAAATCGTAGGCCCCCCCAAGAAATGAAAGCCCGAATTTCCGCCACTGATTTTAATGATGGCAATTTCAAAACAAAGATATTTCCCTTAAACTTAAGAAGAAAACTGTCTTGTTTAGTTGAACTAAAATGATGAAATAACGGCAAATGACACCTCATAATTAATACAACATAATTCACTTTCAGATCTCACACAAAATAATGTCGCTTCATTGGCGAGTATTGGAATTCCTTTATTCTACATATTATTGCTACAGAATATTCGAATTTCATGACCACAGGAGTTTTTAATAAAAGTCAGTGTAAGTAAACTTTAATTAATTACGAACAAGCTTTTTTGCTACCTTTTTTGAAAACAGTCTACTTTGTTTCAGGTTGCAATGAAAAGAGACAGTTCTCTAAATTTTAAAATAAAACTTTCTATAGTTAATGATTTCTATTACTTATTAATTAAAATACTATATTTTTCTTTGAAGAGGCTTGTATTATTCGAAAACTACTAACAGCATATTTCGATTTTTACAACAATAAAATAACCACCCAACAGGGCTTTCTCCCGTTGGACTGCTTGATATATGCATTTGTCTCCCTTGATCTCCTCTATCCCAAAAGAGTTTTCAAAGGCAAATTAACCCATGAAATGTTGCAAGGTGTGCATTATGTTTGCAAGCTTTGTTTCGGGGTTGAGTATTGAATATTGTTAACGTGCGTAACACACGACTTTTGCAATATTAGGACCAAACATCTAACCAATGAGTGGAACGCTTCTACCCACTTATCTCCAATACCTTTTTATGTACACGTTGCTATGGATACTTGGCCTTTTTTCATATCAATTATCACTTATCCCAACAACATAGTCGTGTTGCTAAGCAATTAAATTTGTATAGGAAGTGCCACAAAAATGCTTGGAAACTAAACATGAGTCATAGAGCTCAATGTTTTGCTTTCGTACTTATGTAGACTTATAAAAATGTTTAATGCTAATGTATAGAAGTTGTAATTATTTGGCTTTTGCAGCTCAATAATTTGATAGCTTGTCCCTTAGTACTTTAAATACCATCTTTTGAAAACTGATAATTCATTTGTTTAGGTGTTTTTCTCTCAGTGCTCAAAACAGCTTTTACGATTTCCTGTCTGATGTCTTAATTTGATACTAACGCAACAAGTAATAAATCTTGCCACCAACGTCTTGATTTCAGGAAATGGTTGCTTATGCGGAGTTTATATTCATGGGACAACAGAAAAATTGACGATCAGAAGAAGAACGTCGCGGCAGTTGAAGAATTTATTCTAGATCACATTTCTCTTTAAAAAAGGAAACATATCTAGTTTAAAGAATGAAGGTATGCAAAATAATCTGTTTAATGTGTTGTTTGTACTAGGTTCTATGGTTTTTCTGATAACATCTTGATTTATGAATCCGAAAAGAACATTTAATTACAATCAATAAACAATTTTTGGAGGAAAAACTTCTTTTTTTCATGAATTTTGCAAAATTATTATCATTTTTAGCTTGTTGAAACGCAGGTTGACCTACAAGCTGAGTTTAGAAGTAACATGCAATGATTTCGACTTTTATATTTTTTGGCAAAAAGCTGCAGACAAATTTTATTGTCATTTTTTATGCCTAAGGTTTCTATTATCTTATAATATTATTGAAATCGAAAGCAAAAGGAGCTGCACTTATATTTGATGCAAATATTATGCACTCATAACTGAATATTTGACACAAAAATTCAGTTTTCATGATCAGAAGCTATCTGATGTCAAATTTGAGCAATTAATCAATCGTTTTGCAAAAATTTTGCGAGTGTTAAGCTATCTTGTGAATGCACTTTGCTTTGTTTGCGTTTATCAAAAAGTGAATATTATTACTTGATGCCTTTAATGTTGCATCAAAAAACATCTAAAATTTTTTCTGATAATTTGAAGTTTTCGGACATAAAAGTAACTCAATTTATTCAGATACAATGGCAAGCTTGCATTCAAATAGGAAAAAATACGGCGAGCTTTTGATTGTAGTGCATGGATGCTTGTATAAGCAAAATTAGCAAAGTCAAGTCAACTGACATTTCTTATCAGTTTAGCAATATTGTCATCATTGTTCTTGCAACAAATACTATCTTGTGATAAGTACTTTAGCACATGCAAGCTTAAAGAAATTCAATCATAATTGGTAGAAAGGAGGATATTTAGTTTTTGAATTTGTAAAACTGGGTACCAAAGATAATACTACAAATGATTTGCTTTCGTAATAAAGTTGCTGTTATTTTTTCAGCTGAAGATATACAGTGCATTGTCTGCGATGCTGATATGTTGTGCTATTCTTTTCGATGATACAGTTTCACCACTGCCAGTTAAGGTAACATCTGTTGCAAGCTTGGTTCGATATGTCCTTATTCCTTAACTAAAATACTCTAAATTTATGTTTCTAAAATACTTTATCATGAAAAATATCGAGTGCATTATATTTGCTAGCACAAGAGCAGATTAAATATTCTATATTGATAAAGTATCTTCTTAGCAAATTGAATGCTTTATCAAGCCCTTCTTTGTCCTCTCACCACATACACTGTTGATTAAGATTTCTACAGGTGAATCATTTTGCCCCGTTACTTTTTATATTCAACCATAGTATGCTGCTATATATTTCTTATTGCAAGACAATATATTCAGATTTAAAAGAGACACTCAGTAATTTTTAAAGTCTGATTCAAGTGGCAAGGAAAATGACAACTGTTGGCAATGCTAAATTTTCTCTCGTTGTTTCCTTACATTCCTTTAGTTTACAATTTTATTTTTCAAGGTCTTATCAAGGGTTAGAAGAAGCTGCTACCTGACATGTCCTTGTCTACAAGCAAGCGATTGTCAACCATGTGGTTTGGTGTGTTCACGTGTTTTCCAGTCGAATGACTCAATATGTGTGAGCCAATCTGGTGGTCTTCCAGGAGGGCTATGAGCTTATTCAGATAGTTTGGCTAAACACACTGTGATTAGGTATTACATGCTAATTTTCCTGGTAAAAACCTTTAGAATGATTTTCAAAATGGATGGCCTCGTTATCATCAAACGTTGAAAGAGGACCTATGATAAAACAATATCTTTGTGGTAGAAATTATCAAAGTGGCAACTCTAATTTAAGATTAAATCTTCAAAATGTGATTATTTAAACATAAGTCAAACTAGATAGATATGAGGTAGGTAGTAAGACTTTTTGAAGTTCAGAAATCAACTAACATTTATAGTGTCCTAGAGTAAACAGATTTTTAGCAAATGGTACAACGAGCCTCTTCATTTAGAAGCCTGTGTCCCAGACCCCCAGGCTATCATTTAGGGGTACCATAGTCTTGAATCGGCTAAAAGAGAAAATGAGTTTTCAATGAGAGTAAGAGGCTGAAAGTTATCCGACAGTGAACTGCTACATTTGTATTTTATAGTTCGATTTTTGGCATTGAAAATAGGGTATGGTTGACTCCAGGGGCACAGTGGGAATAAAAATTTTTGGGAAAAGGGCAGTGTCTCTCTAAGGGGCTATAATCCCTTTCTTAAGCCACTGCCTTCATGGCTGGCTTGCCCTAGAAGCTTAGGAATACAGGTGTAGGAAAACCCTATAAAAGAAATAATGACACTTTGAAAATTTTCCGGGGTCCTTTTCAGATTGAATATGTTTGTTTATTTCAGATCCTTTTTTATCATTATTGTATCAAAATAATCATTGCATGAATTTGCTGATATATCAAATTTGATATATTCCTTTAGGTTTTTTACTTGATATCTTTATTTCAGATAGGCAAGCAAGGGCACATAATCAGGAGTATGACGTCAATCTATAAAGAATGGCAGTAGAGATCAGTGCATCACAACAGAGCGATGGCAGTGCAATCCTGAACATATATGTTTCATTATGTTGTCATCACGCATAATTGTTAGTTTGCTAAATTTATATATAATGTCTTTGTTTTATATTCGGAAGTATTTTTGGATAGCCTTTGCTCTTTTGGCAGCATTCTTCCTGTTCAGTCCATTTTGACCTCGACGAGGCCCCTCATCTCTATCTACGCATATAATCAGTAAAGCCCAAACGGGCATCGCACTGATAAGGGCGGTTTCCTCGTACGCAAGAGTCTGCAAAATATGTGTTATGGTCAAAGAAAGGACATGAGGCAGGTGGACAAATTTGGACTTGAAAGAGACGGTCACCAAAATCTTAAGAGCGAATAGCAAACAATAGAAAGGCCCTAAACAGCACAAGACAGGGGCATTTCAATAACACCTAGCACAACAACTTTAAGAACAGTACAACATGCTGCTACTAAACATAAAGTCTAAGTTATCTAAAGTAGAAAATCCTTAAAAAACTGCTGTTGTTTGCTAGCCTTAAATATCCTGGAAGTGAATTCCTGTTATGGTCCTGGGAAGAAACGAGAATTTGTAGAAATCTTTTGACACTGAAAGAGGTACAAATTTCTTTGCATTATTTGTTTTACTTCTCGTTTGACGGCTCTGTTCTTTCACATAAGATGATATTTTGACTTCAACCGTATTATTCAAAATTTTGCTGAACATTGTTCCTGAGCATTGAACATTGCCCCATTACTACTTTTCTATGCAGCGTGATTGGGCAAATCGGAAATTCAGAAAACGAATTTTCTTCTTGCATACGAGTTAGGCCTGTCAAGTCGGGAAATATTTGTCTATTTTGCGAGAAATAAAAAATTAGAAGTTTATAAAGTTTATATTAAAAGTTCTTATAGCATTTTATTTTACTGCTTATCACATTGAAGCTTTGCAACTCACAAAAGCTAGCTTGCAGTATACATATATAAAGATGTATTATGGGGGAAAACCCTCATTGCGGGTTAAAGGGAATAGGAAGTTTATTTTCCTAATTTGGTACCCCATTGGAGGGGGAGGGGGTTCACGTTAATTCTTACGAAGCCCATTAAAAGGATTTGTCGTTAAATTCTTAGGCAAAATAGTGTTGCAACTTATCAAAAGTCTTCAATGGTTAATTAAAATTTAGTAAATAAGGAGCACCGCAATGCGATGAGAATAAACAACAACAAACACACTAAAAGTGGCTAATATTTCGCCCCGACATACGGGGCTTCATCAGAGCAAAATAATTAAAATTTTATTTGATATTTTGGTGCATTGTTTCTTGTGGATTTAGCTGCTCCATATTACCCCTTTGAAGGCGCATTTCCAATGGAAGGCGCACAACCTCAAATTTCTTGAGGCCACGATGTTGATAGCGGCCTAAAAGTATAAACAGGGTGCAATTAAGCAACTACCAAAGAACAAAGTCAATTAAGGTATGTAGTGGTCGTCCCTTGAATGACTTTTGCTGAAAATACTAAGCTCAATGTTCTTGTGTACAATGAATGTGTTGCATATGAAATTCCTGCAGGATTTATTTTTATTTCTTGTGCTGAGGCCGAAGGGGAGTTACTCAAATATTTTAAATACGGGGAGGTTCATACGCAGTTATCAAACTGCACTTAAAATTATCCTAAACAAACTTAACAGACCCAAAGTTATCAGCTAAAAAGTGTTGAAAAGATTATCGACACTTTTTAGCTGATAAATTTAGGTCTGTCAAGTTGACCCAAAAGTATCAAAATTCAAAATCTTGTTGTTGAGCATATATGACACCCTTAGTCATATTAATTTAGATCGTTTCCTATAATAATCAGTTTAAACACATCTGTCCTTTTGTTCCTATTTTTGATATTGTAATCTTTTAGCTGAACCCATAAGTTTCAAAATCGTATTTTGTTAAATCAGGTACCCAAAAATATCTTATCTCAAGGAAATTCTTTCCCATAATTATCGGATTGACCCCCTGTATATAAAAAGTTCAAGTGTCACCCTGGGTGCTGAGGACTGACTACTAAAAACATTCACATATAATTTTGTTAGCTGTTAAAGAATAAAGTGAATTTGTTTAGGAGACCTTATTAATTGATTTGATTCAGTGTTCAGCAAAGAGGTTATTGTCAACTTCACAGAGTCTTATCCAAATAACATCAAAATATCCCTTCTTCTCCGATCTTCAAAAAAGCCACGAGTCTGAATGACCTTTATATTTATAGACTTCAAATCTTTAAAGAGAGTTGCATCGGACAAGCATTGATATTCAAAGCATCAGGCAGACTGGAGCTGAGGGGCTGTAGGGCTATAGCCCCCTCACATTTTTGCCAAACTATGATATTGTGGTAGTGGCATCAAAGATTATGGGGGGGGGACTACCATCACGTTTGAAGTTTGCCAATTTGTCAAGAGCCCCACCACTCCAAAATGTCCTGCTGCATCCCTTGGCATTTCAGTTTTTTGAGTCAATTCTCTTTGACTGTATTTTAATTTCAAAGTCTGTTGACAATCTTTTAATTGGGTGTAACATGCCTATTTTCAATTTATATCATTTAACCAATAAAAAGTTTAGTTTTGACATAGTGAATTTATCATTACAACTCTTGAACAAGAAACTTTCAGAAAATAAAATCCAATTATTACTGAAGCTGACACTACACTGAGACATTTTCTTTTGACAATGGAACCAATTTTTGCAAATATCAGAGTTCTGACAAAAATTGATAATGGCAAAAATTGATCTTGGTCCCTACAAATTATTTGTTAGTTAAGGGTCTTGAGTTAGATTGATGAGGGTTTTCATAAAAGTCAAAAGGAATACTTTGCTCCAAGAAGGGAGTTTTATTCTAGTTTTCACTGTTTACCTTTCAAATGTGATTCTTTTATGAAAGAGGATTAAAGGCATTGAGTCATGGTAAATAGGCCTTCTCTATAGAAGGTCGCTTGGTTTCGGCGTGATCGCTGCTGTTTCACATGATATTTGCATGAATTGTTGACAACTTGCTATTGATGCAAATTGTTTTGTCAATCAATACGAGGTAAGTTCATGTGACCAGTTCCAGGTTAACCGACATCATGACAGTCATGAAAATCGCGACTCAGCCAATTTTGGCACTTATGGTACACCCAAGCCATTTTATCATGGCTCAATGCCTGGTTTCCATTGTGTTTCTATTAAGTTTAGATTATAATCTTACACTGATTTATGAAGATTAACTTTGTAATTTCAATGTAATATTCATTTTGGCACCCCTGATATTTGATCGGCAGGGGGCATTTGACCCCCTTGCCCCTCTTGCCCCCCTGCCAGCATGCCACTGATCTCGTGTGTTATATGTCAAATTATATTTAGGAAACATGGTACCTTTAATGTGTTTATAAACCATAACAAGTTTTGATTTACTTATATGAGGGATTATGTCCCAACCTGAAGGAAATTGTGTTGCAGAAGCTAAAATATTTAATAATGACATCAGAAATAGATTTCAGCCCATAGGCGTAAACTTAGGGGGTGGCTCTGGGGCTTCAGCCCCTCCTGAGAAACACTGCCCCCCTGGAAAATAAGGAAATGCTTCACCAATTTTTAGATTAGTTTGTTATATTATTGGTTCCACGCATAAACATTTTGGGTGCCTAAATAGAACTGATGATCTTTAACCTAAAGAAACTGATTATGATTTAAAAATACACTTTCCATCATCTAATGTGTGTTTATTCTTCCTCGATAATGAAAAAGGCACGAAAAAATCACCTTTAAGCCCTTAGCTAATCCATTTTCTATCCCGTGACTCCAGCAGCTGCCATTAGGAATTGTCATCAATTTTTTGAGCACCCCCTGAAAAAAATGCAAGTCTACGCCTATGTTTTAGCCTGTGGACATTTATTGAAGACATGTTCTCCTCTTCGACAGCAACCATGGTGCCGCCTCGGCCAGTGTATTTATACCCTGGGCTTTTTCCGATGTATAAAACAAAAAGGTTGGAAGGTCTGATGATAATATGTAAATAGAAGATGTTGTGAATCGACACAAAGGCTGGCTCGCAATATTTTGGCCATATTTGAGCCATATTTTGAAGAAAAGCTTATAGGTATTGTCCTGGATTTTCCACGAGTCTAAAGCGATGTTGTAAGTGTTTGGATGCATCTTCCGACCATCCCTAGAACGTCTTCTTTGCAGTCAACGATGGCGGCCGCCTTCACTAAACTCCTGAAAGATCTTACAGCCCTCTCCCTACCCCCAACCTCCCTCAATAGTGACGTTCCTGATTATCATTTTTGTGCTGTTTGATGATACAGCCGCTACAACGATACTCAAAAATACCGTTAGTTTTAAAAGGTTTTACAAAGAATAACATCCTCTATTTGAAAATTCTCTATCATGTCCTGTCAGTAATTGACTACCCCCTCTTCTCTCATTGGAAGGTCTTACAGTACCCCATAGATAGATACTTTTCTGCATATTTCCAATACTTTGAAAACAAATTGGAAGATATGTGGGCGCCATTTTGACCCTTTGCCCCCCCCTTGCGATCTCATCCCCAGCACGCCACTGCACGGGATCTCGTTAAATCCTCGGCCCAAAAAGCCAGTGACCGAACTATTTATTGCCACACGTATTTAGGATAGCTTACCTTAAGAAATTTATCAAAGTCCTTGAAGGATTTTGTTTTCCTGTTTTCAATTATAAATTTCAATCAAGGCAGTTCATTTTAAATTTTAGCAACCTTAATGTGAAAGGGATGGTGAGCATATTCAGTCTTTATCCTGGGGAGTTAAGGCCGATTTCCACTAGGCGAATTCTTTCGCGCGAATCGAATAAATTTTGGTAGCGATAGAGTAGGACCGTGATCTACTTTCTGCGAATCGAATTTTTTCGCTGCGAAATCTGAGAACATGACACCACGCATGCTCACATTGGCAAAAATTCGATTCGCGCGAAAGAATTCGCCTAGTAGAAATCAGCCTTTAGTAAACATTGACTATTTCTTGTCTTTTTTCATGGCCTTGTATTTCAAAACGCTCTTGAAAAATATCCACGTTTCTCTGTCTATACATTTGTGGACGAGTTTACATGCACGGATGTTATTTGCATTTGTAACGGATAGAATATATAATACAGTGAACTAATTTCCTTGTATCATTTACATTGAACGCTGATAAAACGATGCAAGTCTTTCAGACTTGGTGGTGATAAACTTAGACTGTAAAATTCCGCAGTAAGTGAATGTGGGTAAAATCCTTGAGCGATGTATGATCTTTGCAGATAAAACGTCAAGATACTCCCTGAGTTTTGCCTATAGACTTGGTCTGCCTGATGCTGCACGTTTATAACATATCTTGAAGTGTGAATTAAAGCTTAATGAGCTATCTTTTCGGATGCCAATATATTTGTAGTGTGTGGTATTCGATATGTTGAAGCCCCAGTACGTAACGTTGCATGCCTCTCTTTGTTTAGCTATCCCCTGCGATGTTCTGAAAAGGAGTGATTCGGTTTTTCCTGTTTTCAGATTGATTATGAGAGCAGTTTTGCTATGGCATTCATATCATTGGAAAGCTTAGACTTAATAATCTTGATATCTTTAGCGGCTACATAGATCACAGTGTCATCAGCATGCATAATTTTTTTATTGCTCATTACATCTGTGATATCGTTGAGAAATAAAATGAATAATAAGGGACCCAGTATCGAGCCTTGTGGTACTCCTGTTAAATCATGTGCGTTGGATTGAAAGGTAATCTGTAATCCAATTCAGCTTATTTTCGTGAAATCCGTGTTGAGGTAGTTTGAGTGACTTATTATATCTAATGCTTTACCCGGGTCTATTCGAATTTGCCAAAATTGTATTATGTAAATCTCTGACTTATTAGATATAATGAGTACTTGCTACCATAGAAGCTTCAAAGCGCACCAAAACCATGAATTGCAATGATTGAAATACAGAAAATATAAGATGCAGACAGTCTTTATATGTTGCACATTACACTTTCTTCATATTTTCATTAATCACTCAATCATAGCCACAAATATGTAGAGAGTTGATTTACTAATGACGGGTCTTGCAATTCAGAATCAATTTCTAATGAAAAGACGCAATACGCAAATGTAATTTCGTTTCATTGTCATATGCAATATTCATGACCCAAACCGGCTGAATACACCCGTTTCCTCTTTGGCTGGATTAATGGAGACATCAAACTGGGGAGCGGCCGATCGCATTTAAGGTAAGAGCCGTTTTTTCACCTGATTTTTTATCCTCTTTCTCGTGTTAAATGCACAATGCATGGTTAGAAGTAAGAATATTGCTGCCTATCTATATAGTTGCACGTACTCCTTGTGTATATAATGCTTAAAATTTACATTTATAATTACTTTTAAAGATAATACAAGACGCCATGTTGTAATTTTTAGGTCTCACGCTTATCGTCCCTATCAATCAACTATAACCAGCATCAATCCGTCTGCTTGACAACCTATGCAATGCAATAGATTACAAAGCAGCAAATTATGCTAGTATTGTAGGGCCTGTTTCTTTATAAACCTAAGTACTGTAAATTCTCAGCTATTTCCTTTTGCCAACTTCTAGTGGAAACATAACGTTCCGTTAATTTTTGCAATACAGACTTTTTTCTCTTTTACACAGAGAAACTTTGTTCTTGCGAGAGACTGCTGAGAGAATGGAGGAGCAACAAAACAAAGTGCTTCTTCAATGCGTGTACTGCAAGGAAAAGTCAAGAAACCTCAAGGTTTTGCCCTGTTTACACTTCTGTTGCAATTGCTGTACCACTGCACTATCTTCATACTGCTCTGCTTATAGATGCCCAGTTTGCGATGAAACCATCTCTCGATCTGAATTTTCCTCCATGCCAGAGAATTTTCTTACCAGTGAGAATTTTCTGCGGACAATTTATAGAGGTATTTAACAGGTTTTGTATCCTTAAACTTTAAACCTTTTAGCAGTGGCGTAGCGGAGGCATCTTGGGTCCTAAGAGACAACTAAGATGGGAATGCTATTGACAGGCTACAAGAAAGTCCCATCCAATGCTGTTGATCATGACAAACGCAATATCAAAATGTAAAAGTTATAATTTCTTTCTGACTAGTTAGAGTCTCAGCTGAAGAAATCTAAAAGCTTTTAAAGATTAAGTAAGCTTGAGTCTTAAAAACATGGATTCAACAATAATATGTGGGTCTCTTTTGGTTGGGGACCATTAGTTATCAAACTAAAGTGCCCTAAACTGCGCTACGTCACTGCCTTTTAGCGAATCCCAATCAATGGATTTTTTTCTTTAAAAAACTTGAAATAAATCGTTTGATGTTTAACTGGCTACCGTTTCCTGTCTACTTCTTTCTACATTTAAGGTAGCAATACATGCAAAGTTTGTGGTGACGAGCTCACTACACCCGTAAATCATATGCAATTAGCAGAATTCTGTGATCTGTGCATCAAGTTGCATTCAAAGATAATGACGCCGGGGAGTGAGAGAGAGCACGCAGCAAATGAATCGAAGTCGCATGGAGCAAAATCGGAAATGCTTTGTAAGAATCATTGCAAGGAAGCTCTTAGGTACTTGTGTATTACATGCGAGGAGCCCATTTGCAGCGAGTGTCTGATCTTAAAACACAGGCGACATCAACTAAGCAAGATTGAGGAACATGGGGACGTTTATCGTACACAGGTATTTCTATTCACTTTATTTGAACGCTATTGACCACTTTTTTGTTTGTGGATAGGACGGAGACGTGAATCAAGTTCTATTTGCCAATATCCTGTTGGTAAAAGCCTTAGCATAGGGTGCAGATCCTTCAAAAGAAAAATGAAGTAGCAACAGACTGAAGTAGCAACAGAAGTTTGTTCTCATTGTTATAAGAGAAAAGAAGTAGAAGTTTGTTCTTTTCCAGAGCGCAATGCTCCTCTCGCCATCTCTTTTCCCAGCCCCTGTGTCTTTATCAAGGTCTTGGAGCCTAGGCCACAAGATGACTTATCCGTCTAAAAAGTCAGAGACACCTTCCTTGGAGGTCTCAATCTTTCATTAATGGTTTATTCGTTAAGATCACTTTTTACGTTTCATTGTAATATGTGAATTTTGCAAACTACTCAACTGTTTCGAGAACATAAGCAATAAAATTCGGTTTCAAAGGTTTGATATTCATTCAATTTAATTGCGTAAAATGTACAGGCTGTGCAAAGAATTTAACAGATATTTCCAACATGTACAATATTAAAAAATGATTAATGAATTCAATATAAACGTGACATATCAGTATGTATAACAAATTTTTATGGTTCTTATTATAAAAGAATATAACAATAATGAGCTGAAAAATAATAAATGATTTGATAGTAACTTGGTATTGTAAAATTACCTTCTCTATTTGTGAACTATTTTATGGTCATGCCCTTTGCAGCTTGCCATGTTAGAGATGAAAATCAAAGAGAAAAAGCGCCCAGTCAACAAAAGCCTCGTGGAAATCAACGGTTTGAAAGAAAATTTAGTACTTAACAGTTTAAATGCAAAAGCGAGTGTCAGGAGATACGCCCAATCATGTAAAGAAAGACTTGACCTAATCGAGAAAGGAATGTTGCACGAAATTGAAACTGAAGCCAGTAGAAAGGGTTTGGTACTTGGAGAACAGAGCAAAACGCTACAGCAGACTGTCGACAAATTGGAAACTGCTCTTGCTTTTACGAACAGTGTGCTACAGCATGCGAGCGATACTGAAGTTGCTGTTGTCCGGAAACACGTCATGAAACGATTACACGACTTGCAAGAAATCAATGTTGCCACAACTCCACAAAGCAATGGTCTCATGCGTTCGGAAGCAGATTTACGGAGGAAGTTTGAGAATATGGTAGTTGAAGATTTCAATCACATTTAATTTGATAGCTGTAAAGGTGTATCAAGAACTAAAGAATTTTAATGAAAAACTAGTTGGTAACGAAAATACACAACATGTTTTAAGATTAAACAGCCCTAAACGTACAGGTTTAGAGAGCATGCACAAGAAATCATGGCCACAGCGAATCACATGAATTTGATCTTGTGTAGACAAAAGTACTCGGATGAAGTACTCGGAGAGATATAGGGAAACTTAATATCGAAAACTCATTTTTTCTTGGTTTTTCAAATTGGATTCATTTGCATTGGGTTGCTACTCATCGTTTCGTGGGTTCCTACCTATCATTCGTTCGCTACTATGTGTTTCAAGTCACGTGGACAGTCAGGGAGCATCTATTGGACAGCTCATTTTGAGCGGCATCATTCGTTCCCTACTATGTGTTTCCGGTCACGTGGACAGTCAGAGAGCATCTATTGGACAGCTCGTTGTGAGCGGCATCATTCGATCGCTACTATGTGTTTCCGGTCACGTGGACAGTCAGAGAACATCTATTGGACAGCTCACTTTGAGCGGCATCTGCATAAAGCTTGTCAATAATTTTCTCTGTCACTTTAAACTTAAATTAATTTTGGAAAAATTAGGGTCTAAATATAAAAACCATGCAAAAATTGTCTAACAAAATATAATTTCAACTATTTGTTGGCAATGAATTAAACTTGTAATTATATTTATTAAATATATTTAATATATTAAATATTATTTAACAAGTATTTATATACATTTTAATTTTCATTCACATGTGCTAATTTGTTGAATCATATTTTGTTGCCTTCTTGGGTACATTTTCTGCTCTTAACGTTGCCAAAACATCACATCGATGAATTGTTGTAGATTTAAGTCGCAAAAATAGGCATTAAAATAGAGATCAATTACACGAGCAAGTAAGATCCGTTTGTTTGATTTTAGTATGATTCAACTAGGTAGTCATTTTCGGCTGAGTAATTGAGGGCCGACCAAGGGCCGGGATCGCACACGGAGCGCTGGCATGGCAGTCGAGAACCTCAACCACTCGGCTACCGCGGCGAAAAATGCTTGAAATTAAACTTTTGAGAAACGAGGAAAGCTTCAACGTCTGGGTTTATTGATGATCCTGCCATGCCAAGAAAGAGAAGCAACGCTAATGATAAAGCTCTAAAAAAGTTTTTTGTGGTAGACGAGGGATTTACATAGGAGCACTGCACACTATCTTTCCCTTCCAAAAGGACACTATCGAGATACCCACTTTAAAGTTCTAGCCGTAATTATTGATTCTATCAAAAATCGTTTTGACCAGCCCAGTTTGAAAATTTTTCAAGCTTAGAGTCGTTTTTATTTGTTTGAAAATTTTGAAAATTTTCTTTTATTTTTAGTTGATGTAGTTCTTCTGTTGATATTCTTATGTTTTATTGCCAAACTGTGTTTCGATTATTTCTCTTCTTCTTCTTCTTCTTCTTTTTGTTTCTTATCAAACGTAAAAAAAAGTTGTTTTACTCGCTGCACTAAAAAGGTTATTTCAAAATAAAGCTGTAGGTATCTAGTGATTAAAGAAAGCTTGAAGATATTGCCTCTGATTTTCCTTCGGTCAAAGCCAATTTTCGATACATGCTCTGCCCCTCCCTAGGACATCAAATTTCTAAAATAGGCACCATAGTGGCGGCCTTCCCACGGTAAAATTCACGCTTCTCCACTTTCGAATACGTTTCGCCGTCTTTGCATTCCTCAGCATTCTCTAAATTCTGTATTTGTAGTTTTGTTTTTCCATTTTTGGAGAAAGTGTTGCGCCTAAATAGAAAATCATTCGGTCGCGATTGATACACCTGTCAGCACCTGTTGCCTTTGCACTGACCAAATCATCAAACCTAATACTGTTTACTATTATCTGCATGCTTGCCTGCTTTTACAAGACTGCAAGAAGAGATCTAGCACAACCTCCAACAGCCGTCGCAATGCAAACTCTCAAGCTGGTCTTTGCTCACTTTCTTTTCCTTTTCTGTGCAGCCAAAGATGATTTCTCAACTTATCCAAAAAACTTTGAGGAAATCAAAAAGAGTTTTAAGACTGATCGGCCGACCATTGGCGTTTTGACCATGGCCAACGATGATAAAAGGCTCTTTACAAATGTCGAGGGTACTGACAACACAAGTTATGTTGCAGCCTCTTATATAAAGTTAATCGAGGCAGGAGGTGCAAGAGCGGTTCCCTTGATTGCAGATATGCCAAATGATGAGCTTAAGAAAGTAATACAGTCTATAAACGGAGTTGTCTTATCTGGTGGTGATGGACAATTATTTAACTCGCATTATGACAAGGTTGCCAAGATGGTCTACGAATATTCGATAAAGAAAATGGAAGAAGAAGGAGAGCATTGGCCTGTTCTTGGCATTTGCAGAGGATCGCAGATATTACCAATATTCACGGAAAAGAAAGATTTCCTTGTCCACACGGATTCTAAAAACTACTCCATACCTTTGGAGTTTTATGGAGAATATAAAAAGAGCAAATTATTTGGCCATGCATCTGACGGAGTTATTGAAACACTGAAGAACAAGCCTATCACTATCAATGCACATTTGTACAGTTTGCCTTCCAAATTCTTCTTAAAAAGCAAGGTACTCACAGATTTCTACCGCGTGATATCATTGAACAATGACAAAGAAGCAATTCGTTTTGTTTCAACGTATGAAGGTAAGTTGACGGAAACTATGATGCCATGAAAGTTTGGTTTTGTTGCGAAGATATTGTGGCAGTGCCTCGCCTTTCTATTAAGACCTTTGCAATATTTGTTTGAGCTCTTCTAACCTGTTGGAGCGGTAAGGTCCTCTTTCCTGCTATTATACGCCCAAGTTTCCATCCGCTTCTTGTTACTATGCATAGAAGAAAAGATAATGCCCTTTTTACGGGAGAAAATAGAGCCGATCCAGTTTGGGATCGATCTCGTTTGGGCCTGGATCGATCTCGTGTAAAACAGGGTCTCAACCTCACCAAGGGTTTTGATTGTTCTACGATGTTTCTTTATTGATAAAACTTTCCAAGGACTAAAAAAGTAAACCACTGAAGTCCAAGCGCGGAAATTCTTATAAAAATACATGCAGTCATCTTGGGATATTTTCGGAAGAACGGCATTATAATCACCTTCCTTTCTTCGAAAATCTGAGATTCGTACACAAGAAGTGGCTATCCCAACGATGTTTTCAGTACCGCTGGAAAGATGGGAGGTGCATCAATGTTTGAGAACAGTAATAACAGGAGGAGGGGGATTGTTAATTGATATTGTAGCTAGAGCCTCAGCCCTCTTCCCTCATAGTAATTGACTCACAAGCCAGCTTAAAAACTGTGTACAACAATTCACAACATTGTTTTCGAAAAGGTTTTAAAAAGTTGGATTCATCTTGCTGTTTTCATATCCAGGTTGCTCTCTTCTCAGATGTTCTCCTGGCTATGTACCCATTATATAGAAGCTCCTTCTGATCGTTAACGTATAGCCTCTTACTGAAAAATTGTGCACGAAAATTCTATAAAATGTTCTTGCGAATTTATTAAACTTTATCAAAAATGTTCATGCTCTTCAGAGATCCCATGAAAACCATGTAAATTATCCTTTCAATAATTTGACCGAAAGCGTTTCTTCATAAAGTATGTCTAACAAGCAAAGTATTCACTAGAATCGATGTTTTAGTGTAAAAGTTTTGTTAAGTGATTATTTTTATACAAAGACCACAACAAAAATGATACTGTTTATGTAAGAAAACGGGAAAAGGTTTCTCAAATTCTAGCTTGCAGAGTTTGAATTTTCAGGAAAGCTCTATTAAATTTTGGTTCAAGCGATTTCTTTTTAAAATAAGGGCAACTCAATGACTAAAACCTTCAATGAAAAGATTCCCTTTCCCGGATTCTACTACTCCGCTAAACTAAAAGAGTAGTGATGTCAGTGATGAAGTCATTAAAATATATTTAAGAATTCATAAATTTGAGAGACAAAGCGAAAAAGAACCCCAAAATATCTCAAAAATATGCAACTTCACTTGAGAAGGTTTTTAAATTCGATGAGATATGACCAAGTGTTATTTCCCCATCCAATCACTGAAATTTGGTATTGGTTTCAAATTTTGAACCAAACCAAAACAAAGGTAATCCGTTAGCAAAATTATGATTTTCAACTGGCCACGTCTCAGAACCTTTGCAAAAAATTTAATTGATTTTGCACTTCAAAGTATTTTATGTTTTCATTTAGGTTATTTCTTTCTTTCTAATTTTTATTCAATTTTGATCAGCCCGTAGATACCCGATATATGGCTTACAATGGCACCCCGAGAAGCTTCTCTTCGTTTGGAATCCCATGATGGCTGCGGACCATTCCATCGACTCAATCCGCGTTGCACAGTACATTGCTAACTTCTTTGTCATGGAAGCGAGACGCAATTCAAATCGGTTTTCATCTAGGGAAGAAGAAGAAAAATATTTGATCTACAAGTGGAAACCAACTTATATTGGCGATATCCCCGAAACTCCATACGAGCAAGCATACCTATTCCCAAGAATTCAAGAGGAACTGTGATGACCGAAAATAATTAATTATTATTTATTTATTTATGTTTACCAAGAAAAACGTATAAAAAGAAATTTTTTTGTATGCTCAACTTTCTGTATTACATTAAACGAAGCATTGAATCTGTAATGATTAAAGAAATTCGTTTCAATATGTTATTTTTTTGCCAACAATTGAAGACCTAGAACCCAAGCCAAGGTACAAATTATGGAGGACTAGAAGGTAGCTAAATCCCCTATCAGTTAGTTATTGGCAGTTGGACAAAAAGGGATTTATGATGAAGGATGTTGGTCCTAATTCATTTCTCTCCTCGCAGATTAAAAGTCTTATCGAGAGTTTTTGGTGATATCACATCTCTTAGACGTTTCTTATCTGCCCCCAGAACTCAAGGGCGTTAGGAGAACTAATCGTTTGTAATAGTCTCTCTCTTTCACTTTAAACTCAACACATTTTCAGCCCTGTAAAACTATCAATGATGCTGTGAATGTATCAGTTGTCTGAACTGTTTGCAGATTGTTTAAGCTTTCTCAAAAGCCCTGACAAAACGACTAAACATTTTAGTGTTTTTGTGATGTTTTAGTTTTTTTGCTACCAATTAAACTTTGTTAGGTTATCACAGGAACAGCAGCTTTGGAAACCAAAATGGCTGTACGCTACTTTGTCTTCAACTCGTCGTTAATGTGTTAATGAATCCTTACCGATCGTCTCGCCCATTTTTTCATCCATTGCTTGCTTTGAGGTTCTTCTCAAAACTACTACACAGATAGAGGCAAACAATTTTACGATTTGTGTCATTCATCGTTTCTTAAAATCCACAACAAAGCGAGCAGACAGCAAATTTCTTACCAAGTTCCCCTCCACACGCAAAGTGTTTTTAATTCCTCGCAGTTTAGAAAAATTAAATTATATTTAGTGAAATGTTAAGTCACTGTTCGCAACCATCGCTAAACTTTGCTCAACTTGATAACACGAATGTGTATTGAAATGTTTAGTCGCCCTGGGGGAGTTTGAAAAAATTAGCCAACGCCATCATTTACAAAATTACAGTTGACTCAATTTGTCTTAAGATGCAAAGTTGGAATACCAAAGAATGCTCTAAAATTTTCTTAACAACTCGATTTGATTTGTGACAAACCAAGCACACCCATGAACGGCAGTTTTAGCCAAAGAAGAGAGAGCTTCTACTGCGCTTAGCTGGACAAAACAACCTTTCAAATGTCAACCTTACAAATGAACAGTTTATAAAATGGAAAAGCAATGTATTCATACTTTCATATCTGTATAATGTTTATGTGCACACGATATGATCTTTAGCCCTCCTGCATGATGAAATCGTCGCCTTTTCGCTTGACAGACGTATTAGGTCACCAGCGTACATTCGCAGAGCACTTTTTGTATTCAAGCTGCGTCACTTGATCTTTCGGTTTCTTGTAAGTGTTTTTGAGATCGAGACTGCTGCTTCTGGTACATTAAATTTCACTTTCAACCTTACTGCATGATGTCTGACAAGGAGCATTATCTTCACCGAACCGGCAGGGTTTAAACACAGTAGCTAGGTTTCATTAGCCTGCGCGCAGCCTCAACTGGTTTTCCAACCGACGAGTTTAGTTACATGAATCTAAGTTTAGTTGAATGGAAATGAATCTAAGTTTAGTTGAATGGAAAGTTTTAGGATTTGTCTCCCAGTAGAGTCTGCGAATCAGCGATAGAAACGTGCAGTTCCCAGGTTGTGGATCTCTACTGGGAGACAAATCCTAAAACTTTCCATTCAAATAAACTTGGATTCATGTAACTAAACTCGTCGGTTGGAAAACCAGTTGAGTCTGCGCGCAGGCTAGGTTTAATCAATTGGATAAGAATCTGAAAAGATGCAAACAGTGCAGTATAATCCCGTTGTAACTACATTCGAATATAACATACTGGTGTAATAGGTCCTGACAAAGTTCCACAACGATTTTTTAAGTTTTCGGATTTGTTTAATGCCAATGAAACATTGAAGGTGTTGTGCAAAGTTGATGCAGCAGTACAGAAAATTTGGATGAAAAGCGACATTCAGTTAAATGTGTGGTTTTTAAATAGTTACATTGTTTACAACTTGGCTTGAATCAATTTTTACTTTCCCTGGTTGCAACGTACCTCTTATGTAATTTGTTGAGAGTGTCTTGTTATTGGTTCATTTTTAGAGTGTCTCAATATCAGTTTTGGAGACTTGGAAATTATGTACAAGTTACGCTCAATTCATATTGAAAAGAGGCAATGATTTGATGTGTCTTTGCCTTGTAGGCTAAGCATTTGCTCGATTTCTCTTTTCTCGGGGGAGTTGGGGGGAGGGGGGGAAGAGAAGGACCTTGGCAGGGATAATAGCTCTGAAATCTTTTAGCAAGGCATTCATTGTCGCTTCAGGGTGAACGCCATACGGAAAAATTTAGGTTTTGAACTGAAAGATTTCAAAAAATGCATCGTTGTGGACAAGGCTTAGAGGAGGTCATACAGAAGAGTCAATTATGATAGCTATTAGACTAAGCATCTTTGTCTAAGAGTTTGTGTGTTAACGAGTCATAATACGAGAAATATAAGATCATACTCAAACATTTAGAAGTTAAATGCAAGTATTCTTAAGAGTATGGGTGTAATAATAAACTCACCACTTGCTTTACAGCTTGCGACCTGTGGCAACGTACTTCTGACGGTGGAGCCGGCGGCCGCAGATTTCTTGGTAGGGCTGCAAAGGCCCTACTCTGAATTGCATTTCTTTTAGCTCTCCTGTTTATTCTGAATCAAACGTTAAGCCATTGTTGCATACTTTATTTCTGTGGACCGGGCTGTGCAGGGTTTAGAGAGACAACACCATATTATATCAACAAAAGCTTTAATATTTATTTGCAACCAAAATCACTATTCCATCACTGTATGTTACAATCTCTTCACTACACTGATTTTATTGCTGGCGTGCTGCGTTCTAATTCGCTGCGCACGCCGCTGCACAGTACCATTATGGCTCAACCTTACTTTACAACAGCCATTTTACAAGAAAACTGTTTCAACCATGATCAAAGTTTCATCGTCGTAGCAGTAACTGCAGCCCAGAAAAAGGGCATCTGATATTTCTTTAGAAATCATAATTCCCCAAAGCATAATTCATCAAAAATTAAGATTTAAAAGCGGAAAATCTAAATTGCCCTGCAGTTTTGTTCATCTGGAGGCTCAACTATCATATCTTCGTCAGAACACTTGAAACGTTGGATGATCTGGAAAGAAAAATGTACCACTAATATTATACAATGAAACTAAAAAAGAGTTCAAGAGGGGTAACAAAGTTTGTCGTGTTGGTCATGATGGATCAAAAAATTCAGGATAGAAATGCGCGACAGTACAGAAACATTTCCTAACATCAAATGCTAGTTACCATCTTCATATTATGTAAAACAACATGTATATCAACTATAAATTCAGTTTATGCAAATGTCGTTGATTACAAAACAGCGAAAAGTAGGGAACAGTGAAATTGTTTAGGAGTAGAACCTAGATAATTCCATTCATGACAGAGGCAAGATTGCCTGGTTTCAACGTAATTACACGCAAAACTTTCGACAAAATAATAAATACACGATTCTCGGAAGTAGTACCGAGGATACACTGAGGAAATTTAAAGCTAAGTAAAGATAAAATCATTGCCTACATGCATGACTTTGTGGCATCAGTAAGGCAGGCAGGGGATAAATTTGTTGCAGTTCTGAAAAGAAGTAAACAGGAAAGCGTTATCAAGAAGTTAAAAGATGCAGTTTAACTACAAACGATCAATGTGAAAAAAGTATGAGTGTAGACTTTGAATACGCGATTGTTGCTATTTCATTTGTTAACAAATCAAATACACCAACATCAATTCAAACTTTACTTACATGCTTTTCTGGCAGAAAAGAGGGAAGAAGACGAACCATCAGCAGTTTACCTCGCAAGCCGATTTGTTGTTGCAATTTCTAAAAAGGAGTTTGTTATCAAAAGGAGTTTGTTAAGCGACTTTCTTATCAAAAGGTCGAACGAAAGACACAGCTTAAAAGAAGTTAAGGAAACGTTAAGCCTCAAACTCACCGGCCTGATACAGCAACCAGTGACGTAGCATCCATGTATGCGGGGCAAGCGTGAAAAATTCTACAGAAATTCTAAAATTCTTGCAACATTTTTACCGGTAATAAATATTTTGTAGTGTTAAAGTCATTGTATAATATATTCCGCAATAAATGGCCCCCAGCGTAAACATGTCTATTGGTTATTTTATCAGGTAAACAGATCGCTAAAAATTTGCGACTTTTGAAAAATCTGAAATACTGAAGCCCCTCCACGTCCACATGACTCTGTTTGCCTATCTTCTTTCGTGATCGACTCATATGAGAAGCACAGGGTTTCCAAACCTAAGCGTATTTTCAAAATCAAAATTTATAATCACGATTACCTTGAATTGCCGCTTGTATTTATAAAAAGCTGAAATCACGATTTTATTTTTTCAACATAAACGTATATGATCTGTTACCGCATGCCTAAATTTTGCGCGCACGCTACGCCACAGACGGCAACCATTCCCAACGACAAAGAACAACGGAAAGGAACAGAACAACCTGCTGCTTGATCGAAGCTCTCTTGCCCTCTTGCTTTAGCAAAGTGAATGGCTCGTGGTGTCACGTTCCTATTGTTCGATTGTAATGATCAGCGAATCAAACAATAAGAATCTCACTACGAAGCAGAAACTTTCAATTTCCGTCTCAGAAAATGCAAATGTATCGCGAACCAAGCCACCAAAAATGACGTAATACCCTTGTTCTGGTAGATCAATTATCCAGCTTCCATTTAAATTCTTCCTGGGGAAATACGCTCTGCCCTTCGAGCAGGGGAGGGGTTAGACCACCGAGCGATGTGGATCCGTTGTTCGGGCTCATTTGCATATTAGCGTATCTTGGTGTTAGTAGATTGATAAAATGATGTTGACGCTGAAAACCACATGAACGCAGCACGTGATATTGAGCTCGACCTTTCTTCTCTAGTACCCATAAGTGAGCTAGAGAGGGTCTCACGAAAATTAACACACATCTCAAATAAAGTAAAGCATGGTTTTGATGTATCATTTTCCCAAAGATCGACACAACTTTTGCGAAGACTTGAATTAGGCATTCGGCAATGGGAAGAGAAGTGGGTGAATTGTGAGCTTTTATGTTCCAAAGGAAAAACAATAGAGTACCGAAGTGATGACGTCATAAAAATCTATTTTTAGAATTTCTGAATTTTGATCCTGGAACATAAAAGAGCATCATGAAATACCTCTTAGTACGCAAACTTAATTGAAGGCATCACGAATTGGCTCAGATATGGCCACATAAGGACAAGCTCTTGCCTCATCAAACTCTGTAATTTGGTCTTGGTTCATAAGTTAATGAACCAGGCCAGAACAACAGTAATCCGTAGCAAACTTGAAATCTTTCATTGGCCATATCTCGCCCAGTTTGGAACATATCCAACTAATTTTGCACAATAAGAGATATTTTATGCCGTTCTTTCAGCTTATGCGGCCAAATTTAGAAATTCTAAAAATAGATTTTTGGTGACGTCACACTTCGGTACTCTATATTAACTCTTGTCACCGTGGTAGGAGTAACCCGCACCGCAGACCACGTTTATATTATCCTGCTGAATATGGTCCGTGACACAGGCTTTGGTTAGAGGGGCTATGACCCCCTTGCTAATCCGATGAAAATACCGTGCGCCGCTTTTTCTTGACTCATGAAAATAGAACGTTAGTAATTGCGACTGTGTGTCTCAAAGAGAAGCTTCGAGTCCCACTTTTCTTATAACTGGAAATGTATTACAAATAAGTCAGTGAGTGGGCTTGTTGTCCATTTTTTAAATCCAACATTTGTTTACAAAACAATTTAGAATAATACAGCTTCTGTTAAAATGTTGTCCCTGACAATAGAGCTCCTTATCTTCAGCCGTTATAACTCCTCCCGGTTTCTTGGAAACAGGTAAACTTGTTCGTATGGTGTATCAGGGATATCGCCAATATAAGTTGGTTTCCACCTGTAAATCAAATATTTTTCTTCTTCCTCCCTAGATGAAAACCGATTTGAATTGCGTCTCGCTTCCATGACAAAGAAGTTAGCAATGTACTGTGCAACGCGGATTGAGTCGATGGAATGGTCCGCAGCCATCATAGGATTCCAAACGAAGAGAAGCTTCTCGGGGTGCCATTGTAAGCCATATATCGGGTATCTACGGGCTGATGAAAGAAATATCATTTAGTTAGAAGTTTAACCGAGCAAAGGTGTTTATCTTTGATGCTTTACAGTGATTGGGATCCAAAGCTTAAAGCAAGTGGATGACATGTTGAAAAGAGGTAGTTTTTTCTTGTTAGACCATATCAGGTTTATGTCAAGGCTAGGAGATATCTAAAGAAACATCATAGTTAAAGTCGTGATGCAAAAATATTTCAACCCTGATCGAAGTCATTCAGGTGATCGAGGTCATTGCTGGTCCGATACCAAAGGTTCTGTAAACATGCAATTAAACTAAACCTAGGTTAAAAAATCACTACAGACGTAGAAGATTTTTGTACAAGGAAGAGTTTCTTAAGGCCACTGTGTTTAAAACATATCATATAGTTTTGAAAGTTGTCAGCATACGATTTGAAACTGATACGCAGAAATATCTTAGAAAAGAAATAAATTATAGGTGATGTGTTGTGATTACACAAATTTCTATAAGAATATCTAATTTTTTTGCTGAACTTTAATATTTTGAAAGTTTTTTATTTTGGACCTAAGATTATTCTTAAATTTTTCTTAAGCGACACAAGGTGTAAATTCGTTGGAAGATTAGAGACAAAATTCAAATCTTTGTTGATTTATTACATCAGCACAAAAACAAAACAAGAACAGAACAGTACAGAAGAGAAAAGAACAGAAGGTAACAATAAATATATAACAAGTATTTAAAATTTTATGTTATATCATCATCTCAACTTCGTGTATTTCATCAGCTCCTCCAGTCTGATTATCTGCAAAAGTTACTCTGTATTTAGCAAGAGATTTGTACTCTAAGGCCGGGTACGTTTATATTAAAACATATATCATGAAACTCGAATTTGATTTGCTTTCCAAAAGGCTCAAATAAACAAAAAAGTTAATTCTTGATGAAGCTTGAGCCTTGACGTATTATTAAATTATTCTAGATCTTCAGCGATTTTGAGCCTTAATATTCTTATAGACTATATTCTTATAAAAAGTGTGTACGCGGCTTTGGCCTAAATTTCAGTGCCGTTCGCGGATATTTTCCATATTTAAGTGCGGTTAACGATGAACGGGGTTTCAGTGGCTACAGAAGTTATCGAAAAACTGCACGGTTTAGGGCCCATTAGGGTTCACTTCTTTCGATGTGCACAAGCGAATGGAGAAGGGCTGACGCAACGCGATTTCAGTTTACACGCACGGGAGCAAATCAGGCGCTGTTGGGTGAATTTTGGACCCCCTAATTCGGACTGATAGGATTAAAGGCTGTTTGTTAGTAGAGAGCAGAGCAGATTTAGTTTTCTGTTTATGGTAAATGCTCGCATTTAAAGGGATGTAAAATGTTTACACTTGAAACTCAAAACTTGAACTCTTCGCGTCATCTTTTTGTTCACTCAGTGAAATAACGGCAAACAACGCGTGCACATGAATCATAGATCGCATGCATGATTCTGAAGAAAAGCACAACTGCCTGCCAGTAGCCATTTTTTGTAAAATGCACTTTGACGTAACTTTAAGTTAAGATTTTCATCAAAAGTAACACGAAAGCCTTGATATGTTAGGTTTGCTGAATTTCTACCACTCCCTAACAATTTTTAGGTTTGTAGTGTTAATCGTAACATTTATTGCTAGTGTCTTTGCATCAAACTCTTTCTTGACTGAATGACCAATATTTTGTAAACCATTTGATTCAAAGTAAATGTTGATGTCTTCTGCATCAGAAAAAATGTATTTCTAATCACTTTTGTCATTGCTGGATAAAACATTTAGCTTGATTACCAGTGAATATTATCAGCTTATCAATTCGAAATAATTGAAAGAAATGTGCATGCTACTGATAAGTTTGAACGATCATTTTTTATAAGCGAAAAAGAAAAGGACCAGGGACGGAACCTTGTGGCAAAATCACAGGTTACATCATAATAACCCTATGTGTAGCCATTGACAGGTATATTATTTTTTCTTTAATTAAGTTGGAAGTTTAACCGGGCTAGAGCTGTGCTATAAAGACAGTTATGTTTCGGTATAGATTTGGTGGTTAAATCAATAAAGTTAAGTTAAGTTTTTGGTATAGTCAAGAAAGAAACCATATTAAAAAAGTAATTAAACCAATTAAAGTACGATGCACAGAGTGAAAAGAACGAAATCAAGTTGGCAGTTACAAATAAATTGGCGACTTTGATACAAGCGCCTAACAACCTCTTAGAAAGACGCAAAAATCAACAAGGATTTGAGAAAAAGCAGGATCCATAAAGATTGCATGATTTCTCGCAACCATATGATCATTCATACAAAATCTTGCAACGATAACCCTGTTGAATACAAGTGGCCCCATCTTTAGATTTCTTCAAGTTAAAGAATTCCTTATTGAGGATCAAAATCTTTGATCTGAAAATACTCCTCCTCTGGAGGAATAACCATATCAACAATTTTCTTACTACATTAAATTTTTCTTTATTTCAGTATCATATGAGAATGTGTGTGGGTATGCGAATCTAAAGTTTAACTTTTCATGCAGAAATTTTTTTTCATATCATGTCACATAATTATATCTAAAAAACTAATCTTAACTATCTTACCTTCGTAAGTTGAAACAAAACGAACTCCTTCTTTGTCGTCGTTCAATGATATAACGCGGTAGAAATCTGTCAGTATCTTGCTTTTCAAGAAGTATTCAGAAAGTAAACTGTACTTATGTGCATTTATGGTGATAGGCTTGCTCTTCAGTGTTTCAATAACTCCGTCAGATGCATGACCAAATAATTTGCTCTTCTTATATTCACCATAAAACTCCAAAGGTATGGAGTAGTTTTTTGAATCCGTGTGCTGAAGGAAATCTTTCTTTTCTGTGAATACTGGCAATATTTGTGATCCTCTGCAAATGCCAAGAATAGGCCAATGCTCTCCTTCTTCTTCCATTTTCTTCATCGAATAATCGTGGACCATCTTGGCAACTTTGTCGTAATGAGAGTTGTAAAGCTTGCCATCTCCACCTGACAGAATAACTCCATTAATTGACTTAATAATTTTCATAAGCTCATCATCAGGCAGATCTGCAATTAATGGGACAGCTCTTGCACCCCCAGCCTCAATGAGTTTTACGTATGAAGATGATACATATGTTGTATCTGTCGCATTGGGAATGTCCTTCAAAAGTTTCTTATCGTTATTCGCCATGGTCAAAACACCAATGGTTGGCCGATCAGTCTTAAAACTTTTTCTGATTTCCTCAAAGTTTTTTGGGTACGTTGAGAAATCATTGTTGCCTGCACACAAAAGGAAAAGGCAGTGAGCAAAAACTAGCTTGAGAGTTTGCATCGCGATGGCTGTTAGAGGCTGTTCTTTACTTTTTTATTTCGCCGTAAAGCCATGCGTGCCTGCACAAAGTGTTTTGTTTGACTCCTTCGCTATCGTAATGGCACAGGTGCTAGCAGGTGATGTTTACTGTAACATAGGACTATTGTAAACACCAGCATTGATCTCCTATGTTTTAGTAAACAGTTCATCAGTAACTGTCTGAGCAAAAGCTGCCTTTCGTAGTATAGTTTTCAAGGTAATATGACTAGATTTGTTTACTATACCAAATGCAAATGATGATGATTTTTAAAGGTATTCTGACATTGAATTGTTGCAAAAAGCAATCATGTGGAAAGCCTTGAAATTTTTATCACGACTGGTTCTGACGCGCATCGATAATGTCCCTATCACCTTATTGCCAGCAAACTAAGTTGTAACTAAGTTTTAATCTATAAGCAATGCAAATCACGATCGAATTGCTGTTTGATCGAAACATTATCAGAAGTTACAGTTTTTTAAACCAGCAAATTATTCTTTACAGAATCATCTTCGGTCCGTCAACACGTATTCGATGAATGTGCCATCAAGCTTTTTGAATTCCCTCTCTGAAGTGGGAATTTTTGCTTCAAATCTCGTATCGTGAGCGTCTATCAACTCTTTTTGATCCATGGATTTTTTTTCTATTGAAAAATACTGAGACACACCACAGACAGAAAATGTCAAAAAAGAAACTCTGTGGCCTATATTCACAATATAAATTTGTTATCGAAGTGACAAGGATCAAATTAACATAAGGGATCAAGGAAACACAAGTAAAAATTAAATTAAACAAAATAAAAAAGTATTTTTGAATGAAATCGAAAATTTTCATTGACTCAATGTGAAACAATGTGAAAGCCAATTTGGTGAAATTTGAGATTTTTCAACGGCACCCCAGACAATATGTCATGGCACACTAATGTGCCGCGGCACAGTGGTTGTAAAACACTGGTACAGAAGACCGAATCAGAATATTTTGTATTCGAGTGCTATTTAATATTCAACTTGCTAGGTATTGTTTCTAAGACCACTGCGTGCCAATTTTTGCAAAACTTTTTTGTAGCACGGTTGATTTGCTGATAGAATCGGCTCTGTTTTGGTAACTTGGAAGAAAAATTAAAAAAATATTTTTTTCTTCTGTTTTTTCATGTCAGGATGGGCATGTTCCTACACAGTTCTTATTTTTTAGCAAATTTGAACCTCTACAAAATTGGTTGACAAAAACTCACGATTCAAGATTTGAAGCAAAAATTTCCATTTCGGAAAGGGAATTCAAAAACTTTGATGGCACATTCACCGAATACGTGTGGACGGACCGAAGATGAATATGTAAAGAATAATTTGCTGGTTTAAAAAACTGTAACTTCTGATAATGTTTTGATCAAACCGCAATTCGATCGTGATTTGCATTGCTAATAGATTAAAATTTAGTTACAACTTAGTTTGCTGGCAATGAGGCGATAGGGACATTATCGATGAGCGTCAGAACCAGTCGTGATAAAAATTTCAAGGCTTTCCACATGATTGCTTTTTGCAACAATTCAATGTCAGATCTCTTTCTAATATCATCATCATTTGCATTTGATATAGTAAACAAAATAAACCTTGGAATCCACATTGAGGGCAATGAGAATAGCTCATTATGATTATCAATAAACCTTTGAACAACTTTTAATAAAGAATAAAAATACAACTTCTCATAAAAAAAGTTTACAATGTCTTGCGATAGAAATTTATAAAACATTTAGCGGTTGGAATCCACCTTTTATAGATAAACTATTTTCCATTAATGAATGCCCATATTGCTAAAGAAAACTCCCAATTCAAAATAGCGGAGCCACATTAAAAAGAATATGAATTTGAAACCGTATCATACAAATGTAGCCAAATTTGGAACGAAATAAAACACTCCTCAACTTCACAAATATTCAAGAAAATAATCTCAGAATTTTCATCTTTCAATTGTACTTGCGATTTGTACAAGGAATACATATGCAACATCGGTTATTTTTGATTGACATTATATTTAGCATTGGTTATTAAAGTTAGTTGGTTTCAATTAGCTTGAGTATGGCTAAAGTTGTAGCAACTTTAAATAAAGAAATAAACTAAAGAGTGGCAGCTTTTCGCCTTTTACCATCTATCTATTGTTGATAAACTGTTTAGCTCATATAGAAGATCATTACCTGTGTTTACGGTATGTTGTAACAAAGTTATCGTTTCAAAGTTCCCAATAATCATCGTCAGAGTCACGGCACTCTAAATGTAAAGCCCACTTTTTACTTCAGTTTGGTTTAGCGAAAGCTCTCAGATTCTTTCTCGGTACCAAGTATCACTCTGGAGAGCTGATCCTCATTGATCATTACCATGGTCTACTGGGAAGCCCAACGGATGTATCAAACCACCAGTATGTCTGGAAAACATAACGATGTGGCATCACAGAAAATGAAGCATCAGTTTTAGTTTTTACTTGGCCGCAGGAGACTCAGATCTATGATCTCTTCTGTCTTTCGAACTTTTGCAAAAGTAACTTGAGTCAAAGAAGATTTACGAGTTAACTTTGTTTAATTCGATGGCATCTCCATTAATGCTTTATCAGTTATTAATAGATAGCGCTGCATAGTTCCTATGGACGACAATTCAAAAATCAGTACCAGGAAAACATGTACCTAACTTTTTAGATGTCTATTTAAGGATACAAAGTGTAAGATAACCTATTTCCTCAAGAAAACGAGATTTTTAGGCCCCTTTAACAGTCCAAAATTCAATTTTAAGCATTAACGCTTAGCAATTAAGCTTAATCAGCGTGAACAGTTTACCTACTTGTTACCTTTGTATACGCAAAAGCAAGACTTTTAGCATGAAAAGTAGGGTGATGGCCCCCTAAAACTCCCGGTATAGGATCGATTTCCGAAAACAGTCCCCTCAAATGGACTAAAAGCACTTAGTCCAATACGTTTCACTCTCGGGCGACCATTCCCATATGGTGAATATCATTTAAAGCAATCTTTAAAGGAAGATCAGCATGTTTTAGGAAGATATTTCTTGCTTCATGGACCAAAACTGCTCGAACAAATGATCTTTATGCATAGGAATCAAATGAAGGACTGTGCTAAGTTTTCTTTCAAATTTTATCGCAAGTCTTCGTGATGTTTTGCTGCCCAGATTGCCGTTTGAAGTCATAGCATTTCAAATATGATTTAACAAACAAGGATGAATGTGAAAAATGCACCAGTCTCACTTGACTTAATGGTACCAGAAATTATTTACTAAACATCAGACGGCAGGTGCAGTTGAAGAAAACAAGTGTATTGTCTAAGGCATGCGAAGCATTAGACAACGGCTCCCAGGTGACATATTATTCAATACACGATGAATCTGCCTAAACTACAAACAAAAGAGAATTACAACAGAAAGCTATCGAAATGGTATCGAACTACTTCAATGCTGCCGATTTCGGCATGTCTAAGCTAGGGCATGTCTTAAATACGTCTCCTATCAATTTTTCTTCTTCCATTTCTGTTTAACATTTCTCTTTCTTCTCACGCTCATCGCCATTCTAAAATAACACGTGATTATTTTCAAATCCCCCATTACCATAAATCCTCGAAACAGCCCCTGGGAGGCTTATTGATTAAGGCACTTTTTATATTGAGGTTTATTCGAGAGGGGGGGGGATATTCGAAGGAGGGGCCTTATAAAATTCATCATCTTCAATTTGCCATTTTACTTCAAAACATTAATGGCTTCATTTTTTGCCGTCTAAGTCATGTTTAATTTAATTTTTCTTCATTTGCAGATGTGTTTGTTATCAATCACGGACTTACAAGGTGTGTCTTTCTGTTATATCTCGATTAAGGCCCCACGTAGGCTCATTTGAACATAATTATGAGCATGTTAGGGCGAGAGCATATTCGAGGGCAAGGGCTTTTAAAACACATTGCTTGCAAATTGAGGGATTATCCGTAAAGGGCTTATATGGGGGGCCAATTCGAAGGTTTACGGTGTCTTCATATTTATACGAAATATTCCTACATTTATTCCGGATTAATATGGTTGATAGACTTATAAATTTCCACCACAACGCTTTCTAAATTTTACTTATGTATTGCTTTTGTTCCATCCTTATCCAACAGTTATTGAAGTGTCGAATTGTCTTCTTTGTATAATATTCTCTTTGTTCGTTGTTCGTTCGAAAAACAAGGGTTCAAGAGCGGAGCCCTGTGGTACCCCTATTGAGAGGCGCTTTGATGAGCTGTATGTTGATCCTATTTTGACTCTTTGGGTTCTATTTGCGAGGTAACTTTAAACTAGTTTCACGAGGAAATCTTTCTTCTCAGTAAAAAGAGGCAAGATCTATGATCCTCTGCATATGCCGAGAAAAGCCAGTTTTCTCCTTCTTCGTCTTCCTTCTTAATCGATTAATCATAGACCATCTTAGAACCTTATCATAATGCGAGTAAAATAACTGCCCATCGCCACGAGATAAGAAAACTATGTTTGTTGACTCAATGACTTTCATTAGCTACTTATCAGACATATCTGCAAAAAGAGGGACAGCCCTTGCACCACTAGCTTTAATAAGTTTTATGTACGGTGCAGAAACATAAGTTGTGTTCGTCATCGATGTCTGGAACGTCTTGGAGCAGTTGTTTATCATAATTCGCCGTTGTCAACACGCCAATTGTTGGGGGGTCAATTTTAGGTTCTTCTTAATTTCATCGAAGTTTTTCGGGTATGTTGAAAAATAAGCAGGATCTGCATTTGTAGATATAATGCAACGAGCAAAAATACTCAACAAGAAATTTTACCAGAACATGTTTTTATTACGATTTTTAATCTGGCTGCTACCATTGCAGAGCTGTTGAACTACAACGAGTTGTTGATTATCGACATGCCTGCCCCCAAGAAATAACATGATCTTAATGTAAACAGGTGGGGAATCGGTATTAGGTAACCTTTTCCCAAATGCCTTCACTCGTTGCGTGATCACTGTCTGTGTCACAAATGCTTCAAAGTTTTCATGTTAGGCTGCGTTCATGTTGTAGTCTTACACTGGCACCTTATCATTACTATACCAATCCTATCCAGGGACCACTTAGCCATTGGGCTAGCAGGGGCTATTGTCCCCCCAACTTTTTGCAATTATAGGTTTGAAACATTTTAGAAAGTTTACTCTAGTGGAACTTTGTAAATATCACTCTAACGGATCCTAAGTAGTAGCAGTTCTTCTTGACGGAAAGCCCATTTTTGTTCATTTTCTTGGCGTCTTAGCTTGTTAACCTATTTTCATAGTAATTGTTATCTTCTCTGAATCGAACTGCTTAAAAGGAATCAGTTGAAAGAAGCAAGTATTTTCTAAAAGAGGGTTTTCCGGCGTTCTAAAGGGCGTGGCCTTAAAAAGTGTTCGGTCACACCAACTCAGCCCACCCACTGTTTGACTGGTCCGTGGCGCTTGGTCCTATCCAGTGTTTGGATTGCAAAAATATCCAACAGGTTAATACTGTTGCATGGCTAGGTGTTTTGAGATATCAAATAATCGCCTGGGATGCTAATTGTTTAGCAAACAGAAAACAATATTAATGTAACAGCCATAACTCGACTCTCTTACTGCTACTTATGATGTACCGAAAGGCTCTGTCTTTGGTCCTCTCCTTTTTCTTCTTCATTTCGATGTTCTTCTGGTTTTTAACGTTCTTCTAGTCCATGATGTATGCAGTTTAGGAGATTCAGATAGCAGAGCAGGTGTAGTATGAGGAACACCGCAACGCGACGAGAATAAGCAACAACAAACACACAAATCAGTGATGGCTTTTCTGTACCCAGAAGAGTTCTTGTTATTTTTAAGTCTTTGTTATTCTCTTGGCATCATTATCATCCATAACAAAACCAATAGATCTTCTGCAATAAACATTATTGGAGCATCTACGTAAACAAATTCATGGCTACCTTTTCTGATTTGCTAATTGTTACCCTGCATAACATAATTGTTATAAGACTTGAAAACCCATGGTCACCAAAAAATGTTGTCTAATATATATACACCGTAGATTGTTTTCTGTTTGATAATCGGTAAACCGGATCGTTCTACAATCTGCGTCGAATTTCTGGTCTCATTTCACGAATTTTCTAAACATTCGCGCTAGGCGTTTCCCTTTCCACTTTCTTAATAATATGTCGTCTAATAGATTCCTTTCAAATATTTAGCTTAACAAAAATCATTGTTATGTGGGAAGGGGATACTGTGTCGTTATTTTCTACCGTAATTAGTAATTTCTAGGACTCTTGACAGGTTAAAGAAAGAATTGCTTTCTCGTCCCAGTTGTTTATTTAGTAACTTTCTGCTTAATCGACTTATTACAAGCACTAGTGCTACATTTTACAGTTAGCTCTAGCACTATTGATAAGAGTAATTAAGTCTAAAATCAAGCAAAGAATAAAGAATTAGCAGACACATTTATTTGCAGGAAATGTCCCGATCGAATATTTGAAATCTTTAAGTTTTAGACTGTAGTTATTCAAGGGGAAAAGGAATTTGGACAGCTTAGCGATTTGATCTGATAATTTGCAGTTCTGGCCATTGCAATCTATAAAGAGTTTCTTATTAGAGAGTTTCTTATGTTATGCCTTTTTTCGAAAAACTTTTTTCATGGAATTGTGTTAAGGCTATATTGTGACGTCATAATATATCTATATTAAGAATTTTTGAATGTTAACTGTTGAATGAACAACATAACCTAAAAAGATACCATGAAATATTTCTAAATATGCAAAGTCAGTTAAATATGACAAAAATAGGTTATGGCCTTTTTCATAAAATTATCAACCAAGAAGCTAGGGACCAGTATTTCCAGGCAGTTTGCAGGCAACTTTGGCTTAATAATAGTATCTTTTAAAAAAAAATTCTCAAAGGGGTTGAGCAATATCTCCCGTCCCTTATTAAATGGAAACAAGGCATTCGTGTTTTTGTTTTGATTTTCAGAAAAAATTTTGTTATGTTGCACTTATCCTTTTCAGCATTATTAAAAAACACAGGCAGTCTAAAACTCCATACATCACAATTTGCAGAGCCCTTGTTTTGATGCGCTGTAGAGTAGGTTATAAAGACCTTCATTTCCTTGCAAAGGAAAGCTAAATCAAGTTAGCGTTAGCTTTTCTATAAAAAAGAAAAAACTATTGACATTTGTTGTTTTTTTACCGATAATTCTTGGTATTATTTTTAGGCAAAAGAACCTAGCATAAAAGAAAGAGAACCTTGGAATGAAAGTTGGTAAGAAACCCTCAAAACATCACAATAATCTGATGATAAATTGACAGATTTATGCTTTTGAAACTTTTGCATGCAAAACGATTTAACAAGATACACTCTCGTTAACAAATTGCTTCAGTACAACCTTATATACTACGGTCTGTTAACTCAATGCAACAAAGAAAGAACATAAATTTTGTTTTAAGGTTTTTTCTTAAAGTAAAACTCAACATGGTGTATTTATAAAAATATTTCACTTCAACACGTGCAGTGGCGGCTCGTGGGGTAAATTTTTGGTGGGGCTGATGACGTAATATTCGAAATCTAAAGCCATAGACACGGAACCCCAAGAATAATAAAAAGCCTTTCCATTCTTTACTACCTCTAATCAACAAGGCTGTCATCATTTTGAAAGTTTCGATTGAAAAATAAACAAGTGCCACTATTAATCATGTATAATTTTTTAATAAGCAAAGTAATAAACTATGCGAAATGTTGGTGTGCTCAACTTTATTTATTCAAGTCCGTTGGATCGTTTCTCTCTTTACAAAAAAAGAAGTTCGTAGGGGATGTCCATAAAAACATGGACAACTCGAATGGCCAACTCTTAGACGATATCCTTTGCATTGCATATCATGGCAATTAAAAAATTTTTAAAGAATAAAAAGTTCAAACTGTTAATTGATTAATTTTCATATGCTGTGAAGCCAAAATTGTTCCAGTTGAAAGCCTGCATTGGAAATATGCTTTATGCCATTAGAAGGCCTACGACCTAGCCTTCCCATTATGAGCTTATTTCAAGATCGGCAAAATTAATTCTGATAAAGATCTAGCTTGTATGCTTTATTTCAAAGTTTTAAGGCTGATAATTCGAATCATTGAATACACGCCACTCTGCTGCGTTCCACTTCAAGATCAACATTGCCTATTACATCACAACAACAAAAATTCAGCTACCGTTGAATTGAATTATTTGGGGCTAGTTGCAACTAGCCCCAAAGGAATGCAGATTCGAGCAGAATTGGCCAATCAGAAGGCAGTCATCAATTGAATAGTAGAGTCATGAGAGGCACTTGATTGGTGCATTCTCTGCTAGTTTGGGGCTAGCCCCAAAAGCTCGGGAGATGGTTTCTGATACGCGTGTTTCTTCAGTTTTCGAAAGAACCGCGGGCAGTGGGACCTAAACAAACTAGAGAATGGACAAACAGTGAAACTCGAAGCAACGAAATTAGTGAACAGTGCTAAATTAATAATGGACGTTGATTTTATTTACGTTTATAAATCTAAAACTTATTTTTGGAAATCTTTGGTGGGGCTGAGCCCCACTTGCCCCAATACACGAGCCGCCACTGAACACGTGTTTTTTTACATTTTAAGATACATTGTTAAAAAAGCTAAAGAACACAAAAATTAAGATAAAAACAAACTGAACAATATATTGATCTCATTAAACGCTTTTTTATGCAGATCTTGTCGATTATATATAAGACGATGAATGTTGTTGTAAAGCTAAGTGTTAACAAACTACTTCATTTATTAGAAGGCACAACAATATCAAACTTCATAACAACGATTAGAAAACGAAGAAACATAGAACTGCAATCAAATATTTGAAAAAGAAAATTAATATCCCATTCCTAGTCCATCATCAAGTCTGTTTATGACAATTAGGCCAAGTCGTTCTAACAGGTACGATGCAACCACTCCATAATATCAACATATGCTGCAGAAACCGTTTTGAGGGCATCTCTGCGATGCATTAGCCAATAAAGAGAGCTGCCAAATTTTTGCATTCATCCGACCTGTGCCCATTTGATCCACATCTGTAACAACCCATAGCTCCGGTGGCAAAGCCAGAAAAACTAGGAGGTATCGATGCTTTGACTGGAGTGTCCTCTGCGCCATGCCTCGGCTGTGGCTCTACTTTCCCTATCCGGCGCCCCTCTTGTACATCATTGCTAAATTGCTGCTTCTGATACCGCTCTATAGTTTCTCCGTGACCATTCTTCAATGTAACATCACTAGAGTTTTCTCTTTCTCTGCTATCGTTTCTTCCTCGCCAATTCATCGGATCTTCACGGCCACGAACCCTCTCTCGTGCCGTGTTGTGATTTTGTCTCCAGCTCCCAGTTAAATGATCCCTATTGTCACGTCTCGCCTTGTGATTTTTTGGCACAAACTGATCACTAGATGTATTTCCGCCACGACCAATACCATAGAGTTTCCTATTAGAAGGGCTGTCAGTACCAAACCTTCCTTGAATTTGTGCTGGACCTCTTTCAAAATTAGCCCCACCCGATCTTAAACGGGTAGAGTTATAATGTTTATCATTCCCTTTTCCATATTGGAAAGTAGATTTCTTTTCTTCTTGGCTAGTCTTCCTAATAGAAATTTTTCTGTTATCTAAATACGTAACAATTTCATAAACAATACCGGCTGGAAATGATGCCTCCTTGAGAATACCTTTAAGCGTTTCTTTGTCAGCTTGAAGCACTGTATCCCTGATAACGTTCTGCTTAAACCTGTATACTTGGTCTTCTAATCTCAGTTCTTTCATCATTTGCTCTATTTCATCATATTGTCCCTTTTCTATGGTTTTCTCGTTTTCTCTAGTGCTTTCTCTCTCTTCAAAGTGCTCATATTTGACATCGACAGACTGACCTGCATGTTCCACGTTATCCTCACCCCTGGTGCCTTCCCGTTCGACAGCGTCAACAGTTACTTCCTCGACCTCATCATCTTCAATCAAAACAGCATCATCAAAATCATCAATGTCTTCTTCATACCGACTTGTCTCATTCGTCATCATATCCTCACTTTGCGAATCATCAACTTCAAAGGCGAGAGTCATGGAGTTCTTACCTTCGATGCAGCTAGATTGTATTTTTGAACTCAATTGCAAGTTTGCTTCTTCCGATAGTGAGACACTCGTTGATTGAGATGAGCTACAACTTGCTGTATCAGCACCGAAATCAGCATCAACAGTTGAGTCAGTAGGATAAATATCACAACACGTTGTGTCTTCGTCAACATCCTGCTTACCTGGAGACAGGCATCTTGGGATGTGAGCGAGCAAAAGATCCAAAAAGACTTCACGGATTTTTCTGAAATTTTCAATATAAAAATTCAAAGCTTAGTACTTTGTAACATAGAAACTTTCAATATCAAAATAATCTGGTAGCAGACGATTCGCCAACATGATAACAAGCTATGCAAGTTATAAATACAAACATACTTTAAAGCATAAGATCGGTACCACTTTTAAGCAGGTCCTAGGCAAACAATTTTATTCAGGGAAACTTGAAACGATTTTGGTGTTCATATTGGCCTTAAACTTGAAACTTATATAGATCAAAATTATCTCAAGCTATTATAAACATACCTTGGGAGGCATTCATTCAACACACTTTCTTTTAAAAGAACAATGATATTTCGTAAGTCACGAAATATAGCTGGCAATCTAGAAGCAAGAGGGAAACATTATAAGTTGGAGCAAAGAACATGGGCAAAGAAAAATGATTAATAAGCAAAAGTAAGCTCTGAACAGTTGGGTCGTCAGTCTGACAGTTGCTGATCGTGAAGCTCCGAGATGCAACCTAAAACTGTCTTGTTTTACACACCTAGATGCAGCTTTGTTTTTACAGCGTCGAGCATTATATAGCAGGCCGTAAAACAGTAACTCTCAGTAGAAAGGAAAGCGTTAATTAGTTATATTATGCTATTAGGGCTGTTTATATCGTCCTCCTTCTTGAAAGGCAATAAGTAAAAAGATAACTTGATCACTTGCATACAAAAAAAGACGATATATTTGTGCAAAATGATACTTATATTTATAAGTCGGAGTCAGGAAAAAACGAAACAAAATATAACAAGTCATGATTTTTGATAATGTAGACAAAGTGCTGATCTACAGTTACTGTGTAATAAGCATTCCTTGCCTTGTCAACAGAAAAAAAGACAAATTTGATTTTCAGGACACAGTTTGTCATTAAAACCCTTTTATATCCCTTTCACAGGCATAAAAAGAATTACGATCCCCTATTATACTGAAAAGTTATGACTATGCAAAAATCGCCATCATCAAACCGTGCTTAAAGGGTTAAGGTGAAGAGCCACGCCATTTTGGCCTTGTCATCACTGGCACTACAAGCTGAAGAGCATAAATGATCGTTATTAGTCGAAAATCACCTTTCTTTGTCCAAATTTAGCAGATCCATTTCCTTGAACAATTCTGTTGCTGCGAGTGCATTTGCTTCAGCTTTAACTACGCTGAATCCTTCAACTTGACTCTGCATCAAAATCAAGTTATGTAAGGTATGTAATCAGAAAAACTTAAAACCATGTGTACCCAAATTTCAACACCCTGCACTGCGCCTGTGGCAATTGAATTTAATCAAGTTTTAAGCTTGTAGTATGAAAGAGATTAACTAATATTTGCTTTCTGTGTCAACTTTATCTGCACTTCTACATGTTCACACAAATTTATTTTCGTATTTTTGCCAGATTTTGTTTGTTTCAAGGATTAAAATTACTGAAAGTTTTGGATATTTATGCCTAAGTTAACAAGAAAATACAGGATCTGAAATTTCAGATCTGAAACAGCTCAAGAACTAATTTGACAAAAAGAAGCCATGTATGAACAGTAGAACATATGAATTCCAGACTCCTTTTACCAAATTTTGTATTAATGTGACTTTGATGAATTTTTATTACAACTGTTCTTTTTAATAACTTACTGAGCCAAATGATACAATAGGATATGCTAAAGATGTTTAAAGACCACATTTCCAGAAGAGGCTTGGTTTCTTTGGGCAAATCTTGGATCAAGAAAATGTAAGCAAATGCATGGATCTACCAAATTTCAAAATGCCACATGCCTCTATGTGTAGTTATGTAATGAAAGGTTGATTTTGTGCTCTTAAGGAATTCAAATGACCAATTAACCCGTGAGAATGACAAAAATTCAATGCAGCTATTTTTTACAAATATCAACAGCACATCTTCTTAAAAAAGATGTATGGGAAATTAAAATAGTCATGCACGTACCCCTATGCCATCCGGGTATGTCCATTTCTCAATACATTCTTCCAGACATGTTATTATGACTGTTCTTAGTCTAAATTGTAACGAAAAAAAACTTTGGTGAAACATTTCTATGCATTACAATCTAAAAAGTCAAGTATATAGTGCAAACAATATACTTTAGCAAATCTCACAACAGAGTTTATCTGAAGAAATTTTTATCACTGCACATATTTAAAACTTTTGAAAACTTGGGTGTCACCTTTTGAAAGTTTTCATGACCACACCCATCAAATTAACTGGATTATGGAGAATCTTGACAGGTTTTAGATACTGATCAAAATTCAAAGAGATATTATAACTGTTACTGTTATGTTCTCATTTGAAATATTTTAAGGGTTTTTATAAGCTTTATGTGTCTACTGGCAATTGCTTCAATTTTGCGTTTTAATGCCAAATCTCTTAATTCTAGCTTTATCACTGCACAAAATTGAGTTTATCACTGCACAATAAAGATTTATCAATTGCACAAATTGGTTATCACTGCATGTTAAAATAAACCCTGTCTCACAATAATAATTATAAATCAATGGAATCTTCCCCACAATCTTTAGTGGCAGTGCACAAAACTTGATATTTTAATGTTCATTCAATATTAAAATTAAAATTCAATATCCTGCAATTGGTTGCTGTCATTATAACATTGCAGAGTGAATTTTCATAGAGAAAATCTTAACTTAGAGCTATGATGTTTCTCATAATCTGGCACATTGTGAGCCAGGTTTATGAAAAGTTCACCAGCAACTCCATCCAATGATTATCAAAACATTTTGATACAGACACTTACCTATCATTATCTGATTCAAGTGACAATTTATAAAGTGCACCAAGAAGCTTGCAAAATCTCCTGGCTCCAGCTGTAATCAGTTTATCTGAAGCAGAAACCTGAAGCATGAAAAAGTTTGTTTGATTTCTAAACGATGATATGGGCCTTAAAAAGCTTTACCAATAAGGTTCATAATAACATGCATTTGAGTTATTTTATTAAAACCCACATTCTTTTATGGGGCCTTTTGGATCCCAAGTTTCAAAATATCTATGTAAGTCCCACTTCTAAGCAGTTTTTTTGCAAATTAACTCAAATCTTTGTTAATCATATATAAGTAAACTGACAAAGGTTGAATAGTTGATAAAAAATAGAAGAATGGTACTTACTCTTACAAGTTCTGTTGTTTTAGTGGAGATGAGAGGGACAAAGTGAACTTCAAACTGAATTGCATCATAATCTGTAAAGGAGCATACAAATTATATTTGTTAAAAATGGTGGTCGAGAGAAAAAATCTACAAAAAAATACATTTTATGTACAAAGTCTGCAAATCTGTAAACTTTCTTGAAAGTGATGGAATAGCTTTATAATGGCCTTGCTCTCACATTTGTGTATATAATAACTTTATGCTGACAATAAATTAAAGTAAACTGTTTTGTATGAAGATTTAAATGAATCAATAGAATTTTTTTACGACAGGAACTAAAGTAAAGAAGCTGAAAAGCCTGAACTGTATTTGATAAACAAAAACCGATAACAATGATATTAAAGAGTGGAAAGCTCCATGAAAATTTAAAGGTACAAAAGAAAGTACAAAGGCTAGACAACACCATAAATATGCTGAGTCAATCTAGATGCTTATCACAGAGAAAAAAATAAAGGAAACTTGTGTAAAAGCAATCAAATATGCCCTCTTATCCAGATTAATGAATGAATCTCAGTTATAAATACATACCTGTAATTCTTTTGATGAAACTTTTTGAAACCTCAGTAAAACTATCTGTTGTTGTTGATTTGTCAACAAGACATTCAAGAATCAGCTGGAACTCATTGAACTGAGGGTACTTCATTGACAAGGAGCTATCTGCAAATAATACTTATATATTAGGATGAAATGAAATTGACAATTTCAAGGGTGATAAATCCCTAGCTATAATAACTCAAAATAGTTTTTATTTTAATCCAATTTTTTGACAATTTCTATCTGCCTACTTTGAAACATGTCCAAGAACCTAGTTCCTGCATTTCAATAGTTGTTGCAGCCCTGGGTAGTAGGTGGCATATTCATGATAACAATAGGAAATTCAAACAATCTTTTGGTGGTACAAAACTTGTAAATGGCTTTGAAAAAAGCAAACATTTAATAAACTAAAGCTTTTCGTCTGAAACTCTTCAGAGTTTAAAACGTCAGAACATAGATTGAAAACTCTACGCTAAGAAATATACATACCCAGTTGTGGATCGAAATAGGCCAATCAAAAACACAAGCACATGACTGACGTTTTAAACTCTGAAGAGTGTCAGACGAAAAGCTTTAGTTTACTAAATGTTTGCTTTTTTCAAAGCCAAATAGAAAATTCCTTCAAACTTTCTATTATATACATCATTATGGTGATTAACAAAATGTAAAAGAGCTCAAAGAAAAATTTAATAAGTTTACCATTTATTGGCTATTTCAACTCATGAAACAATGGATTCTATTTAAATACTTTAAACAAGCTACATTTTCATCAAAGTATAATGTTATTTACCATCCAGCTTGATCTTCAGGGCATCAAAAATCTCATCAACGTCCTCAACAGTAGCACCTCCTACCATCTTGAAGGAAGAAATCTCTGTTTTAATGTTTTTCATTCACATTAATTACATTAAGTATTATGGTTCCCATATATTTCACTTATTGGTCCAAAAAAGAATATAAAAATATTGCAGCATTATTTTTTTGGATATCATCTGTCCATGTTTGCCATATTTCCCTATTCTTCAGACAAAAACTTGACAAGGATAATGATTTTAATGGTTTTAGGAAAGATAAACAAAAGTTAAAATTTATCCAAGGAGATGAAGTCCTTTTCAAGGAGTGAATAAACAACACGAGAAAGGGATCAAAAAGTAAAAAAGTTGTGAACTGTATAACATCCATTGATGATTTTGTGAATATGTACGACTATGTTGTGAAAAATCTAGAAAGCCTTGAACAGATAATCAAAAAATCTTTAAGTGGAACAATTAATTTCTAAATACAGTTACAATGGTTCTCTTTTAATTCTACAACAAACAAATTATGGAAGGTTGCATATAAATGTAATCTACCTAGATCCTCCCTCCTTACCTGTTGGTCTTGACATGTCAATGCTAATACACTACAGTCTAAGAAACTGCAGGCAGTTTAGGTATGTCAAGACACTTTTTGTGTTTCAAAGCATTCCTAAAACTGAAAACTTTTTATCAACAGTTGAAAGATTTTGTGCTTTACTTACATATCAAAAATTTGATCAAATTTGGAATAAAATCTGATGTTTAAAAATCCACCTTTTCCTAAATAGTAGAACTTACTGAAGCAATCTGTCGCTGAAATTTATATTTTTGCCATTCTCCCTCAGCTTCTTCTTTTTCTTGTTGTGTTGGTTGAGGAGTAATTTGCTTCAGTGGTCCTACATTTGGTGACCTTACCTGTGGAGAGTTCTGTTTTATGACATTTCGTATTGGCTTTCGCTCTTCCTTTTTCATCTCTATTGAGTCATGTTTGTCATCATCTTCTGGAAAAAACTTTTTCAAGTAAATATGAAAACAATTTTTCAAAGACAAAGAATTCATGGAATATTTCTAAGATCTAAATTTCTCTTTTTGTTTTTCCGACTTAGGATATTTCTAGATTTTTATTGATAGATCTAAATTTAATTTGCTTTATCTAAGAAAATTACTGGTTGCAGATTAATAATATATGATGCCCAGGGTGCACACCCATACTTGACCTGATGGGATTTGCTGCGAAGCAGGGTATACTTTTCTGATGAAAATTAAGGAACAGGCTATTTTGAACTGCATCAAAGCTTTGGGGCAGTTTATCAAAATTAAGGAAATTGTTTTGGACTGGGTATTTAAAGGCAGAAGATAACAATTCTTTCAATTATCTGTCTTCACAAGAAGTTTATGTGAATCACAATGTGAATCTTCTTTCCACCCTGGTATATTTTGGCATAATTTTACTAAATTGTTTGCATTTTTATGGTACAAGGTATGCCTTTGGCATATTCTTATAGGGCAGTGTCAGAGTGCAAGAGAGTTTTCAGCACATCCCTGTCACTTTCCTGGTCAAGTGCCCCCTATATTATATCTAACAGAGTGCATTTTGAGTAAATTGCTCTTTGCATGCATTACTCATAGGAAGAAGTGTTACAATATCAGAACCCCCAAGGGAAATTGTTGCAAGCATTGTTTTATCAGTTTGTCTTTGTTTTTAGAGGTGGATGTCATAAGCTGAAACTGAATATCATAAAAATACTGATAATCACATTTACATTTTGTTAATCCTGATAGGCTTCACGATGGGCGAACTCTATTAATGATATATTTTGCGTTTTAGCAGTTTATATGAGGCATGAAAATAGTATTAATTTTGGCTTTGGGTTGTTTACCTGGGTATGGAGAGAATTTACTAAGGTATTCTTCTGCTGCCAGGAACGCTGAAGTTTTGTCTGTGTTAACTTCCTTTGCTTGTGAGCCAGTTTTAACAAATTGGCTTGGGCTCATAAGACCTCTTCCTCCGGAACACATGCTGCTCTTAGGTGGTTTCATCGCGAGAGCACTCATCAAAGGAGATGATGAAGAGTATCTACCATCAGATTCTCTTGTTCCAGGATCTGCAGTTTGCCCTTCGTTTTCTTTAACTGCCCCTTTAAGGAATTCGTTCATTATAGACCCTCGTCCTCTACCTGCCATTTTCAGTCTTTTTACCTCCCACTTTGTAGACAAGACAGATCAAATTTGCTTGGATGAAAAACACGACAGGAAATCGTTGATCACAAGCAACGTGATGGCTACATTTACAACAACAACAACCATAACATAAACAACAGCAACAGCCACCAAACGCTTTGATTCCAAAATGGCGACGGCGCTTGTAAGTAACGTGCTGTCGAATGCATGGCAAGAGCGGTGGAGTGTGAAAAGCTGGACTTCTGAGATCAGCCAAAGAATTATCAGTCTAAAAGAAAATGAATGTCGGGAATTCATTTCGCAGCTCACCGGTGAGGCCTCCACAATCGCTCTTCATAAAAGTTGCGGGCCACGACACAAAGGCAAAAAAGAGAAGATTTATTAGGCCAGAACTTGTAGATATGATAAAATTATAGGGGAAATGTGACAGATTATGCCAGTGTTGTCGTATTGAACCAATACTTTACGCAATAAATATTTGGCTGGAAGGGCATATAAACCAGAAACAACAAATACTTCTTATCCGTGTGAAGCTCACGCAATATATACACTGGGAAACCGTCACATAGATTCCACACTGTCTTCTTACCCAAGTTATAAATTTTGCTAACGCTTAAAAGCTTATTACAGTTCAGATGAATATATGTCAAACTCTGTAGATATTGATCTCAAAGGATATTTTCTTCCCTACCTAAGTTACAAATAATAGAACAGTAAGTATCCAGTCGTGCTTTATGATTTATTCATTTTTATCTTTTTCAATTCTAGCTGCAATTATTCAGTACTCACTTTCAAGTCCATCAGATGATGTGTACATTTCTTATTTGAAAGACAGTCTTTCAACACAGGTATGCTGTCAGAGTTCAAAGAGATCTCATATATAACAAATTTTGATGTTGACTTTGACGAAAATCTCTTCTCTTCTCTCTCTTCAATCGTTAACTCCTAAAGGCTATACAACCAATTTGGAGCATTTACTCAAGGAGCATTAAAAAAAGGAAAATTAACTCAGGAGTAGGATCAATACCATTTCCGCCCAGCGCTCCAGTTTGTTGATTTTTACAAAATGTTGCATTTGGTTTTGGTTCAACAAATCCAAGCAAAGGTTGGCTAATGCCAGAGTGGGAGCGGTGTTAATCATAAACAAGGGATAACAAAAGGCTAACAAAAGAGTAAAAATTGTCTCTAATAAGTCTATACTAGGGTCCAGGTGTTGGTGGAGGCCACCTCACCCACTGACATGAGTGCAACCATTCTGTCACTGATACTTTGCATTTGTCTTCTCTCATGCAATTCATGATTTCTGAGGGTAGGCTCCAAATCCAAACTATTCTTACGAAGGATTGATTTTTGAAAGCTTCAGAGTGGAGGAATTATATTGTTTGACAATTCTGGACAATTTCTGGAAACGAGATGTTGAGCATGTTGTTTCGAATTTTATTGAAGATTTGAAGGTCATGGATGCAGTGTTGGTGTTGTAGTGGTAGCCAGTTTAATGATTTCATTTTCTGTGTCAACTGAGTGTCTGTGCCAAAAGCATTATGATAGTATTAATGAAAGACTTTGGCTACACTCATTTTTTTATAAGAAACAAAGGTCGATGTTGAGTACTCCAGTTTCTTAATGTTCTTGAAATTGCAATACTCACTGTTTCTTAAGAGTTTCTTAATTATGATGTCATGAATGATGTTGTGAAATGTTTGTGACCCTTTTTCACGTCAAGAGATTTGCTTCCGTTCTGACAATGAGGGTAAACCATCCTTTATTTGCTGACAAAGCACCCTTGGATGGCTCAAAACATTTTAAAAATTAGATTTTTTTCAAGAAGGTATCCCACTCCTCATACCCCGTATGGTGATAACCCTGCCTATATTTTAGTTCAATTTAGGGCAAGCTTACATACTAAAATTACCATTTTGCCACATAAAACCAAAATTGGTTATTGATTAATTATTTCTAGTAAGAATTAGATATTCTCATTCTTGCTATATTCTCATTTTAACTCTTCTAGCAAATTACAGCATCTGATGTTCTTGATTATATTTCAAAGGTATATATCTTTTTAGTTTTGCTCATACTATACATAGCAAAATTTTATAAGTTTTATTTGTCAATGATACATACCATTGAAATTTCCTGCTGTTTTAAGGAGGCCATCATAAGTTGGGGCTGCTGATTTGTTTTAAATTTCCTCTTCACAATTTCCTTCCATACAATAGAAATATAGATTGGTATCATTTTGATCTAAGTATTAAAGTAGTTCCAAATTTACATTTGAAAATATTTTCGCATCTAGAGTGCCAGATTTCTTGTGATTAAAGATTTTAGACTAGACAGTTTCTTCTCAAAAAAGACTTATTGGGAGGGTCATTTGGGGGGGGGGGGAATCTCAACTCATTAGAGTGGGGAAGGTGCTTATTAGAATTTTGATTATGTATTAGGGCCTCTCATTGAAAGAGGATGCCACACTGTGGATTTTCAGTATTTTATATAATAAATGTTCATTTTCAGTCATTCTAAAAAGAGACATATTATTAGTTTTTCAATAAAATCAAATTTTAACAAAACCTTGTTTTATTTCGTCTTGAATTACTTCAACCTGAATCTGGGTGTGAATTTCCCAAAACCTTTTGCTCATTGTTAAGCATTATATTATCTGAAGAGGCTCACAAAAAGTGATAGAAATACACATTTTATGCTTCTCCCTTTTTTAACTACTTTGAAACATTTAGTTGTATTTTTAAGTTGCTGTAGACAAATAATTTTCTCCTTAGCTGGACAATAAACAACAATTGAAGCAGTTAAAGATACTTTTAAATATCTTTGAAGATTCTCTTGTCTATATCAGGTAATTCTTTGATATTTCACATTGTCAAAATGCAAATTATGCATATATTTATGTTTTATTCATTGAAATGTTTTTAGCTTTCAAATGAATCAGATAATTATGGTTTTGCAGCTGATTTTTTTTGTCATATTAAGAGATGTGGAATTTAATGTTAGTGTTAATTATCAAAAGCTTACACTGTAAATTTTTTTAAAGAAGACAATTAATATTTAAACATCTAGAATAAATTTCCCCAAAATGGTCTGATAACCTCTCAAAATTGAAAGTAAAGTAGAAATATATCTGTTTCTCATATACCAATCACCTAATCCAAAATTTTTATCACAAATTAATGTTAATTATTGATCCTTTTTACACAGTATTCATTATACTCACTGTGTGAATAGATTCCTTCCGAAAAACTCTTTTACACATGATTTTGTTAAAAAACTGCCTGTAATTGCATGCATTTACAAAACTTTCAGCCTCAAAAAATATTTGTCATTTCCATCAAAAGTCCAAATTGAAACCTTGATTGTTTATTTTCCCTGTGCACTGCCTATGTGGAGAACTAGCTCAGCCAACATTTGGATATTGTTTTCTGTTTGTGATTTGTCTTAGGTCTGTCTTATTTTTGCTAGGTTAAGAATCTGCCTGACTAGTGATTTTTATTTCTTTTGGCTGCGATTGAATATTGACAAGTTATCACATGGTTTTGAAAATGCCACATTTAGGGACACCAAATCTTTTTTAGTTTTATTTATTTTTTCTGCCTACAAACATTTTCTCTTTCTTCTCTTTTCCTCTTTATTTTCATCAAATTGCCAACTTATTTTTATCACATCTCATGTCATAGACCATACAGAAATGCCAAAGACAGTTTCAACTTTTGTGTTTGTCTGGCCAGAGCAATCTTCTGGTTATTTGGAACAATTGCCAATTCTCTTAAAAATGTTTACCAGGTAAGCAATTTCTTTGAGGATGTTGTTTTTGTTTCCTTTAGTTCATATCACTACGTTATTTGTAAATTTCCAGATATATCTAATATATCGGACATATGCTGTTATATCTGGGATGATGTATTGGTCGTTTTTGACAAACCTTAATTCCTCTTATAAATACCCCTAGTGTTTACTTCATTTTTTTCATAATTTTAAGCAGCATTTAGTAAAGAGGGGCGTTTAATAGCCGGAGGTATTCATTTTTGTTTGAGCTGAAAAATTAGGCATTTGTAAGTGGAATTCTACTATTTGTTATTTGGCTCTTATTAGGGAATTTCGATCTTCCAGGAAGTTGGTTGTTGCAGTTCTATTTATGAACTTGCAAATATAACTTCTCTGATTTATACTCTTTGCATTTGAATAGAAAAGAAAACGATTTCATTTATGTTTTCTCGCAATTAGATTTACCCTTTTGCAATTTGAATTTCTCCTCGATGTTTAAAGGTGATGAAAGAGGATGTTCACAGCCCTGATGTTCAGAGTCATTTTAGTATCTGCGAGAAGTGTTTTGACCTTGTCGGGCGGATGACAAACAACCCTTCATTGCATAACCTGGCGCTTATTGGAAAAATAGAGATACAAGGTACTCAGTTATTTTCGTTCTGTTTAAATTGTGCAGTGAATTGTGCACTTGTTGTTACTTTGTCATAGGCCATAAGCCCACAAATGTGTTTCTACGTAAGCAAGCAACAATTTCATTAATCGTGATAGCTTTTAAAAATTATAAGCCAAGACTACAATCGAAAGTGATAAAATTTCGCGGCAATCGTGAATTTATCACGAGAGGATAGCAAAGGGGAGACTTATAATGTATCATGACCTTAAATTCAGTTGTAAATATCCCCTTCCCTCGTGCTTTTCTGTAGTTTATGCTTGCTTCCATTTTTCAAACATGAATAATTTTTTCCTCAATGAAAAGTAACGTTAAATAAGAACATTTTTTATCATACACTCGCGAGAGAATTAAGAGAAAAATTATAAAGTCTTTTTGCCCCGTTTTTATGTATTTGATTAAATTTTCAGCCGAAAAAGAAGAAACTATACAATCACAACTTAATGAGATTATGTCTTTACCAACGAATTCGCTGACTGACCAAAATGTCTCGCAGCAGTATCAAAATAACCTGAAAGGACTGATGAACGACGCTGCCAGGTGACCATTGAGTTTTTAATACCATTGTGTACCCTATATTCTTAGATTTCTTATAGAGTGACGATAGATTGGCACATATGTGTTTCCAGTCAAAGGGTTATGAATATCGTTGTAGAACCGTTGGCCTCGTTAACCGGTTCACAGTTCTTACTAGTTTTAAATAAACATAGCAAAGAAAATGCCTATGCTAATATTGAAGAATCATTGGCTGTGTTTCTACTAAATCGAAGATATTGTCAGCAAGCTGGTGGAAAAAAAATTGCGAGAATTGAGCATTTTGACAATTTGACTAAGCTAAAGATTTTAAAAAAAGTTTTCCTTGCTAGCGTTTCAGACCAAATTTGTTTCTATTGTCACACATTTGTCATTACACAGCCTTTCAGGGGCGCATCTGAAACATTTTGGTGCAGTCTTAGAGAAGAAGAGTAGGTTTTGATAGAGTTATGTTTGTTTTAATGGCTTAGAAGTTTTGTTCATCTATTCAAATTCACCGCTAAAGCCAGTATTTTGTCAGCGGTTGTGCTAAAGTACTTCTGAATGGGCTTTGAAAGAGTGAATTTGTGATTCTATTGTAAATGAAAACTATACTAGGATCTTTATTGCAAATTTCTGAGTGCACGATTAAATTAGCCTGTCTACGCTTCGGTCCAGTTTTATGAAGCTACCTTTCTTAGCAAACCGATTTGTAAGAAGTAAGATTGTTTTTCCTTGCAATTATGAAGCTGCAATGAAGAATAAAAATTACCGAAGAATACGATTTCAAAAAATATACTGTTTTGTCTATTTCATTTAACCTTTTAAGAGTTTCTGACTTAACTTTAATGCGCAATATACTTTTTCTTCGACGCAAACCAAAATCGGCTCACTTGTTATGACAGGTTCAATTTCTAAACACAAATTGCAATTCTTAAATACATCTTTCGGTGTAATTTCTAGTTCAAGACATCTTTCGGTGTTTTGATTGCTCTTCCAATAGTTATGATTTTCTTCAATTTCAATAATGTCATTTTGTATAAACAGCTTGTTAGAACATTTATCTGCTTTTATAAAGCACTGTCCACACTACACAGGTTCGCGCCAGGTTTCGGATAGCCCAGGTTAGGTGTTTTAACTATCAACATAGCTAACCCTGGATTCGCCGCAGGTTAGTTTAACCCTGCTTCGAAGGTGCTTTCAACTTAAGCTCGCTCCAAGTAGTTTGGACACGAACATGGGTTAGTTTCATATTGCTGCATGCACAAAGATAACTTGATAATTTGAGCTTCAATAGTTTTTCATTTTCTTTCATGATCTTTTAATACCCTTGTAAGTTTTTCCTACGTGGTTTTCATCAATTCGTGTAAATGTTTTTTTCCAGATTCTTAAACTCGACATTCCACGGAATATTATCCCAAAACAGAAAGCCTGGCCATGTTCCCAGCTACACATTGCAAACTCTTGTTGAAATCCAGGTACATACACAGAATCAATTGTTAGGCCATTTGGTGCTCATCTTTTATGGCCTACAGTATTTTTTTAATCAAGTGATGTTAGTTGCGAGCTAGTTATGTTAGTATGACGGGCGCTCGTATTTAAGAATCACCTAGATCTATTTAACAGTTTGAATAATGGCTCAGCCACACTGGGCAGCTTTTTAACGATGGGCAGATATTATTGGGAAAATTGAAAAAACGTTTTTTTAGTCCATTTAATGTGCTTCAACCTGGGCTCCGACGCAGGTTTGAAAGTGGGGGGTGGGGCAAGGATTTTTTAAAATGCCCTATTGTTTTGCATAAAAGTGGGGCGCCATGGCTTACTCAACCCCCCCCTCTTCGGAGGCCCTGTTTAATCAGTCGAGATTCTCGATAAAAGGGACCAGGATGAGCTCCTGCATTTTGAATAATTTGTTTTTACTTCCTAAAAGCTTTTGACGATTCTTCCTGTGTTTTTCAATGTGTGGTACATTGAAGAATCGATTAATGGCAATAGGCTGGCTTGTTCTTTTAGGTTGTTGAGAATTTCTACATGGACAGTACAGTGATGGCCGACCTATTCGACTCAGTGCTAATGTCCGAGGTAAAAATTTAAACTTGTTGACCGCTTTGTGTCTGCCATTCTCCAAAATTGAATGTGCTTTGTTGGTTGTTAAAGACAACCCTCAGATACTTGAAGGCTTTTGCGCAACCGGCCTGCTTAGCGGCATCTATCTTGATAAAATTATTGTGTTTTGTATTTTCATGCAGTACGATATTAGGCCGGTTTGGAAAGTATTATCGCAAAGCATGCCGGTTGCGCAGAAGCCTTTAAGTGAATTAAGCCAAGTGTCAATCAATATTAGCCAATCAATAAGCGTGTTAATGGTATCACGCTCACTGATTGGCCAATTTTTGATTGACAGCTGGCTGAAGCCACTTTGTATCTGCCAATTGCCTTTAAGCACACTCATTTAGGTGACAGACCCTAACTTGTCTGATAAAGAATAAAGTCTATTGGCCAGTTGGAGATATTGTATTATGTTATAATACCTTGCAGATTTTGATAACTTGCAAAGATGCAGCTTTTTATTTTTCTACAATACCTTTGTGCAGACAACCTTAAAAACGCTAACTGAAGCATTTAAAGTGTTACTTTTCTGTGAGCTGTTAAATATTTCAATTTGCAAAAGGTCATTTTGACAGAATTCAAACCATCGTTTCTTGTTTGTGGCAGAAGAACGTTATTAGTTACATTTCCCTTTTCTCTTATTCTAAAAGCTGTAGCCTTCTCTCTGTCTGAATGATGGTTTTGATTTGTTTTAGAACATACCCATGGACCAGTTTTACGTGGATCTACTGAGATGTGGTTGCCATGGTATCCTAAGTGCACCTAATGTCCAGGAAGAGCTTTTCTGGTCATCTTTTGTCTTTTTTAAGGTTTGGATCCATTAAACCTAGGACAGTTTTTCTCTATTCTCTATTATCAGTTCATCATTGTCATCGTTGTCATCTTTGTCATCAATAGAGAGGTCTGGATCTAGTGCTTGTGCGAGCTTTAGTTTACGTCGTGGAAAGTGTCTTTTTATTCGTCTCATGACAGTCAATTCCAGTGGCACTTCAAAGAGAGCTTCGCTTTTCAAATATTTGCTGTGTTTAGCTTTCCAGATGAACAGCTAATAGCTTTGCATTTTTCAGCAATACTGATGTTTTCAAGCCTAACTTCCCGTCTTAGTTGTCAGAGTCTTAGCTGAATAGTTCGTTTTTAACGCTAGAACATATATTTGAACAAAGCACGAAATATATGTTTCCACTTTTCCGTGCTTTCTTCATGAAATGCGGTACTAAAGGCTTTTTCGGAATTAGCTTTGTCTAGAGTAATATTTAACTTTCCATTGGACCCCATCTCAGCCTTAAACTTTTACCGTAGATTCCATCCATCGTAAGCTGTCTCCGGTTAAAGTACAACAAAGGCATTGACAGCACCGTCTTCTTCACGGCCTGTAAACAATTCGCAAGCATGAACATTCTTCTTGATGATCTGGACGTTTATTGCAGGTGACGTGCTCGACTTCTAATTTAACAACGGTTATTAGCGCTCTGTATAAGTAAATCGATATCTGTATATGCTCAGAATGCATTTCTGAAGTCTCTATGACTCAAATTTAAAGTTCAGCCTCTAGGAGAGGGCGAGAGGAGTAAGGGGGGGGGGGGGGTGGGAGTGGGAAGGCATCGAGAATGTTTTAGAGAGTATGTGGAACAGTTTTTGAGTAATACATGTGGATTATTTGATTGTCTTTGCGTTCATTTGCGCAGAAAAAACCTCAAGAGCAAAACAATACGAATCAGCAAAAATTTAAATTCAAATAGATATAAATAATGTAGAATTATTGCTTTGATGGAGAATTGCAACAAGTAAGTGTTTATTTCGTTTACACGGTGTTACGAAATCCAGTGTCTTCTCTTTCAACATTCATCTTGGAGATAATTAAGTTTTTTGCTTTGATAAATTTTTTCCTTCTGATATTACCTCAATACTCTCAAGTTCAGAGAAGTCTGCGAGAGTGAGCGACTTTAGATGTATTTGTAGTCTATTAGATAGGTGACCCAATCACAGATATCTTTATTCGGCATTGCCCTTCATCTTGAATCTCCACGATAGCTAATAATATTAAATTTTCTCTTTTCTTCCATTGCCGACATTTTTAGTACTTTGTTTATTTATCTGTGCAAATATCTAATCTGTGATGTCTACGCCATCTAGGTTTCAATGTCTTCCAAATTTTTTGGCTCAGTGTCAGCATAAAGGGTTATTGGATGCAGGCAAAGTCGAGCAGATAATGAGTCAGAGGCTACATAAAGCTGATTTGTTTGATTCAGCAACGTCATCGGACAGAAATCCTGTTGCCAATATACTTGGAGCTGGTATGGCATTATTTTATGCACTGTCTCGTCTTTTTAGCATTTTTACATGTTTGTCCACTAGAGAGCAGAAATAGGGACAGGCAGATTTGGAAAAGAGGATTTCCTAATCAGGCTCACTAGTAGGTTATCCGAATATTCATAAATGCCAGAAATAATACACCATTTGTTAGAGCTTATCATTGGGAAAAAGTTTTGGTTGTCAGGCAACCTTTATGATAAACCCTCTTTATTTTTTGTCGCTCTTACGAGCATTTTAGAAGACATTGAAGATCGGTTTAACTAAAATTGCGAAATTGAATGACTAGAATTTTGAAAAAATGTGAACATCCTTATGATGGTACAAAAATTTACAAGGGCTTTAAAAAGAGAACATTTCGAAATATACTAAACCTTTTCATCTGACACTCCTCAGAGTATAAAGCATTAGATCGAAAGCTCTACGCTAGGAAATGCTTATACCCAGTTGTAGATTGATATAGGCCAAGCTGAAACGCGAGTGCAGAAATGTAAAGGTTGCCCAATCAGTGCAGCTTGGTCTGAAAAAATTGATTCTTGAAGATCATGATTGCTATATAGCATGAGAAAGCTAGACCCTATTGTTCTGCATGTTAGTAAACTGCGCCTGCGCCAAACTTCGTGAAATTTTTAATCTAAACTTAGATAAAAAACTTGGATCTTAAAAATTTTATCTCCTTCGGATGCTTTTTTCTTTCATTAAAAGTATTTGAAAAGTTATTTTTTCTATGGTTAATCAGTTTACGTATATCTTTCTTTTAGCCCACTTAGTAACAGAAGTTTTGAAGGTTTGTCTTCGCTATGTATATATAAACAGCCTTTAATGTAATTATTTTTGTGATAATAGCTAGAATAGGATAACAAAGTTTGTCAATTCAAATGTGAGCAAATAATTGACTTACTTTCGTTTTGCTCAGCAAATTGATTTTGTCACCGGCACTACAACATTTTTCAAGCTATCTTAATACCTCAATTCTAAAACTTCTAAATCTTGATCCAGACTCAAGGTTACTTCGCACATTTGTTCTTTAAACATCGAAAGTTCACCAGCAATGTATATTAGAGTTATAATTAATTTGGCATTCTCATTTAGCAATGCATCATTAGATCTTTTCATCATAGACTTCCTTAGTTTGCAAAGCTACAACTTCTCTGACAAGTGACACAATACTGTGCACTTCTCACAATTGTTGTTAACCATTGTAAAAACAACTACTTGGGGTATATAACTTTTTGATTTCCTTAAGTAATGGATTACATTCAAGCATCATATATCATACAGGTACTCTCGTTACCTTGGGAAGATAACAAGGATGTGATAAAGCAAAACTTGACGCAACTTAGCAACACAAACGAACTTGGAAGAGTACTGGGGGCGGCAGCAGGCATGGACCAACTGGCATCTCTCATCGATTCGCTCATCAGGTAGATAGGGACATTCGTTTGGACCCCATCTAGGCCTTATTGCTTTCAGACATCTTCCTCTAGAGTGATTTGCGATTCACTAGTTAAATGAATACACAGGCCTGTGATATCATAAGAGGCTTAGAAATGAGGCCTCGAAATGAGATCATACGTAATCCATTCTGGCCTTAACGAATTTTTCTATAGTTTGCCATGTTCCTCCCATAACCACGACGATAATAGCTCTGACTAAAATTGTGAAAGAAACGTTCAATTAGCAAACAAACAATTTCTTTTCACTGAGAGTTTTTGGTTTTACCTCTCTCTTTTACGATTTCTGTATGTAGCGTTTTGCTTTTTTAGTTACATCTTTGATAAATTTTCCTAGAAGGTTTATATTAATTTCAAAACTAATAAATTAAGTTTTGTCATAATTTTCTAGTCTCAATGAAAATGCAAAAGGACCTGTCAGTGAACCGAATGAAGATCGTAAGTAGAAATCTGCTTCAGTTGTTCTTTTGCTATTAGGTTTAATTCAAAATTTATCATAAACTCACATTCTCTTAAACATTTTATGAAAACAAGTTGTTTTGGATTTCGTGAGAACGAACCACAATCTGTTCTTGTCTGTTTTTCTTTCTTGGAATAATTAGTACTGGGAGAAAAATTATTTGGAATGATTAAATACCACATTATTTAAAGTATTTAAAGGATTTTTTGGAAACTTAGATTCTAAGTATTTTCAATTATTTGCGGTTAAAAACACATCTGAACAGTGATAGAGCATTGTCAAGTCCATGTGTTTTGAGTCTTTTTTCTCAGGATGAACATTTTAGATATAATATCTTTGTTTCCGCTTTGATTTCGCTTCATTTTCACTCCTAGAATTTCTGGCTAAGGTATTGTAACCCCGATTCCATTGCAGCGCCGTTTTACTCGATAAATTTATTGTTATCATTATAAAAATAAAAGACAAACAAAAATGAAGATTTATGGAAATGTAGCAAAAGCTAGATTTTATTGCAATTTTTCTGGATTTTAATTGCCTCAAATCATGAAGGTTGTTTCAGCTCTATTCTTTACCATTGTAGCGAAGCTGTGGCTAGAAAAATTTTGTTCCCTGTTTTGTTTCTACTACAGATATGTCAACAGCGAAAAGAAATGCTTCCATTATCATTATTAAATTCCAGTAATTGAATCTTCTTGCCATTTCCGATAACTTTTTGCTAGCAGTCAGTTTATCAAATGTCGTCCACTGCCGCAGCTATGCTAGCCAAGGCGAGCAGCGTAAACCGTAAAGGCGGGAAGATCAATTGTTCATAAAAGCCAATCATTGAGGGAACAAACTGCCTTTAAGCACAATTTTCAGGGTTGTAGTGTACTGAGAAGAAAACATTGTTTCACTGTGCATAAAATTGGAGATATGCAACTATCAGTTTTTGCTGTTTTTTCAGCTGGTTTTGCTGACGTCAGAGCCGACATATTCAACCTCAGCTTCCTACTATTGTCATACATAACTGCCTTGTTTGGCGTCAAGGTAATTCACAGAATTTCCAAGTTCCCTCTATCGATTTTACTAAATACTTAAAATAGCCAACAAAATACTTAAAAAGTAATTACGAATTCGTTTATTTATACGAAGTTTCACAAAAACCATTAGCCAATATGCCTGTTTTATAAATAATTGGTTTGCTTAAGGTATTGTCAATGGCGACGAAAAAAGACTCGTTTTTCGTCACTTGGAGAACAAACTGCTCTGAAGATGTTGGACAGAAGAGCTATTCCCCTATGGCGCTTGAAATGATCTTGGATCAAGTGATGACAAACAATGCGCCAAATATTAATGCTGTGTAAGTTTCTTTACAAATTTTGATTTTTAGATCTGTTGCTATTGTACAGTTTTTTCCAAGCGTTCATGTGCCGCAGCTGTTTGCCAGTTTGATATCATATGCTACCGCGAAGCACACAAACACAGTAGAGTAAGGCCCCACAAATGAGAAACTGTTTTTTTACTACTAAGACTAAAAAGTTTGTAATATCTTTGGTTTTTTTTGTTTTAAAGCTGAATATTTCTTAGATGTTCTAAAATTTCCCAAGGCTGGGCCGGGTACCATATTTTTAAAAAAAGCTACAATACTGTATAATTTACCATACTGTATGATTTACCATACAAATTTCAGTCGAACCCATTCATATTTTTATTTTATTTGAAAATGAGTGCTGTTATATACTTGAATATGTAAAATGAGTGTTATTTTTACGATAACAGCAACAAAGATGCCAATTGCAATGGCTTGTACAGCGATTGTTGTGCTTTCAACTTTAAACATTTGTGTTTTCTGCTTTTACAAAGTCATTTAGGATCATAAGCGTGAAAAATATAACTATAGAAGGAAGAGGCTTTGATCCTAGTTCTATTACCCCCTCCCTCCCCCTGCTGAAGCAATACACTTCAGACTTCGTAACTTTTTAATTGTGAGATTATTTTGACGAACCTTATTTACGCTTTCCGACATAAATGATCCGATACATTTCAATTTTGTCATCTTTTTTACCCTTGTAAAAGCCCCTCACGCTCTCTTCTTCCGCTCTCTCTTTTTCGATTCTGGGCTTTCCCTACTTCGCTTCCCTGCAAACAAGGTATCCTTGTTTCTAGATACTAAATTTCATTTGGTTTTTATGTGTAATTTCATTTCTAAGAAAAATGTGTGCACCCGGAAATGATTTCCTATTAGTTTATCTATTTATAAATTATTTATGGAATCGCTATTTTTTATACAAAAAAGAGCTTGTAGCAGACATTTAGAAATTTTTTTAAAGCATTTTAGATTGTGGATACTACTTGGTAATAACTTAAATCTGTGACGGAAATTGCAGTAACTAAATCCACCCTCCCCTCCCCGCCTCTGAATTCGACACGCGTCGTTAAATCTACCTCGAAAACCAGGAATTTTATATAAATAGACGAGAAAAGGGAACTTAATCAAGAAACTCAAAAAGTCCACTGTGCTTGCCCTGCCACACAGAAACCTAAAATTTAGTCATCTTTTTTTTAAAGCCTTCTCGCTTAATTCAACTAGGTACAGTTTCAATAGATAAGGCCAAATAGCTTAATATTGTATTCATTTTGCAGCCTTGCAAAGTGGGATGACTACTGTCTATGTTCTGGAGCTGTAATTAAAGAGCTAACACAAGCGCTTGCTTGCAGCGTGATTGTCGTTGACAAAATCCAGGTGAGGCTCCTCGTATAGTTAATCTCCTCCGCAGAGGCCATGGGGGGAGAGATAGGGAGTGTGAAAAGTGGAGAAGAGGTGTGGGAAGGCAGAGGAGAAAAAAGGAAAATATGCTACTATTTCGTCCTCTTTTTCCCTTGCAACTTCTCCACTTTTCTGTTTCTTCTGCATTTTCCTTTTTGTCTCTTTCCCCTCCCCATCTCCCTCCCCAATGGCCTCTGTGGTGGAAAGTAGCCCCTAGTTTTCTATACCTCAAACTTTCGTAATGACGCACTCCTGTTGATGTGTGTTACATATGTTCATGATGATGACGCACCATGTGTGCAACAAATAGTCACATTACGTGATATGGTATTTAGTTATATCTTTTTATTTACGATCATTAAAGCTGATACCTTCCGCCTTTTTTTCATTATCAGCGTTTAAATAATTCATCGGCTGGTACTGTTTCGTAACCCTTTTGTCGATATTCTTATCTTTTTTATCGATTGAAAAGCTAAGAGAGTTAAAGTATGGATGTCATAAACAGATATTTAAGGGATTGTTCCTTGTCTTTCGATTTAGACCCAAGCCTGCTTGTTATGCATTTAGTTGCCAAGCATACCTATCCTAAGTCTAGAGCATCTTTGTAGGTTTGGGGGCATTTGCCCTTTGCATACTGTATTTGCAGTTGAGGATTTTCATTTTCATTGGCTGCCCCCAAATTTTCTTTGTATGAGAGGAAATCTCTTAAAAATAAAACATTTCTTATTGATAGTTTTTCATAAGATCGATTTATGAAGCTAAACTAGTACCATATCTTACGATATCGAGAGGAATTGTAATAGAAGATTCATATCTATGCTGTGATGTTTTAGTAACTTCAAGATAAAAATGAGACTAAGCCTATCTTAGTTTACAGCCAAACAAAGGGTATCAATGCCGCTTCCAAGCAACTTGTGTCTAAAAAGCAGGAATGTCTGCAGAGAACTAATCGACCAGTTGATAAACTCCGTCCATTTATCCGAAAATACAAAAATATATCTTTGAAATTATTTTTAAGCCATTTCTTAACGACCAAAAAACTGACGCCCGCGTCAGCAGGAGAGTTGAGACGGAATGGAGGAAAGAATACGAGTTACAGCAGGTGTTTTTTCATTGGAATTTCACCAATAATATTTTTTGTTAACAGCACACAATATAATATGGAATAATGAATTAACCAGTCCTTTTGTTTCCACTTAACTGCAGTACAGCCCTGTGTTGGTGAATCTTGAGGAACGCTAGACGAATAGGCATGACCGGGCATGACTTCACAAAAATTTATATTGATGTCGAGAGCTTTTAAACGCCTTTGTTTACAACTGGAATACACAACTACTTGACAAAAAATGTGCCGAAACCAATGCCTTTTATATGTAAGGATTTATATACGATATGGCAAAATTTTAGATCTATATAACTGAAAATTGGCAAAACTTGCTGTATATAACCCAAACTGACTTGTACAAACACAAACACGAATACAAATAAGTACAAATACAAAGTTGACTTGTACTTAGTCTAAATTTGAATTTATTTCGAAATACCAAATCAACAACAACTTGCTTTTTTAACATCTTGATTAGCGATTCAATTCCTGAGTTTCGAAACAGCAACAACATAGATTCCCCATAAGAATGGATTCTTGTCAAGCAATTTGCAAGCCCTCATTTGATTACGTAGATGAAAACATTAGACAATAATGGTCCTAACTTAGTGCCTTTGGGTACATTGGTTTTCAAGAGCATTATTTTCTTTTCAAGAAAATTATTTCTTGAGAGTCTGCAAAGTTCTGGAATCAAATGAGTTATTTTGCTTTAATTTTCAGAAAGTCTGCGAGACGTTCAAGAATAAAAGGCCTGCCCTGTCGATCTGTGCAAGCTCTTGGCTCTGTACACAGTACACCAGCATGATAGCCAGCAAACGAGATATGACCCTCAAGTATGTTTTCTTTTGATCTGAGATATGAGTACGGATAACATTACTAAATCTAACGATCTTCCAAAAGCTGATATTTGATTCGTTTCAAACATGAAAAATCCACTTCCCCTTTATGAACACAGAGACATTTCATTAGCACAGAATGTTTGAGCAGGAAATTTCAGATAAATTGAACATGTGAAGAAACATCCAGAAATTTGAAATCAAGCTAGAAAAGATAGATTTGAATGAAATTTTCGAGAAATCTAGTCCTAGGCAGCGCTGCAGTGCAAGAATGAGTTTTTTGGCAAGCGTAGCCCCCCCTCTCTCCCTAGATGACGCCAAACAGAAACCTGACTCGTACGATAGCCTGGCTTTATTGCTTTGCTAAATGTATAAGCTATTTCGAATAATTTTTGTCTTTTTCCAGCCATTACAATTTCAAGTGGCCTTAATTTGTAATTCTGAGCTGTCAAATAATCATAAATTTTCAATAAATGGATTAAGACTTTTGAATTGCTTGCAAAATATTTTTTGGTGGCCATCTTAAATTTTTAATACGCTATCGGGTTTTGGTTTTGTGTTCCTCAAAATCTGTTTTATTTTGTGTGATTCTGCATAGAATACTGAAGATCAGACTCGTAATGAGACATATCATTATTACATTGTTATAGTCAAAAACTGAGCAGTAGAAAGACAAATCAAACTTTTCTATAGCCAGAAACCTTAGAACAAAGATTCTAAACAGATTAAGTCTCACAGCAATTTATAAACTAGGTTGAGGGTGTTTGCAAATAATACGTTTGAACTGAGATCCGTAGTCCATTTGAAATCATCTAAAAGAAAACGACCCTTCGAACGACCAAGAACTTAAAAGCCATTTTACTAAACACCCACGACATGGTAGAAATCATCCTTTTTGACGATTTGTTTCTTATTCCTGGTTAAATTGAGATAAATAATGGGAAAACGATTTCTTATGTATTGTATTTCATGTTATGTTACGTTTATGTGTTTCTAATAAGCAGCTCTTTAGAAGCTGTTGTTTAAGAAACCTTAAACAAACACTTTAAGATACCTTAAGCTACTTTTAGACGAATCCATTCAAAATTAAGAAACTGAGTACTAGCCTTCAGCCGTGTTGAGTTTTGCTGAATAGACTGCGCTGCAGCTATCTGTTAAAGGCTCATGTTTTTTGCTCTGGTAGTAGCTATTCTCGTAACACAAAGTAGAATTTCTTCTGTCGTTTCAGTCCACGGAATATCAATAGGGCGTTAGGCTACTTCACGTATATGTAAAATAAGGAACTCTTTTGACCAAATATGCGTATGTTGAACAGTGGATGCGCCTCCTCAGCCAAAGTTTCTTCGAATCTCTAAAAATGGGACCAATCTACTCCCCACAAAGGGAATGGAAATATCGGTTTCAACTTTTAAATTGGAAACACTTTTGCCAGTCATTATTCTTTATAGATTGCTCTCATGTCAGGTACATATGTTACCCTGTAACGGGCAAACTATCTCATTAAAATTTCCCTTCCCTTCTTCTCCTACATACAATTTAGTTATTAGGAGTCCGATTATTGACCAGAATCTGTCTTTATCATTTATGATCGTACTTGACTAAAAATTTATTTTTCTTTTTAATTATTGCATTGCTAGGATACTAAGAGCCTTCAGGGGACATGGATCCCAAAAGACTGCACGGTAGGTCTATAGCATAGTAACTGAAAACACGCTAATGCCCAAACTGAATCTGGTCTCGTACAGGTTATCTACGCTTCTACATGAAATTGTAGATCGACCTAGATTTCACACTTTTGCGCTGTGTTTTGTTACTACATAACTAGGGGGGGGGGGTCACTTTTTCCAAGACGACGCTATATTTTGACCCGGGTTTGACCACGTTCTAAGGTCATTCAGGACCAGATATAATATCGAGAAATGCCAGCATAAAGGGCAATCCATTAAACTGTTTGTTACTAATGAATCAAGATCTGGCTTTCTGTAAACAGGCCTAAACATGCGCAAAATCTAGGGGCCGAAATTATAGGCCAACTTTCTTGATTGACTATTCCTATCTGTGTTGTAAATCTTGAAATATTGTTTCGTGGAACTTCTTCTACACTGGATGAAGTATTGGGATGCTCTTAAACCTAAAATCTGTGTCCTACATTTAATTTCAGATCTGAATACATGGCTAAAATTATTGAGGATCTGGCGGGTTCCATTGGTCTCGAACAACAGACGTTGGGCAAAGGCAAAACAGGTAATTTGCTTTTGTCATGAATTTTGTTTGTAATAAATATACAAGTGACCAATAAAGAAGGCTCTAGGGTCATGCTCGAGGTGAATCGCAGACTAGGCCGTGCTAGGATTCTTATTTCATCTTGTTGGTAGCTCATGCTGTTTAGACAAACACTCCTAATGCATGCCGGGTAACATGCATTTATGTTTCAATATGGTTCTCTCGAACCTTCAAGTTGGAACAATTGTATAGTAGTAGTCAAAATGTTGACATTCATTTGAGGAGGGAAGGCAAGAGTACAAAGTCTCAATTCTTTCTGTCTTCGGATTGAAGACTGCTATAATCACATTTAGTTGTGATGCAAGGGTGCAATTGGTTAAATGTTGACAAAGAAATTCCACTGTACCAACATGGTCTGTGTATAGGTTCATTGTTTGACAATGGGCGAAGACAGTTCGCGAAAAACACGATCAGTTTTTACACTTTAAGCATTTCTCTGAGGTTAATGAATATTTGAGTTGGCTTGTTTGTGCTGTTTCAAATAGACTGTGTTGGAAGAATAAATTGACTTCTTAGATTTCTGAAGATTTTTGTGCTATTTTGAGTAAACCAAATAAGCCGTTGGCCAGGGTTTTGCGAGGCTATGGTCCTGTGAGGCCTTGGTGCTGCGAGGCATTGGTCCTGCGAGGCCTTGGTCCTGCGAGGGTATGGTCCTGCGAGGCTCACTGATCTAAAAAAAAATGTCCTTGGTCCTGCGAGGCTATGGTCCTGTGAGGCTCACTGATCTAAAAAAGTGTCCTTGGTCCTGCGAGGCTATGGTCCTGCGAGGCTCACTGATCAGATCAGTGTGCGAGGCTATGGTCCTGTGAGGCCTTAGTCCTGCGTTGCCTTGGTCCTGCGAGGTCTTGAAAAGTATTAGCTATCATCCATCAAGACTGGGATATGAGGATATAATTTCTTATCTTTTATTTTACTCTTTTTATATTGTTGATATTCTTTGCTTCCCGTTCCTCTTTGTCTCGTAAGCTGCATCCTAATTTGAATTTTAGAAAATGGGAAAACGATTGTTCAGCAGGGTATCAACAATTATAAAAATCAATCCTTTTGTGACCAAGTTTATATAGTGTACCAACACCACAACTATCTGCTGGTTCAAAGATTTAATGTTAAAGTGCCAAGAGGAAACTAAAGGAAACAAAGCAGTTGTATCCAATCCTACTTAATTGTACACCGTACACCTCGGTACTGATTACCTATCTCTCTGTCGCCGTTTCTGTCGCTTCTTACCTTACAATCGGACGTTTTATATACTTTCAATCTACGCAAAATATGTCTACCAATCAGCATTTAGAAAAACAGGATACAAATTTTACATCAAAGATTTTTTATGAATAACTTTAAAATGCATATGCGGATTAATAAATGTCGTTAAGCTGTTTGTTTAAACCGATGAATAGCTTGAGTCAGCCCATGATTAGCCTGAGTCAGCCCAACACATCGTTAACCAAATCTATTATGGGTACCTACACAAACATGAATTACGCAAGCAACTATATGAATTAACAAGAAGAAAAACAAATCTCTATACGAAAAGCATGTGCTGTAGTGCTATATTAAACACGCTGGCGTGAATGGAAAATCCCAACACCTTTGTTTAGAATAATCTTCTCAAATACCCTTGCAAAATACACGCTTGTACAAATGTAGATGGAAAGTATAGCTCTGACACAATGTTCATGGCCAATTTATCCTTAAGGTATTCCAACTTTATGTATCAATCATGGTCAATGTTTTTGTTAATAGTTGAAAAGCAGAAATAAATTCTCCATGGCCATCCTTTCACCGATAACCAATAAAAGACAAATTTTTCCAACTAGATTTATCTTTATCGCTATTGAAACTTATTTGTAATTTGAAACAGCGTATGGTAACATTTCCAGATCCGATTTTTACTTTTTCTAACAAGGGTACCTTTTTCCGGCATCGATATATAATTAAATGCGGCAAAAATACGGTGCCTGTAACCGAATAAGAATTTATTAATTTAATGTGGTAGAAATGCGGCAGCTCTGCCGCATTTAAATAGTAATTTCAACAGAAATGCGGCTTGGTTTCAGATGCCGTTTTTCTACCGCAGCGAATTAAATGAAAATTGTGATTGATATTGATTTTGATTGATCGAAGAGTGATTAAATGGCAATACGCATGCGTATAGTTATGCTGTGCCCGCCAAAATTTGCATTGTGTTTGTTTCCACCTCTGGACTCAATTGGTAATATTTCTACATTGATACTCCATTTTATAAGCCATTTTTGAACTTTGTATCATCAAAAATTTATTAAATAAAGTTTTGCTCAACAAACATTCTTTGATTTTTGCAACTTATCCTATTCACGCTTCAGTTAGAAGTATTTTCAACCCCTCTCGAAATTTCAATTGGAGAGGAGTACTTTTAAAAAAGGGATTTATTGCCTCAAGCATTTATTTCTACCGAATGTTAACATGATTTATCAAGAACTCTATCAGGCACTGTTAAACATATTTTAATATAATTAATAAAAATGATAACATTAATTAACAAATGAATTATTCAAACCTTAAGGCGATAGAGGTATGAATTGTGGGATACGCTCTTGAACAACATGTTTCAGGACTTACACAGCGACCCTCCTCCTTAAATCCATTTATCGCATGTTCGAGCCAGTTTGAGTAAGACGATAAACAAATGGCATACAAAAACAGCATTAATCTGTTACTTAATTATAAGAGAGATTGTTTTGATTGCTTAGTAGCAATTTTGTAAGGTTTTGCTTATAACAATTGTGGCGCGGTAGGCGATTTGCTATTTCAGCTGACAGTTTTTTGCACTTCCAGAGTCAGTAAGCTTATTTCGTGCAAAGGACCTCTTCAATAAGGGTGACATTGTATTTGCTGTGTCTAGAAGGAGGGGTGATCGTTTGCAAACAAGTCCCCACCGGACCTGCAACCTGGTTTTCCGACCCATTCTTTCAAATCCCTGGACTATTAAATCTCCACCCTGGTATTTATTGTTTCTGTATGACAGGTAGTAAACGAAGGAACACACGTGTCGTAGGAACATAACAGAACATTCAGCTAAGCGTGTATATTTCACGCATGGCTCTCTCTGATTCACCAAATTAACTAAATATTCTAATTGATGCATATTTATCTCAATATATGCATAAAGCATAACATTACAGTATATTAACTAAAACCAGGGTAAAATATCCGTGAATGTGATAATTAAAATAGTTTTTGCGTTCAAAGTTGCAGAAGTTCATAGAATTGCTTATTTATCTGTCTGTCATAGTGGGTGTGCTCCTTCTACTGCCAGCACTTTGTCCTTCAACATTGGGAAGATAGGTTCAAATTTGAAAATAATAGTTCTGAATTATTATAAGTTAAGATCTGAAAATGGAGACATTGTCCTGTAGGAATCTTTTGACATCTCTTGTTTGTGAGTTTGCTATGGTCAATAAATAGGGCACCTTTTGTACGAATGAAAAGAATCATTTCTTTTTATTTTGCTACTTTACCGTTTCAGTTTAACTTCGGTTATACTTTCATTTATATAAAGCAGTTTACAAATGACATCTATAAATTTAAAGCTAATAATATTTCAAATCAATGCATTAATTTCACATTCTGTGTCACCTGCATCTTAGATTGCAGTTTCATTTGTTGCCTCTTGGAGATTCAAAGCAGTTTTTACCTTTCCCAAACACCAAACTCTTGAAATTAATTAAAGTTTTCATTGCTGCTTCAGGTTTATGAAAAATTAACCATTCGAATTTTGCCTTTTGATGCACTATCGAGTTCTTTGTTTCTAGGATGTCGTAGTTATTGTAAACTTCAAAGAACTCCCCATGCTACATGCTGTTTGATTGTTAAGGGATCTTCTTTGTAGAACATTAGCTTCGTTTCAATGAAGTATTGCTTACTGGCGAGGCTGATTTCATACTGCAATGATCTTGTTTTTCAAGGCATTACTTGCTAAGAAAGCTTCGTGTCTCGTGGTTTGTTAGATTTGTTATGAGTGTATCTTCATTTCGGTGTTATTGGACGCTAGACGTTGACTAAAAGTGTGGCTCTACGATTTCTCCTCCTCGAAGATATCGGCATTATCACTGGAGTTCTTTAAACGATGTTTGTTCTTCGATTTACGATAACAGAATATTACTAAATGTCTTGAATCGCCAAGATTATACATCATTCTTCTATATTTGCTGATTATTCGTGTTCCGAATTATCTTTCGCATTTTACGAATTAGAAAGTACTTTGTAGATGTTTGATCGGAGAAGAAAGCTTTCAATTGGATTAACTGATTTGCATTTCAAGTTCATTAATATTCAAGGCTGCAGTAATATTTAAAGTTTTATCTCAACGACAGCGTCATTAGAAGCGTTATATCATGGTTGTTGGCAGGCTACATCGGAGGATAGCTTCAAGCTTCAAATCATCGTTGCATTGACATAACCCGGTCTTTATTTTCACACCATTTCACCTGAGAAAGATTCTTGTGAAGAGATTTATTGGTAATCACGCGCGATCTGATTGACTTTGTTCTAACTGTTCTGGTTGAAATGGAAGCCAGCAAAGCCAATGCATTCGGTGAGTTTGCCGAGAGAACTTCATTGCATGGTGTGGGAAGGATTGTCGAGACTAAGACAAAATGGGGAAAGATATCATGGGCCGCATTGCTTGTTGGATTTATCTTATTTCTTTGTATCATGCTTTTTAACGTATTCACAAGCTACATGTCCAACAACATATACATTGTTAGGGAGAAGATTCCCGTTACGAAGATGCAATTCCCAGGAATTTCGTTTTGCCCAACAACCCTGCTTCGGCGCTCTGGTTTTTCCAGCCCTAACACTGCGCTAATAGACGCGGTATTTCACCGCTTTAAGGGCCGCGAAAAGGATATCGAAATCAACAATCTGCGCATTGCTAACCTTCATAGACACGAGGACCTCATGAAGGGATTCGAGAGCATCCGGCGATTAACATCCAATGCAGATTCTCTGTTTATCGCCGGCATGAACAGTGCTTGTCGGTTCGGACTCAACACCCCGTGTCACTATCCAATGCGTTTTAAAGAGACGCCCGTTTCCCTTTTTGAAGGGATATGCTTCAAGTTTAACCCGAATGGCACCTTCTTTCAAGTTGGTGAAGGGTCTTACTACGGTATGTCGATCATTCTGTTTGTTAATCAATCCGACACTGACCCATTCTCTGGTTTTGATGAAGGTGCCGGAATAAAACTGGTCATCCAGTCGCATGATACTTTCCCGTTCCCGCTGGAAAATGGCATCCTGGTCAAGCCAGGCGCCTACACGAGGATTATAGTGGAAAAGCAAGTCTACAGAAGGCTCCCGCACCCGTATCCGTCAAAGTGCAAGTCGCAAGGTGATGGAATCTTTCCTGGCAAGTACACCCCAAGGAACTGCAAACGGACTTGCTTTGTTCGCTACGCAAAGAAGGCATGCGGCGGAACGGACGCTTTTGTGCAGTACTTCACCGGCGAGAAGAGGGACCCTCCATTAAACATCACTGAACTTCAGTGTTTTTACAACAAGCAGATTGAGGCCGCTTGGCCGCATAACGCGAAGAAATGCAACTGCGCACTGCAGTGCCACGAGGAAACATTCCACCCGATGGTTTCGCAGTCCCTTTGGCCATCGCCAAGTGACCTTCCCTACTACAAGCAGATTTTCGCTGCTGCTCTTGGCCTAAATCACTCTACAATGACTGATGCTTATGTTTATAACAATTTTTTGAAGATCAACATATTTTTCAGTGAGCTTGCATACGAACAGGTATCTGAAATGCCTGAATGGACCAGCCAAAAGTTGGTGAGTGATATTGGCGGGCAGATGGGGATATGGATTGGCGCATCGCTGTTCTCGGTGCTAGAGCTGATTGTGTTCCTCTTCTACTTTGCCAAGTCCAAGGCACATGTTTGGATGCTGAAGAGAAACGTTATTGTTGTTGAACCTGCTCCAACAAAATTCGCTGTGAAATAATCAGCTGTTATATATTTATTAACCAAATGTTGCGTGGTTTAAGTAGGTATTAGTCAAACATTGCTAATTAACAAGTTGTTGGGAGTTTTTGCATGGGTTAATCATCAAATGAAGCGCAAAATATTCAAGACGTGTTTGCATATTGATCTTTTTATGTTCCTTTGTTTTGCCAATAGGCGAGGGGATACCAGTTTATGAGGAGCCTAATGTCGGTATGTGTTCCAGGCAAAGGCTGCTTCGATCTGCCACTATAATAATTTCAACATTGTTTTTTGTGCTATCATTGAAGAAGTTTCATGTTTTTTGTAAGGTGTTGTCAGACTTTGATCTTCAGTTTAAGAATCAGCATTAGGAATGTTGCACTTTATACGTAAAATCTAGTAAAATCCAGCTCATTCTATTGTTGGCTGCAATATCCATACACATAATCACACGTTTTTTGACACGATTGTGGGTCCAACTATTCGCTCTTCCCAACTTATCTTTCAACGTGTAGTGAAAAAATTTTGAAACAATAATTTAAAAGTTTCTCATCGATGCTACAATTCGCGGTTCTTAAAATTATGCTGGATATATGATAGCGAAACGGCAGCAAATGAGTACAATTGATACTCAACACGGCATCCATCATTGGGTACTAATATAAGTTTCACAAATAAAGCAGATCTATTAGCATACAAAGCCTTCCAAAAATTTTTGTAACACCATCAGCATTTTTGTTATCCACATTAACGTTTTCCTCTCATCTCTTTCAAACAATATTGGATTACTCTCCATTGATATTCACTACTCGAGGTTAACCTGCATTTAAGAGACTAGGATTTTGGGGGGTGTATTTCCAACATTTTTATTGTAAAGGGGACAGTGTAGCCATTGTAAATAAATTGAGAACAGAATGGAATTGGTCATGTGTTTCAAACGCTTCTAGAAAACGTGCCATTCTTAAATATGTAACGTTTTGCTTACTGTTGTTTCGTGATTATTGAAGATGGGTATTCAATTTTAGATACTGTACTCCCACTAGGAGTTATTCTTTCTCCAATGCTGTTGAAACTCGCATTTCCCTAGCTTCGCGCGGAATAAGAGCGCTTGTTGTACCATAGCTCACAGCAAGAAAATTCGTGTTCAGCTTCCGAATGACAAATGAAACTATAGCAACCGCCAAATACACTTTTACTACGCAGAATGAAATTCTTCCCATAACTTTAGCTCCCAAATCAGCATTCAACGATTGAAATGTTTACTTTGTTTATAAACATATCTGTTGCAGCAATGAAAAAGCTGCCATAAAGTGGAATCATAGAATAACTTAAAATAGATAATTAAATTCACGGATTATTCCTTGGGGTTTAAGGAAAACAGTTAAAAATTAGGCAGTAGAGTAAATTTCGTATGAAAAATAGCTTTAGTATTAAAGACATGGCCACGTTCTGTTTTTATTGGTAGATGTCATGATTTTTGTTAAGTTTTGATTTATGTTTACGTATTCTATTCTAAATTATAAAATCTGTGGTTTTATTAGTATTAAAACAGAATGCTCCATTCGATGTTTGTTACAGATAATCATTCACCTTGCAACAATTTACTGTCGATTCTTGAAAATGTTTAAATTGGGAAATGCCAGCTTTATTTGCTTTTAAGCATTAATCGCATCATTTCGCTAAAGGTAATGTTTTCCTACCTTGAAGAGATTTTTCAAAGGGCATCGATAGGAGTGTAGCTGGGAAGAAACCCAGGACCCATAAAAATTTAATAGTTTTACAAAATGATACGTATCAAATACCCATCCCAGGTTTTAGTCCAGGGTTCTTTCTGCGGCCCTTGATTTTTCCAATTCCTGTAATTCCTTTTTAAATGGAAACCCTAAAGTCTAGATTTGAACAGTTGAGAAAATGAGGAATGAAGAAAATTAATGAAAAGCTGATTCATTAGGCTGCTTTGGTGTCAGTGCTTCACCAGAATTTTGATGTGATATCGGGCAATTTAGAGACTTGAAGGAAGCCGACAAGTTAATAGCTTTGACTTGTTGCTTTTCTAATCCAAAGTATTGATTAAAAATATATTTAAGCTACTATCTTTACGCAAACCTACTCATTCTTCAAGACCAGTTTAATTTTGAACCGATCATTTCAACCCAGTTCTTCATGATAACATAACTGGTCAAGTATTTCCCAAATGGATGAATTATTCCTAAGTAGTAATCAACATGATTCAGTTATCAGCAAAACCTGAATTGTACCAAAATCATCTGCAAACACTTTATATTGTAAGCATTTACGCAAAGGACTTGCTAGCGTTTTGTAGTCAGTGTTTTGATGACTCAGCAACCGAACTCCAATTACATTGATCTCTTTCTTCGACAGCAGCCGTTACTATTACTACGTCACAATCGCCTTTTCTTGTCCTTTTTAGGGAGGATTTTTAAATAAGGTCGAACAGTTTTCTTTATTCTGTCTATATTTTTCAGTTTCTAAAATGCTCACCCTTTAAAGTCAACCATGTACACTATTTACTGTAAATATTCACGAAACAAACCTAAGATTTACTGCAGACAACAAAGTTATGGCTAATATTTTGCTTCGTAAGTAGAGGATACTGACCCAAATCTACTCAATGAGTGTTCACTCAAGACCTTCTTCTTACTACCAGAGATCACATGCTTCAACTGGATATGTATTTTCGCTAAGACTCTCTTCATTCCGGCTAGTGGGAATTGTTAATCTGTCTAAATTGTCAATTCTCAAAATTTAGGTAACTTTCTTTTTCTTTTGCTTTACATTCTCAAATTTATTCGTATTAAGTAATGTTTTATCCTCAGATTTTACTTTTCGGGTGATACCTGTTTGTATTACAACTTTCTACGGAGTTTTGGAGGAGATATTCTTTGTGCAATGCAGGCTGAATGTAGACTGTAAGTTCTTTGTGGAAAGGAAGACCAAAAAACGTCTTCATTTGAGACTTATTCCTTGAACTTCATCATATAATCTAAATATTATGTAATATGCAATTTCTAATCTCCCAGTGAGCCTTTCCCTATCATCACCAACTAAAGAAGATTATGCCTTATAATTGTGCCTTATATTTTTTAAAATTATATACTTAAACTCTTCCACTTAGACTTATGAGCAATTGAGCATGGTCTTTTGAAACTTTTACATATTTTGATGAAAATTTTTATTTTCAAATAAAAGGCAGCATTTTTGCTCAGTATTTACCTTATAATCTTCAGTTAATTTTAGCTTTTTTCAATCTCAGCTATAGTCTGGTTTTGCTTGTTTTTCTTTGGATATTTGTTGTTTCGTGAAGATAACAATCACATGTTTATCCTATTTTATCCTATGTCATCGTTCCTTTGTTTATCCCTATTCATTCTACTTATCAACAACACAAGATTCTTCTCTGCAACCTGCATCTGATGTTGAGTGTTGTATTGCAAAGTTGCTTGATCTGTTTAGAAGTTTGTATTTCTGATGTTCGAGTTGATGCGATTAAATTTTCCAATGAGTGTTTTGCAAATGTTTTTCTGACGTATTGCCAATTCTAGACTTCTCGTGTACACATGGAAGGTCTCCGAACGTGGTCTTCATTCTTTTTTACACTGCCGCGCAGCAAAACACAATGAACCACCCATCGTCGATAAAAAGCGACAAAAGCTTGAAAGCACTGCGGCTGGTTCCGCCGAAAGTATTATTTAAAGCCCTTCTTTTGGTATTAAAAGGATGAATTTAGTAGGCAATAAAGCTAAACAAATACAAACATATAAATTGGTTTTGAAAGTATTTAAACAGCGAAAGGAAAGAAATTGTAAAGTGGGATTACGTGGCTATAGCAAACTTTAATTTGCAGCTAGCGCTCAACGGCCAATCTAAGTTCGTGTAAACATAGATTTCTCAATTCTCAACATCCATATTATTTTCGAAATTAATTCAAAAAGTTCGCGTTTAGGAAATGAATGAAATGAGATCCAAATGCGTGGGACTTTCTGGACGGATAAAGAAACGAAATAACCATACAATGAAATGATCATATAATACAATAATGAAATAAGAAGACTTTAGAAGTGAATTACAAGAAATCTTTTAATAAAGTCTCTTGTGTGCAGGAAACTTTAAGTGGTTTGAATAACGGGTTACTTTAAGGCATTGGTAATTATGCGAATTTATTTTATTATTATTATTTTTTTTCAATTGATAAAACAGTAAATATAATAGAATCCCCATTTTCCCCACGCCTTGTCAAACTAGTTATTATACTTTGATTAAGGTAGCATTTCTCTTGATCAAGGAGAAAAACCAAAACTATAAGACTACATGTGAATTGATAAATTTTGTGTTTGCAAGTTATCAGAAAAAGACATATTTTTGTAAAAGCCCAAATGATTCAATTTACGCTAGTTGGTGTATAGAACAGGATGATTCTAATTTGCTACTCTAAAGCCTGGTTCCCACTTGGTCGTTTGGGTCGTTTGAGTCGTCAGAGTCGTTCCTGAAAGACACGAACGACCCAAAAAACACATTGGTTTCCACTTGGTCGTCTGATGTTGCGAAGTCAACTATTTCTACCTCTGGTAACTTTGTACAGACGACGATGTTAGATCACTAAATTTCAGTGCAATAGCTTGCCGTGATTTGATATTTTTGTATTTATTTTTAAACTATTTCCAGTAATTGTTATAATGGCACTCGTATTTTTGAACTTCTTCCATAAAGCTTTCTGTGAAATATTCAGCTATCTTGTTCTTGTTCTAGTCAAACACGCGGCTACAAGAAAATCTCCTATTCTTGAAGAAAAAGTTACTAAAGCGTGGGTCGTTTGAGTCGTCTGAGTCGTTCGTCGGTTTCCACTTGCAAAAATCATTCATGCGTGGGTATTTTGGGTCGCAGAGATAGATTTTTTTCGATCTCTGCGACAACTGTCGTTTGAGTCTTTCGGGTATTTTTGGTCGTTGGCAGGTACGTTTCCACTGTGTCTTTTCAGTCGTTTGGGTATTTTCCAACGGCCCAAACGACCCAAACGACCAAGTGGGAACCAGGCTCAAATTTCACGCCTAATGCGATCACCAGGGAACTTTTGCAGAACAGCTCTGCATATATGACATCGAGCACTTTATGAATGACCGTAAAACAATAAATTTTTTAGGGTTCAATTTATATTGCGATTTATTTCAGGATCAAGAAAGAGGAACCAGGAAAACTTTCTGCTAGATTTTAGAAAATTCTGCTAGTGGATAACAGGCGCTAGAACTAAAGACAAACGAAAACGGTTGAAATCTGTTTTTTTATTCTGACTGTTGCAGATGCCAAAGATCATATAGAAATGATCGCACAAACGTGGATCAGTCAATTCTGAAATGTCAATCTCCGTCTGATATTTTATAAAGAAAGTATATAAAACATATAGAGTAGGAAACGGAAAAGAAACATTTCTATAAAAAAGGAAGAAACATAAAAGGTAGAAAATGGTTTTCTTTATTTATATAATTCCCCCGAACTAAACTTCTACTTCTACCTTCTTCTCCCAGAACAATTTTGACAGTATATAATCGCTGCATGCAGAAAAGGATTTCTTGTTCCCTACATCATTATTAAGTAAGACAACATTGCTTCAAAGAGGGGAGAGGGCTCTGCTTAATTCGACCTTGAAAATTTATGTAATTGTTCTGAGGCAGTGATTGTAGCTAGATATAGGAGTGTATGCAGATTTACCAAACAGACACCATCATCATATTAGACAGGAAAGTCGAACCTTTATTTTTGACTCTAAGACCCCGTTTATACTGTCCCGGGACAATTTTGTACCGTTACGGTTCGCAAGTGTTTACACTGTCGCGGTTCCAAATTGTTCCGTTTGGCCGTTCCGTTTACACTGTACCGGTACGACCTTGATTTAATGGGAATTAATAGTTTAATTCGAGTTAATACCCGCGGGGAAAGTGCGCAGATTCCCCTTTTCTAGAATCGGGTGGTCCCACACGTATATCCTTAGTAGGCTGTGGATATCATGTTACCTTAGCTATTTGCTAATCACCTTGTGGTATTTTCTAGGTGGTCTTTTCCTGGCATATTTCTTTAAGTACAGTGATGCAGCTAGGGTCATGTCATATTTTGCAGCAAGACTCACGCGTTGTTTGTACGCGTTTTCTCTGTAGAGAAGTGAACTATTCTGCGAAAGTGTAACTTATTTTGAACCCGCTAATAAAGGACATAGTCCTACCGTCAAATGGCCGGACGCTGATCATGGTCATGATTTCGACCGTTGCTTACTGTTATCATAGCATGGCTGGAAAGTTGCAGGTACTGGTTGCTAGGCCTTGGCAGAGTTATCGAAAGTTATAGCAGTTCATGTCAAGCGCTCAGTGGCTGCTGTCTACTGCTATTACAGTTTCAGTTACCCTGCATCTCGATTCTATCACGTGCTCCAGAGAAAAGGTTGTACCAGCATTTTTTTTTTTTCTACATTGGCTGTAGCATGGTTTGTAGGTTATTTGTTTTTTATTTTCGATCCACTATTTCCTGCCGCTTTTCATCATACCAACCCTGGAG